ATGCAATCCCTTGTTCAGGCATATCCATCATGCAATCCCATTGTTCAGGCATATCCATCATGCAATCCCTTGTTCAGGCATATCCATCATGCAATCCCATTGTTCAGGCATATCCATCATGCAATCCCTTGTTCAGGCATATCCATCATGCAATCATACCAATAACCCAATCTAAGCTCTTCATTTAACACCAAGAACCAGGAACAGCGTTTTGGCATGAGTTGCAGCCTGCACGTTGGCACGAGGTACAGCATGCATGTTGACATGAGTTACAGCATGCATGTTGACATGAGTTACAGCATGCATGTTGACATGAGTTACAGCATGCATGTTGACATGAGTTACAGCGTGCATGTTGACATGAGTTACAGCATGCATGTTGACATGAGTTACAGCATGCATGTTGACATGAGTTACAGCATGCATGTTGACATGAGTTACAGCATGCATGTTGACATGAGTTACAGCATGCATGTTGACATGAGTTACAGCATGCATGTTGACATGAGTTACAGCATGCATGTTGACATGAGTTACAGCATGCATGTTGACATGAGTTACAGCATGCATGTTGACATGAGTTACAGCATGCATGTTGACATGAGTTACAGCATGCATGTTGACATGAGTTACAGCATGCATGTTGACATGAGTTGCAGCGTGCATGTTGACATGAGTTACAGCATGCATGTTGACATGAGTTACAGCATGCATGTTGACATGAGTTACAGCATGCATGTTGACATGAGTTACAGCATGCATGTTGACATGAGTTACAGCATGCATGTTGACATGAGTTACAGCATGCATGTTGACATGAGTTGCAGCATGCATGTTGACATGTGTTACAGCATGCACGTTGACATGATTTACAGCATGCATGTTGACATGAGTTTCAGCATGCACGTTGGCATGAGTTTCAGCATGCTCTCACCGCCTCATTCCCTCACTCCCCCGCCTCTTTCCCTCATTCCCTCACTCACATGGCAGGCTGAGCAAGGAGGCAGAGGAGGAATCGCCAGCAAGGCAGCAGAGGTGGAGGCCGCAAAGGAGGCATCTAAGACGAAAAGAACCGGTGCATCAATAGCGTGAATCAGCTGCTGGCATTTCACAGGCTGTGCTGAAGGAAGAGGAGAGAGAGAGAGAGGCTGGCATTTCACGGGGATTGAGAGGCAGAGGGGACCGCTAGGACAGCGGGGGAAATTGCAGCTGCTGACAGTATGCCACAAGCTGCTGCTTTGCTCTACTGGGTATAATTGCAAATTTTTGCTACTCCTTAGTAAGGGTTGCTTAAAACAAAAAATAAGTAAGGAGTCCTTACTTCATGTGACAAGCATGTCTCCTTGTTTGGCTGAGAGAAATTATTATTGGGATGAGAAGGTATTACCGTACCCCACGTTCAGTCCCCCAAGAAGAATTTCACTGCATGTGTGTGTAGTCTGGTCCCCCTAGAAGAAATTCACTGCACAGAAGTCCTCCCTCCCCCCTAGAACTAGTCCCTCAAAACAGAAGTCCTCCCTCCCCCCTAGAACTAGTCCCTCGAAACAGAAGTCCTCCCTCCCTCCTAGAACTAGTCCCTCAAAACAGAAGTCCTCCCTCCCCCCTAGAACTAGTGCCTCCCTCACATCAGAGGTCTTCCCCCCTAGAACTAGTCCCTCAGAACATAAGTCCTTACCCCTAGAACTAGTCCCTCAGAACAGAAGTTCTCCCTCCCCCCTAGAACTAGAGCCTCACATCGGAAGTCCTCCCCTCCCCCCTAGAAGAAGTGCACATGAGAGGCATCCTGAGAGGCATCCTGAGTATGGTATTGAATTGCGTTCATAGTCCCTAGAAAAAGTTTACAGATCAATTGCTTCACTAGAACTACTCCCCTAAAAGTCTTCCCCCCTAGAACTTTTGCCCTGAAGTCTTTCCCCCTAAGTCCCTAGAAGAGTTCACGGCTCCACTGCGTCTCTGCTCCATTTTTCCATTGCACCATCCACCATCCAACCAGCCATTGTCCATCATCCAGCCCTCCATGGCCACCCCATCATCCAACCAGCCATTCTCCATCTAGCCAGCCACCTTTCACCATCTTTCTCCCTTCGCTTATCCATCCAGCCAGCCGCCTTTCACCATCCTTCCCATCCAATTCCCTCCACTTCTCCATCATCCAGCCCTCCATGGCCACCCCACCATGGAATGACTCAACTCTCCCTTGGTTTTTTTTTTTTTTTTTAGGCTTCACCACCAAAGCCAGGGATAAAAATCCGTCCCATCAGCATCTCCTGGCGCGATGCTTACGGGCTGAGACCCGGAGGCGTTACGGGTACTGCCGTATAACTCGGCTAAAAATCCCCCGACGTAGAGCAACATTGCGCTTGCTCTAGCCACACCCACCTCAGTGTCGTCTTCCCCTTTGTAGAGCAAACCATTCCAGCAGGGCTGAAACGAGCTTGCTCTAGCCAAACCCACCCCAGTGCGGTCTTCCCCTTAGTTGCTGAGGTCTAGCCACACCCACCCCAGTGTGGCTAGCCTAGGAGGCTGAGAACCCCCCACACCCACCCCGGTGTGAGAAAGCCTTCAAGTGACTGAGACAGAGCCCCCCACACCCACCCCAGTGTGGAAAGCTCTTATGTGGAAAAAATGAGATTTCTCCACACCCACCCCGGTGTGGACTACTCTCTCTCTCTTAAGTGGCTGAGAGCCTCACACCCACCCCAGTGTAATCAGGCCTCATGAGAGCACAAGCCCTTCACACCCGCCCCGGTGTGATGCTGACTTGAAGAGAACGTCACCCACTCCAGCAGTGATGCTACCTGGCCATCCGGGTGCCCAGAACGCTTTGAAGGCCTGAACCTCCCTCCAATGTACAGAAGCCGGCCGGCCGACTGCACACCGTCAGGGCTCCAAAAACGTCCCGGCCCGGTTGCTCATCACATCACCACTGGAGCAAGCTCCGCCCTCTGCCCCCCACACCCTCCCCAGTGTGGGAAAGCACCCTCGCATGCTGTCTCATGCTTGCCGCTCCAAGGCCCCATCAAGCCTTGGCCACGTCTCAGCCACAGCTCAGCCCCCTCCTGGTCGATGCACCCAGGCAGCCCCCTTGCGCGGCGGAATCCTTGTTTCCTGCACAGGACAAACACACCGAGTCAGTATACTGAAAAGGACATGGCTAGGAAAACGAAAGTTTGAGACAGCTTGCAGAAATACAGCTTGCAAGGAAACAACTTCCAAGGAAAAAACTTGCTTCGTGGGTTGCAGCTTGAAAGTTGCAGCGCAGTGCAGCTCCTCCCAGCAGCTCCACCTCCCAGCAGCTCCACCTCCGAGCAGCTCATTCCATGCCATGCCATATCATGTCATCCCATGCCATGCCATGTCATTCCATGCCATTCCATGCCATGTCATGTCATCCCATGCCATGCCGTGTCATCCCATGCCATGCCGTGTCATCCCATGCCATGCCGTGTCATCCCATGCCATGCCGTGTCATCCCATGCCATGCCGTGTCATTCCATGCCATGCCGTGTCATAACATGCCATGCCGTGTCATCCCATGCCATGCCATGTCATCCCACGCCATGCCGTGTCATCCCATGCCGTGTCATCCCATGCCATGCCGTGTCATCCCATGCCATGTCGTGTCATAACATGCCATGCCATGTCATCACATGCCATGCCATGTCATTCCATGCCATGACATGTCATTCCACGCCATGCCATGTCATCCCACGCCATGCCATGCCATGCCATGCCACGCCATACCATGCCATCTCATGCAAGCCATCCCATGCCATGCCCTGCACAGGACGAACACATAAAGTCAGTACAGTGAAAACGAGAATTGAAGGGAAGACATGGCTGGAAAAAAAAAAAAATTTGAACCAAGCTCGAGACAGCATAAGGAGACTGCTTGAAGGGAGACAGCTTACTTCTTAAGTTGCAGCTCCTCCCAGGAGCTCCTCCCAGGAACTCCTCCCAGGAGCTCCTCCCAGCAGCACCGTTCAGCTCCTCTCAGCAGCAACGTTCAGCTCCTCCCAGCAGCACCGTTCAGCTCCTCCCAGCAACGCCGTTCAACTCCTCCCAGCAGCGCCATTCAGCTCCTCCCAGCAGCGCCGTTCAACTCCTCCCAGCAGCGCCGTTCAACTCCTCCCAGCAGCGCCGTTCAACTCCTCCCAGTAGCGCCGTTCAACTCCTCCCAGCAGCGCCGTTCAACTCCTCCCAGCAACGCCGTTCAGCTCCTCCCAGCAGCGCCGTTCAACTCCTCCCAGCAGCGCCGTTCAACTCCTCCCAGCAGCGCCGTTCAGCTCCTCCCAGCAGCGCCGTTCAACTCCTCCCAGCAGCGCCGTTCAACTCCTCCCAGCAGCGCCGTTCAGCTCCTCCCAGCAGAGCCGTTCAACTCCTCCCAGCAGCGCCGTTCAACTCCTCCCAGCAGCGCCGTTCAACTCCTCCCAGCAGCGCCATTCAACTCCTTCCAGCAGCAGCAGGCAAGCAGCATCGCTTCAGCTCCAACAACAGTAAAAGGTCCCTTCCCTGCACAAGACAAAAAACTAAGTTAGAATCTGGAATGCCTTAAACATTACAATGCAGAAACGTTCAAATCAGAAAAGAAAGAGCTGAAGGCAAAAACACGATTCGACGCGGACGCGGTGTAAGCGATAACTTACTTGAGAAGTCGAATTGGAGGACAATACGGGTGGCGGTTGGTGGGTGGTGTGTGGCGATTGGCGGGTGGCGTATGGAGGGGAGTGTCTTCAGCTTCAACAGCAGCAGCAGCGCTTGACTTGACTTGAGCTCCAGCAGCAGCAGCGCTGCTTGATTGCAGCTCCAACAGCAGCAGCAGGCCGCTTGACTTAAGATGCAACAGAAGCGGAGGTCCCTTCCCTGCACAAGACAAAACAACTAAGTTAGAATCTGGAATTTCTTAAAGCATACAATGTAAAGACGTTCAAAACAGAAATAGAGAGTGCAAAGGGCAAAAAAAACGACTTGACAAGGAAGAGGTTTAAACGGAAACTTACTTGAAGAGTTGAATTGGAGGACAAGGCGGGTGGCGGGTTGGCTGGTTGGCGGTTGGCGGGTGGAGGATGGAGGGGCGTGTCTTCAGCTTCAACAGCAGCAGCAGCGCTTGACTTGACTTGAGCTCCAGCAGCAGCAGCACCGCTTGATTGCAGCTCCAACAGCAGCAGCAGACCTCTTGACTTAAGATGCAACAGAAGTGGAGGTCCCTTCCCTGCACAAGACAAAACAACTAAGTTAGAATCTGGAATTTCTTAAAGCATACAACGTAAAAACGTTCAAATCAGAAAACGAAAGAGCAAAGGGCAAAAAAACGACTTGACAAGGAAGAGGTTAAACGGAAACTTACTTGAAGAGTTGAATTGGAGGACAAGGCGGGTGGCGTGTTGGCTGGTTGGCGGTGGGTGGCGGATGGAAGGGCGTGTCTTCAGCTCCAGCAGCAGCAGCGCCGCTTGATTGCAGCTCCAACAGCAGCAGCAGGCCGCTTGAGTTAAGATGCAACAGAAGCGGAGGTCCCTTCCCTGCAGAAGACAACACAACTAAGTTAGAATCTGGAATTTCTTAAAGCATACAATGTAAAAACGTTCAAATCAGAAATCGAAAGCCCAAAGGGCAAAAAAAACGACTTGACAAGGAAGCGGTTTAAACGGAATCTTACTTGAAGAGTTGAATTGGAGGACAAGGCGGGTGGCGGGTTGGCGGTTGGCGAGTGGCGGATGGAGGGGCGTGTCTTCAGTTTCAACAGCAGCAGCAGCGCTTGACTTGACTTGAGCTCCAGCAGCAGCAGCGCCGCTTGATTGCAGCTCCAACAGCAGCAGCAGGCCTCTTGCCTTAAGATGCAACAGAAGTGGAGGTCCCTTCCCTGCACAAGACAAAACAACTAAGTTAGAATCTGGAATTTCTTAAAGCGTACAATGTAAAAACGTTCAAATCAGAAATCGAGAGTGCCAAGGGCAAAAAAACGACTTGACAAGGAAGAGGTTTGAACGGAAACTTACTTGAAGAGAGAATTGGAGGACAAGGTGAGTGGCGGGTTGGCTGGTTGGCGGTTGGCGGGTGGAGGATGGAGGGGCTCAGTTTCAACAGCAGCAGCAGCGCTTGACTTGACTTGAGCTCCAGCAGCAGCAGCGCCGCTTGATTGCAGCTCCAACAGCAGCAGCAGGCCTCTTGACTTAAGATGCAACAGAAGTGGAGGTCCCTTCCCTGCACAAGACAAAACAACTAAGTTAGAATCTGGAATTTCTTAAAGGATACAATGTAAAAACGTTCAAATCAGAAATCGAGAGTGCCAAGGGAAAAAAAACGACTTGACAAGGAAGAGGTTTGAACGGAAACTTACTTGAAGAGTTGAATTGGAGGACAAGGTGAGTGGCGGGTTGGCTGGTTGGCGGTTGGCGGGTGGAGGATGGAGGGGCGTGTCTTCAGTTTCAACAGCAGCAGCAGCGCTTGACTTGACTTGAGCTCCAGCAGCAGCAGCGCCGCTTGATTGCAGCTCCAACAGCAGCAGCAGGCCTCTTGACTTAAGATGCAACAGAAGTGGAGGTCCCTTCCCTGCACAAGACAAAACAACTAAGTTAGAATCTGAAATTTCTTAAAGCATACAATGTAAAAACGTTCAAATCAGAAATCGAGAGTGCAAAGGGCAAAAAAACGACTTGACAAGGAAGAGGTTTGAACGGAAACTTACTTGAAGAGTTGAATTGGAGGACAAGGTGAGTGGCGGGTTGGCTGGTTGGCGGTTGGCGGGTGGAGGATGGAGGGGCGTGTCTTCAGTTTCAACAGCAGCAGCAGCGCTTGACTTGACTTGAGCTCCAGCAGCAGCAGTGCCGCTTGATTGCAGCTCCAACAGCAGCAGCAGGCCTCTTGACTTAAGATGCAACAGAAGTGGAGGTCCCTTCCCTGCACAAGACAAAACAACTAAGTTTGAATCTGGAATTTCGTAAGGCATACAATGTAAAAACGTTCAAATCAGAAAACGAAAGATCAAAGGGCAAAAAAAACGACTTGACAAGAGGTTTGAACAGAATCTTACTTGAAGAGTTGAATTGGAGGACAAGGCGGGTGGCGTGTTGGCTGGTTGGCGGTGGGTGGCGGATGGAAGGGCGTGTCTTCAGCTCCAGCAGCAGCAGCGCCGCTTGATTGCAGCTCCAACAGCAGCAGCAGGCCGCTTGACTTAAGATGCAACAGAAGCGGAGGTCCCTTCCCTGCAGAAGACAACACAACTAAGTTAGAATCTGGAATTTCTTAAAGCATACAATGTAAAAACGTTCAAATCAGAAATCGAAAGTTGGAAGGGCAAAAAAACGACTTGACAAGGAAGCGGTTTAAACGGAATCTTACTTGAAGAGTTGAATTGGAGGACAAGGCGGGTGGCGGGTTGGCGGTTGGCGAGTGGCGGATGGAGGGGCGTGTCTTCAGTTTCAACAGCAGCAGCAGCGCTTGACTTGACTTGAGCTCCAGCAGCAGCAGCGCCGCTTGATTGCAGCTCCAACAGCAGCAGCAGGCCTCTTGACTTAAGATGCAACAGAAGTGGAGGTCCCTTCCCTGCACAAGACAAAACAACTAAGTTAGAATCTGAAATTTCTTAAAGCGTACAATGTAAAAACGTTCGAATCAGAAATCGAGAGTGCTAAGGGCAAAAAAACGACTTGACAAGGAAGAGGTTTGAACGGAAACTTACTTGAAGAGTTGAATTGGAGGACAAGGTGAGTGGCGGGTTGGCTGGTTGGCGGTTGGCGGGTGGAGGATGGAGGGGCGTGTCTTCAGTTTCAACAGCAGCAGCAGCGCTTGACTTGACTTGAGCTCCAGCAGCAGCAGCGCCGCTTGATTGCAGCTCCAACAGCAGCAGCAGGCCTGTTGACTTAAGATGCAACAGAAGTGGAGGTCCCTTTCCTGCACAAGACAAAACAACTAAGTTAGAATCTGGAATTTCGTAAGGCATACAATGTAAAAACGTTTAAATCAGAAAACGAAAGAGCTAAGTGCAAAAAAACGACTTGACAAGGAAGAGGTTTGAACGGAATCTTACTTGAAGAGTTGAATTGGAGGACAAGGCGGGTGGCGTGTTGGCTGGTTGGCGGTGGGTGGCGGATGGAAGGGCTTGTCTTCAGCTCCAGCAGCAGCAGCGCCGCTTGATTGCAGCTCCAACAGCAGCAGCAGGCCGCTTGACTTAAGATGCAACAGAAGCGGAGGTCCCTTCCCTGCAGAAGACAAAACAACTAAGTTAGAATCTGGAATTTCTTAAAGCATACAATGTAAAAACGTTGAAATCAGAAATCGAAAGCCCAAAGGGCAAAAAAACGACTTGACAAGGAAGCGGTTTAAACGGAATCTTACTTGAAGAGTTGAATTGGAGGACAAGGCGGGTGGCGGGTTGGCGGTTGGCGAGTGGCGGATGGAGGGGCGTGTCTTCAGTTTCAACAGCAGCAGCAGCGCTTGACTTGACTTGAGCTCCAGCAGCAGCAGCGCCGCTTGATTGCAGCTCCAACAGCAGCAGCAGGCCTCTTGCCTTAAGATGCAACAGAAGTGGAGGTCCCTTCCCTGCACAAGACAAAACAACTAAGTTAGAATCTGGAATTTCTTAAAGCGTACAATGTAAAAACGTTCAAATAAGAAATCGAGAGTGCAAAGGGCAAAAAAACGACTTGACAAGGGAGAGGTTTAAACGGAATCTTACTTGAAGAGTTGAATTGGAGGACAAGGCGGGTGGCGTGTTGGCTGGTTGGCGGTGGGTGGCGGATAGAAGGGCGTGTCTTCAGCTCCAGCAGCAGCAGCGCCGCTTGATTGCAGCTCCAACAGCAGCAGCAGGCCGCTTGACTTAAGATGCAACAGAAGCGGAGGTCCCTTCCCTGCAGAAGACAAAACAACTAAGTTAGAATCTGGAATTTCTTAGGATACAATGTAAAAACGTTCAAATCAGAAATCGAAAGTCCAAAGGGCAAAAAAACTACTTGACAAGGAAGAGGTTGGAACGGAAACTTACTTGAAGAGTTGAATTGGAGGACAAGGTGAGTGGCGGGTTGGCTGGTTGGCGGATAGAAGGGCGTGTCTTCAGCTCCAACAGCAGCAGCAGCGCTTGACTTGACTTGAGCTCCAGCAGCAGCAGTGCCGATGATTGCGGCGCCAACAGCAGCAGCAGGCCGCTTGGCTTGAGATCAGACAGCAATGTGGTCCCTTCCCTGCCTAAGGCAAAAATACTAGTTAGAATCTGGAATTTCTTGAACAATGCAATGTTGAAACATTCATATCAGAAAAACGTAAGCGCAAAAAGCAAAAAAACGATTCAACAAGGAGGCCTTGTAAACGAATACTTACTTGAGAAGTCGAATTGGAGGACAAGGCCGGTGGCGGTTGGCGGGTGGCGGGTAGCGGTTGGCGGGTAGCGGTTGGCGGGTGGCGTATGGAAGGGCGTTTCTTCAGCTCAACAGCAGCAGCAGCACCGATGATTACAGCGCCAACAGCAGCAGCAGGCCGCTTGACTTGAGATCAAACAGCAGTGGTGGTCCTTTCCCTGCACAAGGCAAAAAAAAGTTAGAATCTGGAATTTCTTTAACAATACAATGTTTAAACATTCAAAGAAACTTTCTTAACAATGTATCTTAAAACACGGAACTGAGATAGATCTACCACAGTAGCAAGAATGAAATCATAATTATACTTACTTTAAATGTCGACTTGGAGGGAAAGGACACCCTCCTTCCATATCCGTTCAGCTTGATTCCAGCTCCGTTCAGCTTGATTCCAGCTCCGTTCAGCTTGATTCCAGATCCGTTCACCTTGAATCCAGATCCGTTCAGCTTGATTCAAGCTCCGTTCAGCAGCAGCAGCTTCCTTGCCTGCAGAAGCCAACAGCACGAAGTTAGAACTTGCAAAGAATATTCCTAAACAATGTGTCTTAAAAACACGGAACTGAAATAGATCTACCGCAGTAGCAAGAACGAAATCAGATACATACTTACTTTGACAGTCGCCTTGGAGGAAAAGGACACCCTCCTTACAGCTCTGTTCACCTCCTCCCAGCAGCTCCTTCCAGATCCGTTAATACCAAGTCCGCTAAGCTTGATTCCAGATCAGTTAAGCTTGATTCCAGCTCCGTTCAGCAGCAGCAGCTCCCTTGCCTGCAGAATGCAACAGCATAATGTTAAAAGTTGCCAAGAATAATTCTTAACAATGTACCTTAAAACACGGAACTAAAAAATAGAATGAAATCAGATTTATACTTTTTACTTACTTTTAAAGTCGACTTGGAGGGAAAGACACCCTCTTTCCAGATCCGTTCAGCTTGATTCCAGTTTCGTTCAGCTTGATTCCAAATCCGTTCAGCTTGAATCAAGCTCCGTTCAGCAGCAGCAGCTCCCTTGCCTGCAGAAGCCAACAGCACGAAGTTAGAACTTGCAAAGAAGATTTCTCAACAATGTGTGAAATATATCTACCGCAGTAGAAAGAATAAAATCAAGTTTATACTTACTTTTGAGAGTCGACTTGGAGGGAAAGGACACCCTCCTTCCAGATCCATTCAGCTTGTTTCCAGCTCCGTTTAGCTTGATTCCAGATCCTTCAGCTTTATTCCAGCTCCCTTCAGCTTGATTCCAGATCCGTTCAGCTTGATTCCAGCTCCGTTCAGCAGAAGCAGCTCCCTTGCCTGCACAAGGCAATAGCACGAAGTTAAAACTTGACAAGAAGCTTTCCTAACAATGTATTTCAAAAACAAGGAACTGAAATTCAAATCTACCGCAGTAGCAAGAATGAAATAAGATATACTTACTATAAAAGTCGATTTTGAAAGTACTTGAAAGTAAACCAGCAGCATCTCCTCATAGCGAAGCGAAGTGAGTTCGTTTGAGCTCCAGCAGCCGCGTCACCTCTTAAAACGCGTCTTCTTCACTGGGGAATGGACGAAAAGACAAAACAAAAGTTAGTGGCCAATCAATACAGTAGCAAAAAAACGGAAAGCAAAAGCGAACTTAAACACGAAACAATTGCAAAAAAACGACGTGAAAGTGAATGGATGATGGTGGAAACGTCCATGACTCTTTGAATGGCCACAGCTCGGAGGGGGGAGAATCTATCGCTACCCTTTCCCAAGCTACCCAAACCGAGGAGGATACATCCGTTTACTGCGACCATCATCGAGTCAGAGGGACGGTGCATAGTGAAATATGAATGATGTGTGGATGTGAGAAAAACATAAAACAGCATTAAGCGGAAAAAAAAATAGGAACGTTAAGAAGAGAATGACACTTCCCAGTTGCAGTCGGTGGTGGAATCGAGAGGAGATCCGCTCATCACGACCGCCATCGCACTCTCTAGATTGACGATGTTGATGTTGGTTAGCGCCGTCCAGAAGAAGCAGCAGTTGAAGGGTTGCCCGAAGTGGTGGACGAGGAAACGCCAAGTTGTTCAAGTGCTAACGTCACAATGAGCAAATCTGCTAACGTCAAGTGCTAAGCGTGGTTCAATTGGCTCTTCTTCCATCACAAGGAGGAAGAATGATCATGTTTCAAGAGGGGTCGAGGTTTGGGAAAAGTGGTGGTGGTTCGGATCATATTTTTGCCGCGCATTTCTCAAATGAAGACGAACGGGATTGGATGAAATCTACCCGCGCATCGATGAAACCGTCAGCAGGAGCCGCTAATCTGCCATGAGAGCCGCTAAAATTCGCGGGTTGCTTGTGAGGAGTCTGCCTGAGCAAACCCTAGCGGGAAGAGGAGGGTGGAGCAGACGAGAAAACAGTGTCAGAACCCTTTCTAGTTCAAGGGAAGTGGTTTCAGTTGGATCATTTTTTTGGCTGACAATTTCGGCGTGCCCCTAGTTTTGAACCATGGACAAAATTTCCAAAAAAAGGGGATCTGAACACAATTCGTGCTAAGTACCCACCGGGAATCTAAACACAATTCGTGTCTGGGTACTTAACACGAATTGTGTTTAGATTCCCAGCGGGTACTTAACACTTCCCGCTGGGAATCTAAACTCAAACCCAGCAGCGACAATTGAAGGTGAGCAGCATTTCTCGTTCACCCCGCCAGCATGTGTTCTTTCATCACGGGAATCTCAAGAAGCCATCAAACCAGCTTCAATGGTGGCCCCCACCGTGGTCCCCACCGTGGTCCCACCCCACGAATTGCTGCCCAAGAACTCTCCTCGAAAATATTTGGAAACCGACTTTGCAGTAAGGCGGGTCTCAGTTGTGTTGCGGTGTTTCAGCCTCCCGAGGCGCGTGAGATGTTACCCCAGACCGGCGAAGTGGATTTTTGTGAAGAGAGAATGTTTTCGCGGGAGAGTCCTTTCGTCATGATTGCTGTGCTGTGCTGTAACCTGTAACAGAGGCTCAAAGATCATCGCGACTCGACAGACACCTGACTTGACGGCAAGCACAGAAATACGGCTTTCTGTCTACGTCATGCATTGGAACAAGAAGGGACGCAACGCAAGTCCAGAAGTGGGTTTGGGCGTGCTTGAGGTGTGGCTGCGCAGCAACTTAATGCTCGGCTTTGATGCTATAACGAAGATATTGAAATGTCGCGAACAACAACCAAGCCACTTACATTGTTCAGCACTTACAAACTCACGATTTACACTCAACAATCTGATCTGATCACATTTCACTTCCCTCAAACTCTAGAAAACATTCAGATTTATGTACACAATAAATGCACATGCATAGATTATTGTGCCAATCCGACCCAAGTTTCTGAACTCCTTCCCACATCCCCTAATCATATCAGCTGCAACTTGAATATATCCTTGCGCCAAATGCCCACGCAACGCAACGTCCATTCCATTTGACTTACCAATACGTCAAATTATGTCAACCTATTTTCTTGGTATATATTGTTTATCTAGAGCCCCAGGGCTCAAACAACATGGTAATTCTTCCAACACCTTAGAGCTAGGTATGAATAATTAGTCAAGTCATCCTTTCTGGCACTCCCCGACCGACCTGTTGCCACACCTACTACAACTGTGGCACGGGCTTGAGCTCAATCTTTAGGTCCGGTGCCGAACCAAATACTGGCAGGTCACCTGGGTCCACATTCGGCACACTGCTGGCACCGGAGTTGCCTGCCGAGCCTGCAGCAGAGGCTTGGCCCGCAGCCAAGTCTGGGGAGGACTGGAGAGCGTCAAGAATCATCTGAAGGAACAAGCAGTGGCTGTTCAAGCACACATGGGGAAAGGTAGATGGCACGAACACAGGGGATGGGTCACACATGGGGAAGGAATCATCTGAAGGAACAAGCGGTGCCTGTTAAAGCACGCATGGGAGCAGGCGGATGGCAAGAACAGATTGCTGTATTCGAACGGGGGGGTGGGTAACGGTGTGTGCAGAGAGGAATGGCTGCAGATGGGTATCGAAGTGCAGGTGAGAAAAAGTGGCTGAGAGGGAGGAGATGGGCGTGAAGAGGCTGGTCAAGAATAGGAAGGGCTTCAGACGAAATATGAGCATCTGCCTCTCACCATGTGAGGTCGGCTGTGAGCTCTCACCATCTGAGGATTCACAGGAAGGAAAGATCCAAGGAGTCAGCATGACATTCATAGCTTTTTCCCAGCAATGCGCGCCCTCCTGACTTGTGACCTGCCAGGCGCCGGCCAGGAGAGGGGAGAGCATGGGAGACAAGAAGGGATTCACGGGAAGGAAAGACCCGAGGAGCCATCTGGCATCCACAGTTTCCTCCCAACAATGCGTGCCCTCCTGACTTTTGACCTGCCAGGCGCCGGCCAGGAGAGGGACAGAGGCGTGTCGGGAGGGAAAGAATGCAGCAGAATGGGAGTGCAGGGGAGTGGTGACGGGATACGGAAAGGAAATAGCCACCACCCATCCCTTCCCCTCCACCCATCCCTTCTCCCCCACCCATCTCCCCCACCCTTTCTCCCCCTCCCTTTTTCTCTTCCCCCCCACGCACCTAGCGCCTTGTTAGGCAGGAATATGAGTCCGGCACACGTCCCCCACACCGGACGCCCAGAGGCTGCGAATGCCTGCAGCGCGCCGAGCTGGGGGGAGGGACGGGAGTGAGGGGAAGGGAAAAGGGGGAGTGGGGGGGGGGGGGGGGGGGGGGGGGGGGGGGGGGGGGGAGGAGGGAGGAGAAGGAGGCGCGCGGGAGAGTCAGTTGGGATGTTTGGAAACTAGAAAAAGAAGCTGCGAACTCCTGCAGGGCGGGAGTATGATAAAAAAAAAAACATGAGATGCGCAATTGCGCAAAGCAAGCACCTCACCAGTCCGCATCGCTGGGGTGCGAGGCTGGCCATGGTGGCGCCTGAACCGACCGCAGCTCCACGCGGGGTGAGGTTGGCCATGGTGGTGCGGACCTCCGCAGCGCTGCGGGATGGGGAGAGGGAGCGAGAGGAGGGAGGGACGGCCGGGAATGATGAGCGCTTGAACCAGACGTAGATCCCCGTCCGTGCGGACCTCCGCAGCGCTGCGGGATGGGGGGAGGGAGAGAGACGGAGGGACGGCCGGGAATGATGAGCGCTTGTGAGGCGCCTCAAAAGTTGAACCAGCCGCAGCTCCGCGCTCGTGCGGACATGGAAGAGGAATGAGCAACAAGCAACAGTGTCATTCACAAAGGCATCAAAGCAATTTACACTTATTTCGCTGTTCAGAACAATGTGCTCTTTGTACGAACGAGCCTTGAACGAGACTTGCAGCGCCAGCAATGAGCAACAGACGTAAATGCCGTTCACGTGATCGCGAGCTGGCACTGACCTGCTGTGCGTTCGCGAAAGGAGCCTTGCAGCGCCGGCACTCCCAGTCGCATCAAACGACCTGACGCCGACCCGGAATCCGCTGCCATGGCAGCCGAATAAGGGCAGCGGATCTGTGTGATCGAAAATGGAGCAGCGGACGGGTCGCGAATCAGCTTTGACACAAGGATCCACTTGAAATTGCCAATCCGATTAGGCCACGATCAGCATAAAGCTACGGCGATCGGACAGATTTGTTCAAATCACGGATAAGCATGAAGTCACGGCTTAGAGTCACGGATCAGCTTTGTTCAAATCAATGGCTGGCTCCAAGGATCGACTGAACGAATCGCCGATCGGCGACAACACAGCGCATTCGCGACAGCTCGATCGTTATCCAGCGAGCAGACAGACTCGCACAGCGTTACTAGGCCGGCACATGGTAGGCGTCTTTTCATGGCAATGCCTTTTCGTCAGATAAAAATGAGGTTTTCCACTTTGCTAGCTTGTGTTGTTTGAATGTAAGCTATAAAGGCCGTCGCCCGTCGCGTACTGTGTTGTTTGAAGCAACAGCACGAGTAGCTCACCCGTCGCCTACTCAGGGGTATCTTGCCGCGACTCGAGCTTGCAGCAGGCAGCATGATGGGGCATTCTTGCCGTTTGAAAAGCGACATGGCGTATGGAAAGGCAGCAATTGTGATTTCTTCAACAAACAAATGTTACAAGCCCGAACAGAAGCGAATCTGTTCCAAGAGAATCACCGCGATGACTTCAAGGTGACTCTTTCTCTAATCCAATCAGAAGCCTTGCCGCCAAGCAAGTCCTTTTCCATGCAATCTGGGAGACTTCAATCTCCCCCACACTTCGCCTCGATCCTTTCACTATCTCATCCCATCCATCCCACGCCGTCAGCACGCCTTCAGCACGGCCTATTCGTTGGGCTGGTGTAGTTGTTTGGTGAACATGTGTTGGTGAATTTGTCACTCCGAGCCTTCGCCTTCCTCTGCATGTCTCCCGCTGCCCACTGCCGACCAAAAAAAAACAGAACCCGACTTAGGAGATGCTTATTCACTAAATCGCTCTCACAGAATCTCACTGTCTCTTTCCAAAACCTCGTTTTCTTCATCTAGACCTGCCTGGTAGAGCAATGCCGTACGTTCCGCCCATATGCGAGCCGGTGCAAGGATTTCTGGTTCCGAACCTCCTCCGGGGAGGACGCCAGCAGCTTCGGGTCGAGGACATGCAGGCTCGGAAAATAGGTCTGGGAGAGGTCGAGGCAGAGGCCGTGGTCAGGCGGGTGGCCGAGGCAGAATCCTCTCGATAAGAAATGCTCCCGATGTTGCACGGGCTACAATAATTGACGATTTTGCCGAGCGAGAATCATCCGTTATTGAAACATCTTGCAGCAGCAACTGTGCGTGTAACGGGGGTAATGGTCGCTGTAACCGCATGCTCCTCAGATTTCGACCGTTCAAAGGCAGGAGCTACGTGCATCTACAGGATCAGAACCTCTCCCTTCTGTTTAAAGTTCCAGAATCCGACATCGTCCATATTGAGTCACCTGATAACGAAACCACCCAGCCGCATGATGATTCCCGGTCTTCTGAATCCTCTGAAACCGTAACCCCCTCTATAGATTATCGTTCAGCTGCTTCCGCCTCTGTGGATTCCCCCTCCACCTCCCTTCCTCCCCCTATCGCGACCCCGACCTCCTTATTCGACGCCATTGCCGTGCCGCTTCGTGCGGGGTTGGATGCGGTTCACAGGGATATGCAATTTGCCGCCGAGCCGCAGCTAAGACGGTCCACTTTGGACCGATGCAAACTCGTGGTGCGGCTCGGGAAGCTGCTCTTCGGGCCGCCGTTTGAAGCTCCGGGGTAAGACATGTGTGAGAGAAGAGCGGCGAGACAGGGGGGGGAGATAGCGGGATAATGTCCTCGGCGGGGAAGCGAGGGAGGGGTGGATGCAAGCTCGTGCTGCGGCTGGGAAAGCTGCTGTTCGCGCTTTCATTTGGATTCAGGTTTCAGGGTTTACGGTGAGTGAGTCGGTTGGGAAGAGACAGAGGGGGGAAACGGGAGTGAAGGCACGAGGGAGAGGCATGTGAAGTCGATTCTCAACAGACACAAGCACCGCCTCATATGTTCCCTTTCCGTCTCTGCACCTGTTTGCACCACTCTGCACCTCTTTGCACTTCCCTTCACACAGGGATCTCCTCCCCAACCTGCCGCCCTTCACAGCGGGTGCATTGGAGTCGGTTTTCAACCGTCTGCCAGGCAGCACCTCCAGCTTCAACCGTGCAGGCTCTACAGCACAGCGCCTGCCAGCCAGGGTGCACCGATCGCTGGAAACAGGCATGCCTGAGCCGCTCTTTCAGGCCGTGGAGAATATTGCTACGGAAGTGGACGGGGCGAGCACGTGCATGCGAGAGGCGTACCACATACGGGTATGAGTCCCGTGGCATGTGAATGGAGTTGCCACACAGGGGACAAACGGCAGCGAGGGATAGAAATCATTTTTCGGCATTGCAAATAGATGTAACAGGAATAGGTACCCCTGGGACATTGCAACCACTCACTTGTTTCTGTCGATCACTTTCTTGGCACTTCTCTTCTGCCCCCTTTGTTCCTCATATTGCTGATTCGTTACAGGTAACAGACACAGACCAGATGGACTTAGAGTACAAGCTGACATGCAAGCCCAATCCGGATGGCACAGGGGTTATCCTCGTTAAGGTGTGTTTCATTCTTGGCGTCTGTCTTGGGTGCTTAGCTGCTCATCTCCTTGTAAGCCGCTTCAAGTGCATGAAATCCCTTTCCATCTCACCCCAACTTGATCCTGCCCTTCCTCAACTTATCCATCCCACTTCTGCACTGCCTTGCTTTGCACCCCTCTACAGGTGAAGCGCAATGTTGAGCGCTATACAGGCATTGACGTGGCTTGTCCTTCCAAGGAAGTTGACTTCCGCCTCATGCTCTCCATGTGTGCACTCCCTGTGTGCTATCCCGATGTGCATTCCCGTGCCTTGCACCCCACAAGGTGAAGTACGAGACGTTGCGCTATGCAGTCATTGACGTATCTCGCCCCTCCAAGGAGATTGACTTCCGCCTCGTGCTCTCCACTGAGACCCGCCTCTGCTCGCTCGATGTAAGTGTGTGCTCTCTTGATGTATGTCTGTGACGCTGGGCTGGTGCTCATAAGCTGGTGCTCATAAGCTGGTGCTCATGGGCTGGTGCTGCTGTCATGGGGGAGCATTGACTTCCGCCTCATGCTCTCCACTAAGACCCGCCTCTGCTCTCTCGATGTAAGTGTGAGACGTGTGTGTGCCCGTGTCACATGTGCTTGTACCACATGCTCTTTACAGAGACCCGCCTCTGCTCTCTTGATGTAAGTGTGTGCGGTGTGTGTGCTCTCTTGATGTATGTGTGTGCGGTGTGTGTGCTCTCTTGATGTATGTGTGTGCGGTGTGTGTGCTCTCTTGATGTATGTGTGTGCGGTGTGTGTGCTCTCTTGATGTATGTGTGTGCGGTGTGTGTGCTCTCTTGATGTATGTGTGTGCGGTGTGTGTGCTCTCTTGATGTATGTCTGTGATGCCGCTCTCACGTGACCTGGGGGCCATTGACTTCCACCTCATGCTTTCTACTGAGACCCACCACTGCGCTCTCGATGTAAGTGTGCAACAGAGTGCATGTATGCATGTATGCATGTATGCATGCATGCATGTGCAGTGCTTCACATGAGCCGGAAGCCATTGACTTCCACGTCATGCTCTCCGCTGACACCCGCCTATGCAACACATACACATGTTCTTGTAACGTGTGCGTGCGTTTCCTCTTTGTGGTGCCTATTCTAGTTCATTCAATTTCTCTCTTCTCAAGCTCTCTTGCTCTCTATCCAACTTCCTTTCCTCCCCCTCTCCCCGCTTTTCCCCTTCCCCTCTTACCCAGGAGGCCACTCGATCAGTGTGTGAGAGCATAGCATCGACAGCAATCATCGAGGATAATTCGAAGGGCGGCTTACACTGGCCGATCACCTTGGACTTCCACGTCGGCATGACAGAAGCGCGTTCATCACCGCATGCACCAGCCCCGTCGCACCGGTTCAGCGTGACGAGCGTGCGGCATCAGAGGCGGCTGCACGTGCAGACAGGCGGGCAGGTGTGGAAGCTGTCTCGTGTGAATGGAGTTCAGTTCAACCATGGAGGAGGGCGCCTCACGAATGAAGCAGAGTTTTCCCTGCTGGCCTGGCGAGATGCTATGAAGGTGCGGTGCTGGTGTGAGATGGTGCGGTGCTGGTGTGAGTGTGTGCGTGTGTATGTGCATGCGTCTGTGTGCTTAGAAGGTGTGCTTCCTGCTGCCCAGGGTTCTCACAGAGCTCTTGGATTTGTTTTGCAACGGAAGTTGAGATAGTGTTTATGGCCCTAATATTTTCCCCTCTTATTTGCGCCTCTCTCGATGCCATGATTGCTGCAACTGATGCAGTTCAATGCGGAAGCAAGTGCAGGCATGGCTGCTAGTACTCCTCCTTCCTCCCTACCCAGCAAGCCCCCGCCTACAAGCTACTCTGCGGAATCTTGCTTTGACTCAAGCTTGCAGCAGGCAGCACCACAGTGGACTCCAGACAGCATTCTCGCTGATTGCCCTGCCCTTTTAGCCTGGTTGGAGCAGCACCTGCCTTAGAGTTGGCAATGCGAGCGTGCATTAATGTGGTAGTATTTTTGCCCACAAATAAACGTCTTGGGTGTAAGAGATTTTGAGAGACACTGTGCAATGAGAACAAAGGGCAATGGGAGTTTGCACAAGTGCAGGAGTTTGTATCAGTCCCCCTATAGTAGAAGTTGAGTATGTAGATATTGTTGTGAGGAATATTGTGTAGAACATCAGCCATTGCCATCGTAATATAAGCTCCGTCCAGTAACGAGTTTCAGATGTGAATTCGCGATGACTTCAAGGTGACTCCTCGCCCGCTCCAATCAATCTTGCCGCCAAACAGAGCAATTCATCCCATCCATCTCATCCGTCCATCGAACTATCGCAAACTTGGAAGTTTCCGCCGCACATGCTACCTGCGATTCTGCAACCTCCTCTGTTGATGCGCCTGGGATTTCGTCGAATTCCTCCATCGCCATTTTCTCATGTCATTTTCAGCCGAGATATAGCGTCACTTCAACCCAACACTTCCACTCCAGCAGTTGAGATCACGCCATTCCGTTTAGGTATTCTCATTCACGGAGTTGCTCTCGAGAAACCCAGTATATTTTTTATTCTTCCGAAGAGATTGTCGGGATCAGCCATGCCGTACGTTCCTCCTCACATGCGAGCTGGTGCAACAACTTCCGGTTCTGAACCTCCTCCCCGGACGACACCAGCAGCTTCGGGTCGAGGCCATGCAGGCTCGGAGAATAGGTCCGGGAGAGGCCGAGGCAGAGGCCGTGGTCAGGCGGGTGGCCGAGGCAAGAACCTTGTTGCGAACAAAATTGCGATAAAAAATGCTCGCGATGTTGTGCTGGCTACAGTAATCGACGATTATGCCGAGCGAGAATCTTCCGTTATTGAAACACCTTGCAGCAGCAACTGTGCTTGTAACGGGGGAAAAGGTCGCTGCAACCGGATGCTGCTTAGATTCCAGCCGTTCAAAGGGAGGAGCTACTTGCACCTACAGGATCAGAATCTCTCCCTTCTAACGAGAGTTCCAGAAGCTGAATACGACCACATCGAATCACTTGATAACGAGAGCAACCAGCCAACTGGTTCCCCCATCGCTACCCCGACCTCCTTATTCGACGCCATATCTGAGCAGCTTCGCTCGGGGCTGGAAGCGGTATACAGGGAGATGGAGTTTGCCGCCCAGTCGCAGCTCAGGCGGTCCACCTTGGACCGATGCAAGCTCGTCGTGCGGCTGGGGAAGCTGCTGTTCGGGCCGCCGTTTGGATCGCCAGAGTGAGTTGTGGGAGGGAGGGGGAGGTGGGGGGTTGGGAGGGATTGGAGGGTCACCAGTCGCTGGAAATGGGCATGCCAGAGCCTCTCTTCCCCATCTCCTCCCTCCCTGCCCCCTGTATCGCCTCATATGAACCAAACCGAACCTCTTTTCACCCCTCTCAGGTCGCTCTTCCCTAGCCTAACGCCCTTCACGGCAGGAGCTTTGGAGTCCACTCTAAACAGGCGCGCGCAGCGCCTGCCAACCAGGGTACACCGCTCTTCCCCATCTCCTCTTCTCCTGCTCCCCATATCCCCTCATACTCACCTCTCTGAACCTCTCTGCGCCTCTTTTCACCCCTCTCAGGTCGCTCCTCCCCAGCCTACCACCCTTCACAGCGGGGGCGCTGGAGTCGACTCTAAACAGGCGCGCGCAGCGCCTGCCAACCCGGGTACACCGGTCGCTGGAGACTGGCATGCCGGAGCCACTATTCCAGGCTGTGGAGAATATTGTGATGGCTGGGGACGGGGTCAGCACATGCACGAGAGAGAAGTACCACATACGGGTATGTGGCATGTGAGGGTATGTGGCATGTGAGGGCATGTGACATATGCGAAGAGTTGCCTTATACGTGTATGTGCCTTATGCTAGCCGGTAGAAGGCTGGTAGAGAAATTTTGGCAGCCTAAACGGACAGAACATTTTCGGGAATGCCAAGAGACGTAGTGAAAATGGGTCCGCTGAAGTTTAAGCATGCTTTTGTCTCTGTCCTTGTCGTGTCCTTTCGAACTTGTTTTGTCCTCCATGTTGCTGATCCGTTACAGGTACAAGACACAGAGCAGGTTGACACGGAGTACAAGCTGATATGCAAGCCTGATCCGGATGGCTCAGGGGTTATCCTCTTTAAGGTGTGCTTCATATGTTGTTCTTCCTGCGCATACCAATTTTGACGTTCATCTTGTGTGCTTACACGTTCATTGCTCCTTATTACCTGATCTTTTATGCACGCTTGCAAATGTCTCCTATAATTTCTTTAAATGGTTCCATTCTAAGCTGCTTCTCGTCTCTCCCAAGGCATTAGGCACACATCCATCCCACTTCTCCACTGCCCCAGGTGAAGCACAACCCACTGCGCTATGCAGTCATCGATGTGTCTCGCCCCGCCAGGGCCATTGACTTCCGCCTCATGCTTTCCACCGACACCCGCGTCTGTGCTCTCGATGTAAGCGTGAAATGGTACATGTGCATGCAGTGCTTGCATCACGTATCCTTGTGTCACATGTCCGTGTGCAATGTGTGTGTGTGTGGGGGTATCACATGTCCCTGCAGCTCATGAGCCGGAGCCCATTGACTTCCGCCTTACCGACACTCGCCTCTGCGCTCTCTATGTCAGTGCGGTAGGTGTTCTCTCCCCCGTTTTTCCCTCCCCACACACCCAGGAGGCCACTTGATCAGCATGTGAGCGCATAGCATCGACCGCAATCAGCTCAAAAGGCGGCCTGCACTGACCCATCACGCTCGACTGTTAAGTCAACGCAAATGTCATCTCCTGTTTTCCCCACTCTCAGGATGCCACCCGGTCAGCATGTGAGCGCATAGCATCTACCGCAATCATCGAGGAGAGTGGAAAAGGCGGCCTGCACTGGCCCATCACACTCGACTTTGACGTCGGGATGAAGGACCCGCGCTCACCGTCCCACGCACCAGCAGCACCACCAGCGCCATCGCATCGCCTCAGAGTGAAGAGTGTGCGGCATCAGAAGCGGCTGCGGGTTCGGTCGGGCGGGCAGGTGTGGAAGCTGTCGCGAGTGAATGGGGTGGAATATGACCATGGGGGAGGGCGCCTCACGAATGAAGTGGAGTTTTCCCTGCTGGCCTGGCAAGATGCCATGAAGGTGCGCACGTGTGCGTGTAGGTGTGCGTCTGTGTGCTCATGGCGCCTCACAAGTGAATTGGAGTTCTGCTTGAATGTGGGTCGCTTCTGAAGTTGTGAGTCCAACGGGAATCTTATATCACCATTGTCATCTGATCGTTCTCCTCCTTGTTCATCGTGTCCCCTCTCGTTGCCATTTTTGCTGCGACTGTCGCAGGCAAAGCAGGAGCCAAGGGACGGTACGACTGTTGCCCCTTCTCTCTCTTTCCTGCCGGACGAGCCTTCACCTAAAGCCTACTCGGCAGGATCTTGCTTCGACTCAAGCTTGCAGCAGGCAGCACCACAGTGGACTCCAAACAGCATTCTTGCCGATTGTACCGCCCTCATTAACTGGCTGCAGGAGCACTTGCCATAGGGAACAAAAGCTCGAGCATGTGATTAATTAAGACCCCATTTTAGGCATGTAAGTTTCTTACTGTATGCCTGTGAATTGTACTTCCAAGACGTGGTCTTGAAACAATCAGCGCAAGCTGTGACTCTTCTCTTGTTCCAAACTCTTTCACGTCGTCCTTTCAAGTTCCTGGTATGTGCTCACTGCTTGTATCGGATCAGAATGTACGAGGGCCACAAGCTTCATTCTCCAGCCCACCTCGAGATTTCCGACAGGTAATGCCAGCAATTCCGTGAGCCATTTCAGATTGAGCCGCTACTGAGCAGTATTCATGGCAGCTTGTGGTTAGTTCCAAGTTTCGTTAGTTCCAAGGGATGGCTGCAGCAGGAAGCCATGGCTGTACGCCCGCGTCAGAGAACCTTTGTAGCTAATCGGCGGATCGCTTTAGCCTCATGGACCTTTTTTCTCCGAGCTGAGGCTCCGAAACGCGTGCCTTCGTATGCAGAAGTTGCTGGCGCATTATTTTCACTATCATGGCACTTTACGAGTCCTATAGGCAGCGATTCAAGCTATCCGCGAGAGGCGGCGGTCCGCTCACCCATTCCCCTGACGCCAGAATCCTAACACTCGTGGATGATTACGATGACAGGCGATCCGATAGCGCGAACCTGGCGCCAGATGGGCGAACTTCGCTGTTTTTCGAGCAGTTTGGTTGCGAAAGTTACCCCTATTTTCGCAAACGTCGCCTTTCGATGTTGTCCAAAGCACCATTTCGAGGCACTCTGGAAGACTGGCTTGCTAACAACGATAAATTTGCGGGTAAATGGGATAACGATCCGAAAAATGACGTAATCAGGATGCTTCATGGTAATAGTAACGAGGACCGCAGTGGGGATGCTAATGGAACGACTAATAATAGGGAAAACGACGAGGTTCTTTCGCGAATGAATGACTCCGACGGTGCGGATTGCCGGGATAGCAGGAAAACCGATGAAAGCACGGATAGTTCACGAGAGACAAGGTTGCTGAATGCAATCCGGCAGCCTCTAACAGACGCTTTAGATCTGGTTCGTGGGAAATTGCAGCGCCATGCTGTGACAGCAGAGGGTGCTGCTGCTGAGAATGGATTCAGGAGGGTCAAGCTTCTGGTCCGGCTTGGCAAGCTGCTGTTCTCGGCCCATGGAAACAGGTACGGTACGTGCTTAGAGATTGCGCTGAACCTGTAGTGATGATGTGTACTGATGGTGTAACAAATGTGTGCTGAAGTGTGCTGAGTGTGAATGGGCTACCAATGGAGTAGATGTACTGAATGCCTGCTGCATATGTGTTGAATGGGTGTTGAATGAATGTGTCCTGAGGTTATGCTTGCACTCAAATGCACTAAAAAGCTGTCTGGTCTGATGTTTGCACATGACTCCTGGATCCTGATTCAGATGTCCGCCTGATTCCATCTCAATTTTCCATCACTGGCTCTCAAACCGAATCCTGCTCACTTCCTTTCAGAAATCGCCTGACCAAGGTTCCGCCCTTCTCTGCGCAACGACTTGAGGATTACATGAGTGGGAGCGAGCAGCAGTTGAAGCTGCCGATTCACCGGGTGTTTGAGACGCACGTCCCTGACAGTGTATATGGCGGATTAGAGGCGATGGTTATGCAAGATTCAAGTCTGGCTTGCAAGAGCAGTGAGAAATACGACATTCAGGTGGAAATCAGTACTTTATGGTTGTTTTTTTCCGTGGATGAATTTATTTAGTCAGAGTATAATGTCAATTGATCTGTGTGCTGAATCTTAATGTGACTTCTCAATTTCAGGTGCTTGATACTTGGTCGCGAGTAATCTACAGAGCAAGCTGTATGTATGATGCTGAAGAGAAACGCTTTCTTGTAGAAAAGGTGAGATGAACTAATCTGAAACGAGTGTTTTCGAGAGCACAGATGTTAAAGGACATGCATGCAATGTCAGCTGCAGCCAGAAGAAACGTTCTGGCTGCATTCATTTGGGATTTCTCTATCCTTGAACCCTTTGGAGAAACGTTCAGACACTAAACAAAAATATGAAGCCCATGTCTCGGATTTCAGGTGAAGAAGTTTCCGGTTCGCTATGGAGTTTTTGAAATTGCACGGCCAGGCAAAGTCCTGGATGTGCGTTTAATCCTGACTGTTGAGACACAACTGCCAGCTCTAGATGTAAGTGCCCCATGCATGCATGCCTTCACGGAAATGGTGAAGACGGGGTTTTCAACGTACCGCTTACTCGCAGTAATCGTGTCCTGCTAATATATATTTATGGCATAAGCTGTCATGTGTATACGTATGTACATGATTGTAGTATACTGGAACAAATCATCTATACCCCTTTCTGCCTCCCTTCAGGAGGCACTCGGAGCTGCATTCCTCAAGGTGCTGGAAGCAGCACAGATTGACCCAGAAAGCCCGGGAGGGGTGCGCATTCCAGAGTACATGATTGAAGGACAGAAGGGCTTTGACGTTTCAGGCATGGAGTGTGACTCCAGCAGCAGTGCCTCTGAAGATACCAGCAGTGTTCACAGTGCTTATAATGGCAGCAGGGGAGGTTCTGATGTCATCAGGGGAGGTTCTGACGTCAGCAGCGGATTCTCCCCTAATAGCACTATAAATTCCAGTGCTGGGGGAAGCAGCAGTGAAGAGACCGGGAGGGAGGTTCCAAGTAAGAGCGGTCAGGCATTTGGCTGTGAGGAAAGTGGTGGCAGAGGGGAGGCTGTGGAAGTTTTCCCGTGTGGATGGGATTGAGTACAAGCAGGGAGGCGGGCGGAGGACGAACATAGTGGAGGTGTGCCCAGCAGCATGGCGGCAGCAGCTCAAGGTAAGAAGTGAGCGAGAGTGTCCAAGTGAGAGCGTTCAGGCGTTTGGCTGTGAGGCGAGTACTGGCAGAAGGGAGGCTGTGGAAGTTCTCCCGTGTGGATGGGATTGAGTACAAGTAGGGTGGCGGGCGGAGGACAAACATAGTCGAGGTGTGCCCAATTTATGGCGGCAGCAGCTCAAGGTAATGAACATAAGCACATATAACAGGTCATGTATGCCCCAATTGCTCAGCATGCAGAACAGGTCATGAGCTTTTGCTCGTTCTTGTTTCGCCCTTGCTACCGGTATGTCACATTTGGCACATGATTCATTTAGCATGTGCCATCATGTGCCATTCCGTCTATTTTTGGCTGTTCTCCCATCCCCTAACCAGGTGGGTAGTGGGGAGCCTGGCTGCTGCAGAGAGCAGTGAAAACCCCACATGGACCTCCCATCCCATTCCTTGCTTCAGGAAGAGCCTGGTTGCTTCAAGGAGCAACAGCAGCACCCCGCATGGTCCTCAGAGCTCATCATTACGGAGTGCCCTGCGCTGCTCTCAATGTGCCTTGCTTGCTCTCCCATCCCCTGTGCAGGGTGACAGTGGGCAGCCTGACTCTTGCAGCCACCAGCAGCAGCACCCCACATGGACCACAGAGCACATCATTACGGGGTGCCATGCGCTGCTCTCACCTTGTCTTGTTTGTTCTCCCATCCCGTATGCAGGGTGACAGTGGGCCACCTGACTCTTCCGGCCAGCAGCAGCAGCACCCCACGTGGACCTCAGAGCACATCATTTCAGAGTGCCCTGCGCTGGTTGCAATGCTAGCTCGGAATTTGCCGTGAACAATCCACCCACCCAGTAGTGCAGTATGTCTTTACACTGTTTTGAGTCCGTCTTGTCTGCCTTTGGAAGGCAGGCTTTCTCTAACAAGGATAGCTACAACTTGTAACACTGTACAGCTACACTTGCTTGCCATATGTACATCCAAGAACTTGCAACACTGTACAGCTACACTTCCTTGCCATATGTACATCAAAGAACTAACAACACTGTACAGCTACACTTCTTTGCCATATGTACATCCAAGAACTAGCAACACTGTACAGCTACACTTGCCATATGTACATCCAAGAACAAGCTGGAGCAGCAGTTGCATCATCTCAAGACCAATCAGAGAAGCCCCAAATCCCTGAGCTGCCTCTCATGTTCCGGCAGCAGTGGCGGTGGCGACCAATCAGGAGGAAGGGTCATTCCAGACAAATCCTCCACGATATATTCCTGGGGAGGGTATGGAACGGATGTGGAGAAGGGAGGAGGGGGACAAGGAGGACGAGGAAGAACCACAGGTGGAAAACTACAGCCAAATCCTCCACAATGAATGCCTGGAGGGGTATGCTTGGAGAGAAGGGAGGAGGACAAGGAGGGCGGGGAACAGACGTAGAGGCAGCAAAGGTGACATTGTAAATAGGTGCATTCCAGAAGGCAGCGACACAGGCAGCAGGAGCAGCAGTATGGTGGCATTGTAACGAAGCGGATCCCTGGAAAGAAATAAGTTTTTTTTTTTTTTTTTTTGAATTATGGTATAAACATGTGTGAGAGCAGAGCTAAAACGGTGAGCGTCATGGGTAAAAAAAAACTATTGCGGTGAAGTACAGGAGGCATCAACGGATGTTGCAAGGTTCCAAGGATATACCGTACCGCCAGCCTCACCAGCTAATGACAAGTACATGCGTAACACATGCGTTTGCCAGAACGTGCAGTACGGAAGTGAGAAGTACCTTAGTGAGAATCCTCTTAGCGAGGACGTGATAAAGCTGCTGCTGACACACTTAGAGACGCCTCGAAAATCGCTAATATGGAAGTGAAAAAGTACCTTAGTGAGGATCCTCTTAGCGAGGACGTGATAATGCCGCTGGCAAATCCGCTGCACCACCAGGATCGAGACCAGCAAGCAGTAAAACACCCCCACGAAAGCCAGCACAACCGATAGGAGCAGCAGGAAGCAAATCCCTCCCTCCCCAGTGCATGTGTCAGCAAAGCAGTCGCTACAGCCAATGCAGGGGTGGGCGCAGCATGAGCAGTCTGGGCAAAGACAGTCGGGAAAAAGGTAGCAGTTTCGACAGCCACCGCACACACTGGGAGGGGGAGAGGTCGGGAGGAGGGCGGGAGAGAGGAGAGATGGACAGAGTGAGAAAAGGAGGAGTGAGAAAAGGAGGAGTGAGAGAGGGAGGGATGTTGTACATGATAAAAGAGAGATGAAAGAATGGCATGTGAAATCGAATGCGCGAAAGAGGATCGCAGCAAGCCTATCAAAGCTCAAGAAGCCAACCACAGAGGCCCGGAGAAGTCTCATCAGCAACACTCAGAGAGGCACGTACCATGGGTCGCAGCCGCAGGCTTCCAGGTCCAGGTCCAGGTCTCTGCAGGGAGCAGCCAGATCGCTGCAGGAAGATGGCATGTCTATCTTTGATTTATGAGGTCTTTGATTTATGAGGCCCCTCAAAAGCACACTCACCGCGGGTCGCAGCAGCAGGCTTCCAGGTCCCTCCAGGGAGCAGCCAGATCGATGCGAATCCGGCGGTCAACACACGTCATGACGGCACCCAGGAGACCGGCACACACAAGGAAGAGCAGCACGCCTGGTTGGGGGGGAGAAGACAGGCGCACGAGAAGATTCAACACGGGGAATGCCGGGAGGGATGGTTGAGGGAACCGGCGGTCAACACACGTCATGATGGCACCGAGGAGACCGGCAGACACAAGGAAGAGCAGCACGCCTGGTCAAAGGAAGACAGAAACACGAGGAAATTAGAAATAGGTGATCATGGTGTCAACACCCACAGAAACTAGGAAGAGATGATAATGAGCAGCACATTTGGTTAAGAAACGGCATGGGAGAGAGCGGCATCGGGTGGGGCTAAGGGTAGTGTGGTAAAGGAAGATTTCACAAACGGGGATAGGATGTGGGTGACTTTTGAGAAATAAAAAAAAGTGTGACTCAGGGTGGACTCAAGGGATGACTGCAACGGAGCGGATCAGCAGATACACGAATACACCACTCTCTCACCGCACATGCCTGGAAGCACACACCACTCCCACACTTACTACCACTTTCACTACCTCTCTCACTCTCTCTCTCACCGCATATGCCTGGAAGCACACACCACTCCCACTCTTACTCCCACTCTCACTACCTCTCTCACTCTCTCTCTCACCGCCTCTCTCACTCCCTCTCTCGCTCCCTCTCTCACTACCTCTGTCACTCCCTCTGTCACTCCCTCTTTCACTCCCTCTTTCACTCCCTCTCTCACTCCCTCTCTCACCACAAATGTAGTAGAACGTTGCTGCGCTTTCCACGCCCCATGATTTCTGCAAGCCCATGTCGAAATAGTAATCCGCCACGTATGCAGTGAAGCCAAAGCAGATAATCAGCTGGTGGGTCGGCGAAGATTGAGGAGGGAAGAAAGAGCATGAGAGAGTGTGCTGGGGTGTACGTGAAAGAAATTTTGAGAGGGTGTGTGAGAGTGAGAGTGTGAAGAAGAGGGAGAAAATAACAGGAATCCCACCATCTGCACCAGCAGCGACTTCTTGAAGCGCGACAAAAATCGTCACCGGGGAAAGAGGTAACTCACCATCTGCACCAGCAGCGTCACAAACACAATATCCCTCGCAACAAAGAATCTGAACTTGATATGGCGGAATCGCGGGTCGGGCGGCGGGCACACGCGCAGGTGGAAGCGCGTCTTGCACGTGGAGCAGTGACAGAAAGCGAATCCCTCCTTGGTGGCCCGCCATTGGTCCAGACAAGAACGGTGCACGAAACGCGCCGAGCCCTTGCATTTGCAGGGCGCGATGAGGTCGTCACCTGGTGCGTGGGAGGGAAGGAAGTTACATGCAAAATCTATGAGAGAATCCCATGCATACGTTGAACACATACATGACAATTTCCATCATGCTACATAAGAAGGAAAGAAAGAAAGAAAGAAAGAAAGAGGAGAAGAAGAAAAAAGAAAAAGGCCTCAACTATTTTTTTTTTATGCCTAAAAAACCGTCTCATCGCACTAGAGAGGGGAACGGATGGACGGATGAAAGAAAAGGCCACGTAACAGTGATGGATGGAAACTCGGTCCATTAACAGAAACGGCTTTTCTGGTGTTAAACCGAGTTTACACCCCTTACTATCGACATGTCCGCGTTTGTATACTGTCACGCGCGGGCATATAGCAGAAACGATTTGCCACGCACCGTCACTCTCGAGGCAGATTCGGCACTGCGGTTGGTGCTCGTCCTCCGCCTCCTCTTCATCCCCGATCGCCGCTTTCCCAGGACGAGTAGGGTTCCGTGACATGCCAGCAGGCCTCCCTGCCATCTCAGCTATCCCTATCCCACCTCGATCCATAACCATCTCCTGCATTCCCCGGAGCCTTTCTGCTCCTCCGACGCTTCCGTATCTACTGGCGTCAGATCCCATCGCAATTCCGCTATTGGGTGGCGCGAGTAGCGGAGTTTCCTCGTCGATATCAACAACCGTTTTCATTTCCCGCGCCTCCTTATCCGCTTCCCTCTCCCCCGTCCTCGCATGTCTGTCTGTGCTCCCTCTCATGTCGACCGCTTGAGACCGTTCCCCTTCCATCTCCCTCAAATCTGCACGCGATCCATCGGACGGTTCGGGCAGAAGCCGATGTCGACTGAACGGCGGAGATCCATCCATGTTTCTATCCTCAAACGCGCGTGACTCTCCCTGCCGCAGCAAGCTCACAATTTCTCGCGCCGCGGACCGACGAAGGATGTGCTCATCACGACGCTATCAACTAATTCTACTGACCTGGCATGTGATGAAAGGCCAATATGAAGTCACCTTGTGCACGACACAACCAGAACGCTAGATATTCGAAAACAAACCTACTACTGGTATGAGTCATGCTAAATATTTCTCTTGAACCAGCCTGCACAAGAATTTGCCCCTCGTGCACGCTATGTCGCGCATGTCGCGCGCTCATGTTTCCCTCCAATAAACCGCTACAAAGTCTTATTAGAACGCTCTTGATCGCGGAGCACCTCAACACAATTGGTTCGAATTTTCCGTGAACAGACCACTACGTCAGAGCTCCAATAAATCAGGTCTAGCTGACACCGATATTTACCGCGCTGAAACACGCTGAACTTGGAAAGAACCGCAACGAGGCCGATATAAACACCACTCTCTGGCTCGGAACTTGCCATTACGCACACACCCAGTTGTACAGTGCATTGATCTAAACCAGCGTTATTATATGTCTCTGATTGTTCTCATCTTTTTATGTCTCCCCAATCTGCCTTCACCACACCAGGATGCCTCCCTGTAGAAAACATTATGTACAGAGTTACGCTACACCAAAACACACGCTTAGAGCACCTACAACCGAACGTTCACCGGAGCATCAACGGCAGAAGCTAATGCACAATCAGATCGGAACCGCCTCCCACATTCATGTATCAGCTGGCCCATACACAAGTGCCTCGCCAGGAACTCGCAGCTAGCTCATCATCATGTATCATCATCAGAGGAATCGCAGATCCCCCTTTTTTAGTCTACTAAAAAAACAGGAACTCGTGTGACAGCTGACGTGCACACAATCAGAGAAGCCGCAGATCCCTCAGCTGCCGCTAGTGTTCCGGCAGCAGTGGCGGTGGGCGACCAATCAGGCCCGTGCACGATCACAAGTGCCTCCCCGGTAACGCGTGTTGCAGCTAGCCCATCATGTATCAGCATCAGAGGAGCCGCAGATCCCTGAGCTGCCTTTCTTAGTCGACTAAAAAAACAGGCGTGCACACAATTTGAGGAGCCGCAGATCCCTCAGCTGCCTTTCGTGCTCTGGCAGCAGCGGCGGTGGCGAGGCAATCAATGAGGCGAGAGAGACATTATCAGCTGGCCCGTGCACGATCACAAGTGCCCCTCCCCAATAACGCGTGTAGCAGCTAGGTCATCATCATGTACAATCAGAGGAGCCGCAGATCCCTGAGCTGCCTCTCGTGTTCCGGCAGCAGCGGTGGTGGCGACCAATCAGGAGGGAGAGACATTCCAGACAAATCCTCCACGATATATTCCTGGGGAGGGTATGGCATGGATGGATGGAAAGAAGGGAAGAGGAGGACAAGGAGGACGAGGAAGAACCACAAGCCGTGAACCACAGGCGGTTGCCAATATGTGTACTATGGAAGTGAGCAAGTACCCGAGTGAGGATACTCTTAGCGAGGACGTGATAGCGCTGTCGCTGACACAATGTGAGGCGCCTCAAAAGTCGTCAATACGGAAGTGAAAAAATACCTTAGTGAGGATCCTCTTAGCGAGGATGTGATAGTGCTGCTGGCAAATCCGCTGCACCACCAGGATCGAGACCAGCAAGCAGTAAAACACCCCCACCAAAGCCAGCACGACCAATAGGATCGCGCCAGTTGTCACCAGGCAAACGAGCACCCCCTGCCCAGTACACATGCCAGGGTGGCAACAGGCGGCGCAGGAGCAGCAGCAGGGCCCCGGATGGCAGTCACAGCCACACACTCTGGGACGGGGAAAGGTAGGGAAGAGGGCGAGATAGATTTTTTAGTTGACTCAGAAGTCATCCCGTTACAACGTTGCAAGGAAGCCACTACAGGCGGTGCAGGAGCAGGAGGAGCAGGAGCAGCAGCAGGGCCCCGGATGGCAGTCACAGCCACACACACTGGGAGGGGGGAACATGGGGGGGGAAGGGCGGGAGATACTTTTCAGTTGGCTCTAAGGTCATCTGGTTACAATGTTACGAGGCAGTCGCTACAGCCGATGAAGGAGGAGGAGGAGCAGGAGCAGGTTCCTGTGCGGGAGCCACACCACAGCCACACACAATGGGAGGGGGGACGATGGGGGGAGAGGGCGGGAGAGAGAAGAGATGGAAGGCACGAGGAAGGGAGCGAGAACAAGGGTTTTTTTGCAGGAGGGAAAACTCACAAGTTGCTATGGTGACAGCACTCGCCCAGGTCCCTGCATGGAGCTGCGAGGTCGCTGCAGAGAAACGGCAGGTTTGTTGTTTCCGAAGCATGAGTGCGCTTAGAAGAATTCGCACACTCAAAAGAACACTCACACGTTGCTGCGGTGACAGCACTCGCCCAGGTCCCTGCATGGAGCTGCGAGGTCGCTGCAGAGAAAGGGCAGGTTTGTTGTTTCCGAAGCATGAGTGCGCTCAGAAGAATTCGCACACTCAAAAGAACACTCACACGTTGCTGCGGTGACAGCACTCGCCCAGGTCCCTGCATGGAGCTGCGAGGTCGCTGCAGAGAAAGGGCAGGTTTGTTGTTTCCGAAGCATGAGTGCGCTTAGAAGAATTCGCACACTCAAAAGAACACTCACAAAAGAACACTCAAGAGAAAGGGGGGGGGGAATCACACGTTGCTGCGGTGACAGCACTCGCCCAGGTCCCTGCAAGGCGCTGCGAGGTCGTTGCGAAAGCGGCGGTCGACACACGTCATAATGGCACCGAACAGACCAGCGAAGATAAGGAAGAGCAGCCCACCTGGTTGGCACAAGGCGTGGGAGGGAGATGTCATATGAGAGGGGTGCCTGGTGGATGGGCAAGGGAAGTGGCGATCACTCAACACACACGTCATGATGGCACCGAACAGACCAGCCAAGATAAGGAAGAGCAGCCCACCTGGTTGGGGGAAGAGAGAAGCACGAGGAGATGGTTGAGGGAGATTTTTACATGAGGAGGTGGTTTAGGGAGATTGGACAAGGAAGGGTGGGATGTGGGTAAGTAAGGGTGGTCAACGGATAAGTACAGGCTTGTGGCATGGCATGTGCAGCACTCCCTCAATGCACATGCATGACATGACAGCACACACCATAGACGTAGTAGTAGACGGTTGGTGCATCTTGACCCCATGCTTTTAAAATCCCCATGTCCAGCCAACAAGGTAACTTCTGAAGTCAAAAGCCCCACGTCTAACCCCGTGCCAAAAGCCCCACGTCAAAAGCCCCACGTCAAAAGCCCCACGTCAAAAGCCACTCTCTCTCTCACCATAAACATAGAATACCGTTGGTGCGTCTTGACCCCATGCTTTCAGAATCCCCATGTCGAAAAAAAAGAAATCCGCTATGTTTACAATGCAGCCCAAAGAGATAATCAGCTGGAGAGGTGGTGGAAATTGAGGAGGGAAGAAGGGGGGGCATGGGAGAAGTGGGGGAATGGGAGAAGGGGGGGAGCAGATCCCGGCGGGGAGAGTGAGGGAGTGAGTGAGGGAGCGAGTGAGGGAGCGAGTGAGGGAGCGAGTGAGGGAGCGAGTGAGGGAGCGAGTGAGGGAGCGAGTGAGGGAGCGAGTGAGGGAGCGAGTGAGGGAGCGAGTGAGGTAGCGAGTGAGGGAGCGAGTGCGAGGAGGAGTGGAAACCCTTTCACCAGAGAGAGTAAGTGTACGTGAGAGAGAGAGAAGATTGAGAGGAAGTGTGTGCGAGAGTGTGAGAGTGTGTGAGAGTGAGAAAACAAAAACAGGGAAACTTACCAGCTGCACCAGCAGCGTCACGAGCACAACATCCCTCGCGACAAAGAATCTGAACTTGAGATGGCGGAATCGCGGGTTGGACAACGGGCACACGCGCAGGTGGAAGCTCGTCTTGCACGTGGAGCAGTGGCAGAAGGCGAATCCCTCCTTGGTGGCCCGCCATTGGTCCAGACAAGAACGGTGCACAAAACACGCCGAGCCCTTGCATTTGCAAGGGGCAATAAGGTCGTGCCCTGTTTGGGGGCCGAGAGAGAAGGTTGGCGGCATGGGTACGAATGAACTGTGTTGAGTTATGAGACGTCTCCAGGCATTTTCGAGACTTCTCAAAAGTACCAATCGTGCAAAGTCTTGAGGCGCCTCAAAAGTACCAATCGTGCAGAGTCCTTGAACCTGCAGGGTGAGGTCGTGACCTGTTTGAGGGGGTGAGAGAGAGGTTGATGGCATGGGCAATGATGGCACGAACAGTGGCACGTGGGGCAATGATGGCACGAACAGTGGCACGTGGAGCAATGATGGCACGAACAGTGGCACGTGGAGCAATGATGGCACGAACAGTGGCACGTGGAGCAATGATGGCACGAACACTGGCACGTGGAGCAATGATGGCATGAACAGTGGCACGTGGAGCAATGATGGCACGAACAGTGGCACGTGGAGCAATGATGGCACGAACAGTGGCACGTGGAGCAATGATGGCACGAACAGTGGCACGTGGAGCAATGACGGCACGAACACTGGCACGTGGAGCAATGATGGCACGAACAGTGGCACGTGGAGCAATGATGGCACGAACAGTGGCACGTGGTGCAATGACGGCACGAACACTGGCACGTGGAGCAATGATGGCACGAACAGTGGCACGTGGAGCAATGATGGCACGAACAGTGGCACGTGGAGCAATGATGGCACGAACAGTGGCACGTGAAGCAATGATGGCACGAACAGTGGCACGTGGAGCAATGATGGCACGAACAGTGGCACGTGGAGCAATGATGGCAGAAGGCGAAGCCCTCCTTGATGGCTCGCCATTGGTCCAGGCAGTGCCCGTGGACAAATTGGGCATAGCCCTTGCTTTTGAGAATTCTCAATAGTAACACCAGCCCGTGGACGTGGACAAATCGGGCACTGCCTGCCCAGGCAGTGCCCGTGGACGAATCGGGCATAGCCTTCGCACCTGCAGGAGGCAATGACGTCGCAACGCGACCTGGTGGGGGGAAGGTGGAGTGGCTGAAGGCATGGAGGGTACTATGACCTGTGGCAAGTTGTGAGACGCGTGAAAGCATGAAGAGGACCTGAAGGACAAATGACGCACGCACTAAAAAAATCGCCACGCACTGTCGCTCTCGAGGCAGATTCGGCACTGCGGTTGGTCCTTGTCCTCCGCCTCCTCTTCATCCCCCATCGCCGCTTTCCCCGGAGGAGCCAGGCTTCTCCGCATAGCGGCACTGCTTGAGAACGGAGGTGCTATGGCAGCAACAAATCGCTAGTACGCACCCGTCACTTTCAAGGCAGATGCGGCACTGCGGTTGGTCCTCGCCCTCCCCCTCCTCCTCATCCCCAACCGCCACTTTCCCCGAAGGAGACAGGCTTCTCCGCATAGCGGCACTGCCATTGGCATTGCTTGAGATCGGAGGTATCATTGTCGCGATTGATGATCCTGACGCATCCCCGCTATTGAGTAGCGGAGTCAATTCGTCAACCTTAACAACCGAGTGCTTTCTCTCCGCCTCCATTTTCCCCGACTCCCTATCGCTCTCCCTCTCGCGGCTCGTCCCCGGTGATCCATCTATGCTTTTTCTCATGTCGCCATCTTGAGACGGTTCCCCTTTCATCTCACTCGAGTTTTCACGCAACGTATCGGAAGGTTTTGGGCAGAAGCTGCTGCCGAATGGACGGCGGAGATCGATCGACGGTTCTATCCCCGGCCTCCCGTGTTTCCCGCTGCCGCACCAAGCTCGCGATTTCCCGCGCCGCGGACTGACGGAAGGGCGTAGCTATCACGAGTCGCGACGATATTAGATCTCGTTACAGGACCTGCAGCAGTTCGGTATTGACTTGTTTAAAACGGGCGACGGCCGTGTTTGACCCCTTGTTCGTGCAGTCATTGGATGGGAAGGGATGGGAGTCATGGGGAGCAGTCAGGATTCGCGATTCGGGAAGGGAGTGTGGTCGGTGGGAAGGTGGGGCTCTGGGGGTGGCTGCGGGAGGAGCAAGTCAAACAAGTCACTCCCGCAGTCAGTCCCATCCCACCAATCGGAAGGTGCGAGTGACGCAGACATCGCTAGTTAGGAACGGCATGATCCGAACGCGTGAGGAGGAAGTGCAAGTCACCCCCGCCCGAGCAAAGAGTAGTGCTGTGGTGTGCTGTGCTCTGCGATTTCCCTCACGCTTCTGAGATCGCCTTCCTGGGCTGTCCCAACTTCGAAGTAGGGACAGCGAAAAGTGCACATGGCACGTGCAAGAGAGTAATTGTGATGAGGTGGAGGGGAACGAATCTGGATGTCGCGTGAGTTCGCAGACCCTGAACGTGCGAAGACCCCCCACGATGAGATGCATTGACGTGTGGCGAGAATATTTCGAGGGTTTAGGGTTGCGAACACTGACTATAAATTGAGTCGTGCTTGCAAATCTGATTGGGCGTTAGGTTTCGCATTTTCATAACGATCGCACACAGCAGTATCGACTGGCACGTGGATTAAACGTGAGAGCTGCCAGGGTGGACAAAAAAATCTGCACTTTTGGGGCTGTCCATGTCCAGACTTCGCAGGAAGGCCCTCTGACAACCCCCCAACCCCACCCCAAGCGGCCAACTTCGCTCGCTTGCTGACTCAGCAGAGCTCATGACTCATGAGACCCACATCTTTGCTGACTCGACAAAGCGCACCTCGGAGTTTGTTGAACAACGTTCTCACAGTCCCCCCCAGCAGCCAAGTGCGGGGAAAGCCGGATTGCTGGAGTTTGAGGAAAGTGAGGGAATTGTAACACAGCGCACAGTAAAAGGCTCCACTGATGATATTCATTTACATTCAGTGTTGGCAATCTATGTTCTCAACTCATTCTTGAACCTTGTATTTGACTTGCTCTCTCTCACAAGCTCATTCTCTTGCTGAACATTCCTTCTCCCACTCCCACCGGCCCACCTGCTGTATCTGATTCCTCTCGTGTTGCTATGCCTGTACCAGTAATTGCACTCCCACACATTCCTTTAGCCAAGGGAAATGAAGCTAGGAGAATTGAGATACAGCAGATTGTCTAGCGTTTTCCACGTAATCAACATTCCTTCCTATCGCACCCTTCCTCTAACCCATCTATGCAGTCAGGGTACACTCGTAGCCCGTGTCGACATCAGGTCAGACACAAAGTGGAGGTGCGGAAGACCTGAAGTGACTCATCTGTGATGGTGAGGCAATTCAAAGTTCGGAAGAGACAAACTGGAGACTAAGGGATGATGACATGATATCTGACACGCGATAAGAATGCAACCTCACTATTTACACACCCTTTCCTCTTCCCCATTTATTCTCTCACTTGGACATGCCAGCAGTGGAGGAGGGCAGTCCAGTATGATAGCTTATGTGGTCCACCTGGAAGGGTTTGTCTCCCAGGGGTTGTCAGCCCCCCATTATTTGCTGCATTTACGGCAGGTTCTCACTCAGCCAAGCCAGCAGCCCAGGGGTCTGGCGCTCCCTGCCGCTGCCACGCCCCCCAGCGTCACCCTACCCTACCTCTCCCAGTATAGTATTTCACTCTGGCATTTGCCCTGCGTTTATGGCAAGTTCTCGCTCAGCCAAGCCAGCAGCCCAGGGCACTCCGCCATGATGTCCCCAGCGCTCCATGTCGGGGGCTGTTGCTCCCTTGCGCTCCCAGGCCCTCCAGTGCCACACTGAGCCAGGGGAACAAATGCACCAGCGGGTGGGACGGCAACAGGGGAGGGAACGAACACAGCAGCAGGTGCATTGGCGAAGGCAAAATGGGATCTGATATTGCGTGCAAGGGCAAACAGGTCTGCCAGTGGTATACTAAGCGAGGGAGAGGAACAGAACAGTGGGTAGGATGGCAGGGGCGAGTGACTGAATCAGGAGTGCTTGATGCATGCAGATTGTGGAAAGAGTAGAAAATCCTTGGAACAAAAATTGTGAGGCTTCTAAGTTAGGGGAGCAGTAGAGAGCGAGTTGATGCTTTGTGTGGGATACTGCTTGAAATTAGACTAGGCTCGCAGTGCTTGCTGTATGTGATGGTGATGGTGACGATGACGGGGAAAGGCATTGTGAAAGTGATGGTGAAAAGTCAACACGTCCTCATACTTACAGTGCCACATGTGATGGTGAAAAGTCAACAGGTCCTCACACTTACAGTGCCACATGTGATGGTGAAAAGTCAACAGGTCCTCATACTTACAGTGCCACATGTGATGGTGAAAAGTCAACAGGTCCTCATACTTACAGTGCCACATGTGATGGTGAAAAGTCAGCATGTCCTCATACTTACAGTGCCACATGTGATGGTGAAAAGTCAACAGGTCCTCATACTTACAGTGCCACATGTGATGGTGAAAAGTCAACATGTCCTCATACTTACACCACATGTGATGGTGAAAAGTCAACAGGTCCTCATACTTACAGTGCCACATGTGATGGTGAAAAGTCAACAGGTCCTCATACTTACAGTGCCACATGTGATGGTGAAAAGTCAACAGGTCCTCATACTTACAGTGCCACATGTGATGGTGAAAAGTCAACAGGTCCTCATACTTACAGTGCCACATGTGATGGTAAAGCTCTCGAGTGTGATGGTGATGGTGTGTGACGGTCAGAGTGAGTGTCTGCTAGCAAGTATGCATGCTATCCTATGGCATGCTATCACATGATGACAAGGACATTAGCATAACAAGCGCTGCCCGCATAGTTCAAGAACCCAAGTTCCCGCTTCATACCTTAAGCTCCTGCTGCCATGCAACCGGGCAAAACTCAATCTCATTTGTCCGCCGCCCACCTCCCTGCTTGTACTCAATCCCATCCACTCGTGCAAACTTCCACACCCTCCCTCCCACCACTGCCTTCCGTACAGTCACATGCCGAACCGCACACACTTGGTACCTTCTGCTTCTGTCGCTCTGCCCGTTCCTCTCTCCAAACGCCCTACCAATGCCATCACAACCGCCACTACCATAACCAAGAGCTGAAGACTCATAGCCTTCGGTTATATGAGCTGGAATGTGTAGCCCTCCTGGTGTCCAAGAGTCGATCTGTGAAAACTCCAAAATCCTCTTTATTGCAGCATCTAGTTCATCCTGTATGGGGTTGCAATGCAAGACAGGATTTCAGATGAATAGGAGAAATGGAAATGCACATACAGGATCTTAGTTGCGAATCTATTTTGTTTTTTAGCATGTGCGTTCACTGTAGAGAATCTCTGGAGTTTAATGTAAAGGCTTGAAACTGCCTTCGCACTGAAGATTCGAAGTTCGCATGCATGCATATGATACTTCCATCCATGCATATACCACGCCACTGATACATAAATGTATGCATAAGGCCTTTACATGCATGCACATGCCACTCACATCCATGCACACACGTGCTCACATCCATACATATGCCACTGAAACATGCATGCATACGCCACTCACATGCATGCAAATGCCACCCACATGCATGCAAATGCCACTCACATGCATGCAAATGCCACTCACATGCATGCAAATGCCATCACATGCATGCAACCGCCATCACATGCATGCAAACGTGACTCACATCCAGCGTATTCAAATGCGCTTCTGTGAATAAAATCAAGCGAGCATCCACGACTTTCTCAGGCCGTGCTATGTCAATGACTGCGTAGCGCAGAGGCAACTTCTTCACCTGAATTCGCAGAAACAGTCAGCAACCACTACAATCATCTTCAAGACATCGCATATTTTGTTAGGCCAGTATTCTAGGCAGAAAATAAATAAATAAATAAAAATCCTGGGAAGGAAATGCATCAATGCCCATTCTCCCAACGAGTCCCACCTTTTTTACATAAAACTGTCGCTCCTCTGCAAGATATGTACACACCACCTTGTAACGAATGCGTGCCTCGGTATCAATAACCTGAACAGGCACAAAGACCACGAATCAATCATATATGTCACCTCCTTATAGACATGCACTCGAGCAACAGCCAACACGGCATAAATACCTGAATGTTGTACTTCTCACTAGATGTGTTCAGAGCAGCCGTTTGGCATGAATCACCAGCATCCCTCATCAGCATGTCTTCCAATTTGCTGTAGACGCTGTCAGGGACGTGCGTCTCAAACGTCCTGTGAATCGGGACCTTGAACCGTGCTCGCTTGTTCATGTGATTCTCCAGCGCTTGAGCAGAAAATGATGGTATCCTGGATAAAGACTCCCTGGAAAACGAGATGAACAAAAAAAGGTAGGAATTTATTTGGTGGGGCTTTGATTGAGCAGCAAATGATTTCTGGATTACAGACTCCTGGAAAATCGCACAAGAAGGAAGTAAGGAACCCAGACATGCCCTGGACGAAAGGGACTCTCATAAAGCACAGAAATAACGGTATGCGGTCACACCAAGTGCATGCGTTAACGTGGCCTGCTTTTGAACATACTCTATTTTTCAGGCACCTTAGATGAATAACAACCCACAGCCTCACCTGGTACACGAGAGCACACGTACCCAGGCCTGTGTTGCACGGAGAATAGCAATTTGCCGAGCCGAACCAGGAGCTTCACCTTCTCGATTTCACCACAATCACCAGCATCTCCCACCTCCAGAGCCCGCTGCTCAATTCTCTCTCGAACCAGATTGAGGGATTCGATCAGAGGCTGCCGAATTGCATTAAACAGTGGGGCCTCTTCTGGGCTGTCCTCGTTTCCCCTGCTGTTCCCGCTGCCCTCCCCATTCGAACCTGTAAGGTTTTCGCTATCCTCGCTGTTAACATCTCCATGAACCGACCATGACTCCGTACCAGAATCATGCTCCAGACCACCCAAAGTGCTATTTCTTTTATACAACCAATTTTCGACATTTCCCTGGAATGGAGCCTTGGCGAGCACGGCAAGAAGTGTATATCCCAAATGGGGGTAGCACTGGTTGCGAAATTCTCTAAAAAGAAGGGAAACTCTCTGGTCTGGCGTGAAAATAAGATCGCCGGCCTTCTTATCTTCGTAATCGTCTACGAGTGCTAGTAACCGGACGTCGCTGGAATGGTAAATGGGACGTTTGGATCTGAGCACTAGTGGAATCGGCCTTCGCGAGTCTCGGTCAGTCATGATACAAAAAAAGGCGCGACAAATCTCTTGCGAGGACTACTCCGTTCCGAAGCTAAGCTGTTACGTGTTAGGCTTCTACTATCAACGTCGTCTTTCTGAACTGCTTTCATGTAAAAAACTACCTCGGATGCAATGAGGAAATCCAAGAGCGTCTGTTCCAAGTCCCTCTCGCCATACTGGATCTCGGAAACGCACAGAATGCGCGCTTCGCTGTCTGTTCGCAGTTCTCAATGCGTGTGCCTATGTCGACATGATCATCTTCGTGCATATTACGAGTCGCCATGCTTATCGTACGAGACAGCTGTTCAGGATTGGGACCAAGTAGTAAAATTCAGTGCACCAGTAAAGACATGGTCGTAGGAGGGTTTTCAGCTTAGCGGGGAGGGGTTTCCCGAACCCTCCGCTTTCAGGTTAGGGGTAGCGCTTTCTGCGCACAGTTTCCGCTAAAGGCTGGGCTAGGGGGGGAGAGTTATTGTTCAGATGAGGGAGTCGAGCTCTCAATGAGCCACGTGTCCCAATTTTCACAGAGAGCTCACTGTAGGTGTTCAATCACAGATTCTCCACTGCTCTGGTTTGTCGTTTTTACTCAATATATTACACTCGAAATACCCCAGCGGACACGCGAGCAAAACAAATAAACCCCAGTCGGGAAGGCATCCGGTCAGGGAGGCATCAACCCTAAACACCTTGTGGCATGGTGTTTAGGGTTGATGCCTCCCTCTGACGCATTTTAGGGAGGAATCAACCCTAAACACGGGACCCTCCTTCTTGTTAGGGTTGATGCCTCCCGAGTCGCACCCCTTCCCGATCGGGTTTAATTTGTTTCGGTCAGGTAGGGTGCACTTTTTCTCAGGGTTTCGGGTGCAATGTAATTTGGACAAATACTAAAAAAAACAACGGCCACACAGCTTTGGGAACAGTTGGCTGACGAGCTACCCCGAACGTGGGCTGGATTCGGTAGAAAAGACAAGCCTGCGCTGCAGAATCTGAGATTGAAGATGAACAGTGAGCGAGCTGTGTAGGACTAACCACGTGGCTCATTGAGAGCTCGACTCCCTAACCTGAACAATAACCCTCCCCCTCTAGCCCAGACTTTTGCGGAAACTGTGCGCAGATAGCGCTGTCCGTTCCTTGAAAGCGGAAGGGTCCAGATACCTGTCCCCGATAAGCTGAAAACCCGTCGTAGGAAGTGTCAGCAAGAAGGAATCAAGGATTCTATGAAGCAATAATCTGTCGCCTAGAAGTGTCAGCAGGGGGTCGCCGTCGTCCCATCCGCTTTCTCAACCCATCCGACCTTCCTGCACCGAACCGTAGCCTACCGTATCACACCCAAATGTGCTCGAGTCCTGAAGTGTTGGGCCTTGTTCGGCATGACATGCCCCACGCTTCAGGTGTGATGGTGACAATTGCGAAGCGGCGGGAATACACCGAATTCGCTGTAAGCAGGAAAGTGCGCTGGTTCAGTAGCAAAGGACCTAAAAAACAAATGCCATGGAAACCTAATGTTTTCTTGTAAAAACATATCATGCTAGAACCCTGCTAGTGCGCCTCAACCGATCATACCGTATCTACAAGCCATGCTTCTAACATACTCCAGCGACCCAGAGAGCACATCGCTGTTGACAGCCGCTCCCTGCTAAACTCTTCACCCAAGGGTGCAAGTAGCGCACCAAGCAAGGAACACTTGCTCCCGCATCGCATCCCCCATCTATACTGTTTGCTGAATTTATGGAAGGTTCTTTCTCAGCCACGACAACAACCCAGGGCATTCCGCCATGATCTCCTCCGTGGTCCACGCGGGGGGCTGCTGCCCCCTGGGGCTGGCATGCCCATCGGGGCCACCCTATGGTGGGGGAATAAGAGCATCAGCAGGTGGGATGGAAAGTGGGAATGAGGATGTGATGTGACAATGTGCTGCTGCTGATATACATGTCACCGTGTACCATGTCTGCAGCCATGCATGCATCCTCTGCTGAACCAAGAACACCAGAAACAGAGAACCTACAATGGATATTAGTCCCCGCTTCGTACCTTAAGCTCCTGCTGCCATGCAACCGGGCAGAACTCGATTTCATTGGTCTGCCGCCCGCCTCCCTCCTTGAACTCAACCCCGTCCACACGAGACAGCTTCCACAGCCGCCCTCTCCCCTCCGCCCGCCTCGTTGTGGCGTGCCGCACCGCTCGCACCACGAACCTGCGCTCCCACCACCACCACCACCACCACCACCACCACCACCACCACCACCACCACCACCACCACCACCACCACCACCACCACCACCACCATAGCCCCTAGTAGTGGCATAGCCCATGCCAGTACCACCGCCATAGCCCCTACTTCCATGGGTTTCTGTCATGTGAGGTGGGATGCGCAGCCCTGCAGGACTCTCTTGGTCAATCTTGATGGCCTCGAGAATCCTGTCAAGTGCCACTTCCAGCTCATCCTGGAGGGAAGGGAAGAGGAGAAGCAACAGAAGGTGGGGAAGGGAAGGGAGAAAGGGGGAGGAGGGGAGGGGGCGATTGTGATTGCGACAGCGATGGAGATGAAGGGAACAAGAGGAGGGAGTGTTGGGAGAGGTGTGAACTGGCATTGCAAAGGTTGACCTGCATTGCAGTCAGGGTTATGCGCGATTCCGCTTCAAAATGGGAGGGCCGCCCGCCGTTCACATTTTGAAGGGCAATCGCGCGAATAGGGAATGTGGTCGACAAGGGGAGGGGAGGAGGGAGACGGGAGGAAGGAGAAAAAAAAACACCACATGAAAAGCAAGGCATACTCCTAAACAAAAACCCAGGCAAGCGTGTGGGACTCACATCCAATGCTGTCAAGTGCGTCTCGGTGGTGAGAATCAAGCGGGCGTCCACGACGTTGTCAGGGCGGGCAATGTCGAACAGTGCGTGGCGAACAGGGGGCTTCTTCACCTGGATTCACAGGCAGGGCGAGAGCACTGAGAGTTCTTTTGAGCGCCATAAGCGCAGCATAGGCAGGCCCCATAAGCAGAGAGATACAATGCTACCTGCTGTTAAATGCAATTCCAAGACGAACTCAGAAATACTCAGTAATACTGGACATACTAAGACATACTGAAATATACGGTAGTACTGATATACTGCGAAATGCTGCAAAACAATTAAGAGGTACTGAGAAAAACTGAGAAGTACAAAGAAAGACTAACACATGCAGAAAAATAAATACTTAATGGTTAAGCGAGATACTGAGCAGGTGAGCACCACAAATGAAGTGGTTTTAGAGCCAGGAGTAAAGAGGATGTTCATCACGACACTTGAAACTTGCCTACGCAGTCATGAACTTCCTATTTCTCGCATTTACGCAAAAATTGCATTAACCGGCCACTGCACCTTTTTCACGAGCAAGCGCTGCTCGTGCGGGCTGTGCTTGCAGACTGCTTTGTAGACAATGTGCTCCCTCGTGTCCACCACCTGACATGCAAATGGTACGCAATTAGCAACAGGCACAACCCAAAGGACCACTATCAAGGATGCTTTAATATGGCGCTGCATGATGCAAGACTCTTGACGAGTCTCGTATCAGACCTCATCTCTTTTGGTGCTGCAATACAAGCATGAACAATATGAATCAAGACTCAGAAGTAACCCCAGCTGATTTCAACTCTCCTCTCAACCGCTCTCAACCGACCTGAATGTTGTATTTCTCCCCCAACGAGTGCGCCACCTGCCCATCCCCCAGCAGCATGTCCTCCACCTGCTGGTATGATCAATCCTCGAGGTGGCTCTCATAGGTCCAGTATCACTTAAAAAAAATAACCTCAACCGCTCTCAACCACTCTGAAACGAACTCCACCACTGTCAACCATTCTCAACCCACCTGAATGTTGTATTTCTCCCCCAGCGAGTGCGCCACCTGCCCATCCCCCAGCAGCATGTCCTCCACCTGCTGGTATGCACTCTCCGGGAGGTGGCTCTCATAGGTCCGGTACACTTGCTTTGCAAACGGTGCACGCTCGTTCATGTGGTCTTCGAATTTCTTGGCTGAGAATGGCGGGATGCTGGTCAGGGTAGCGCTGGGACTGGGGAAGGGGGAAGGGGGGGGAGACGGGGGAGGGGGAACAGGGGGGGCGATGGGGGAACCGGGGGGGGGGGAAGGGGATAACCGGCTTTGCAAACGGTGCACGCTCGTTCATGTGGTCCTCAAACTTCTTGGCTGAGAATGGCGGGATGCTGGTCAGGGTAGCGCTGGGACTGGGGAAGGGGGAAGGGGGGGGAGACGGGGGAGGGGGAACAGGGGGGGCGATGGGGGAACCGGGGGGGGGGGGAAGGGGATAACCGGCTTTGCAAACGGTGCACGCTCGTTCATGTGGTCCTCAAACTTCTTGGCTGAGAATGGCGGGATGCTGGTCAGGGTAGCGCTGGGACTGGGGAAGGGGGAAGGGGGGGGAGACGGGGGAGGGGGAACAGGGGGGGCGATGGGGGAACCGGGGGGGGGGGGGGAAGGGGATAACCGGCTTTGCAAACGGTGCACGCTCGTTCATGTGGTCCTCAAACTTCTTGGCTGAGAATGGCGGGATGCTGGTCAGGGTAGCGCTGGGACTATGGAAAAAAAGGGTTGAGAGGGGGGGAAGAGAGGGGGATGGGGGAGAGGGGTTTGTTTAAAGGATTCAGCTGAGCATGGAAGGAACACGTATGAGGATTCAGGTTGCATGAGTATGAGCAGCACTGCAAAGACAGGGAAGAAACTTTAAAAGATGGGCATAACACCCATGGACGAGCGGACCGCAACGGAGAGAGGAGATGGCGTCAGCACTGCACATGCACTCACTCCGGCCTGCCCTGCACGGAGAAGAGAAGCTTCCCCAGCCGCACCAGCAGCTTCACCCGCTCCATCCCCCCCTGCGCGCGCCCCCCCCCTCCCGCGCCTCCGCCTCCGCCGACCATCAGCGCACGGCGCTCGACCATCTCGCGAACCGCGTCGAGCGCTTCACTAAGGGGATGCCGAATCGCGTCGAACAGCTCCGGCTCGCGCGGCCGCCTCGCCCCGCTTCGCCCCGGAGACTCCCCACCGCTGCTCTCTCTATCGCCGTACTCGTTATACGCATCTTCGGTTTCGGGATCGTAGTCCTCCCAATCGTCCTCGCTATAGCTCCGAGAGGCGACGTTCCCGACGGTACCAAGGCCGGCGCCGTGAATCGCGGCCTTGGAGAGAACGGCCATGCGCCTATTGCGGAGATGCAGATAGGTCTGGCTATCGAACGGCTTGAACTCGAGCGAGACGCGCTGATCGCGCGTCAATCCGACGGTTCCGGTCTTGCGATCCTCGTAGTCGTCCACGAGCGTGACGACCTTCGCGTCGCGAGCGTGCTCGACGCGCCCGCCGCCGCCGCCGCCGCCGCTGAGGGCTGCTGACGTCGATCGCGGCCTTCGCGCTCCCCACTGCGCCATGCTGAGACTTTTGAGTCGACTCGGAAAGAAAAGCTTCCTGACAGGAACCCGTGCGACGAAGCTGAGGTGATGCTGATGAAGCAGAAAACGGTGGACTCCCCCTCAACGAGCTAGCTGACGCGACGCTGCTAGCGACGGCGGGAACTTTAAGTTATCGTTGCCGTGACACCGATATCGTAAAGAACTTCGGTGGGCCAAAGCACAAGGCGGAGCCCAGGGGGGTTTCCTTCACGAAATGATACGTCCAGGCGTTTCGACGCGGCTCGTTCGGGAATCGTGGCGCCAGAGCGGCGTAGCTCGGCGAGCTGCCATGAGCGACAGGCATGTCGTTCAGAAGGCGCGTTTGCCAAAGTGAAGTCGCATTTTTTCGAGCCAGTCGCTGAGAGGACTCGCGGAACTGCATCGCATGCGCGGGAGACGGCTCTTGCAAATCCTGGACGAGTTGTTGGCGAGCCGTAGGGCGTAGGCGTGAGGTATCCGTGGTAAGGACGTGTAGAGCGCGTGAGTGAAGTAAGACGTAAGGCTGATAAACACGATGCACTAGGAACATAAAGAGGAACATGGGCCTCACATCACAGGTTTGCATAGTCGCACAGTCGTGATCGCGTGTCGTCCCGCCGAATCGCGCATGCTGACAATGAGGCCAGAGGTCTGCGTGGGTTGAAGGACCTTAGCTCTATCCTCCAGATAAGGTGCTCCGTTGCGCTAATGCGAACTAAGCATTGCCAGTTCACCAAGCATTGATGACAAATCAATTGGAGAAAACTAAAGAGCATGCAATATTTAAAATTCTCTATACATTTATGTATTCAGATGAGACGCTAGTCAATGAATCTTAAATAGTTTCCATTTATTTACGTTTTCCTATGTCGTCAAGACGAGCAAATCTATGAATTAGTACGTCATAAAATTCTCTTGCTGGATGAGAAACACTAAAAACTGGTTCTACTGCAATCGAGGAACCGCGTATGCGAGACCTTAGGTGCTGTTCGTACCCTGCCAAGCCGCCTCCGAGCCCCCATGCGAGGCGCGAGGGCGCAAATAAGCTAATCTCTTGTCGCCACGTGCTCAAGCGCCTCGACAAGCAACGCCGCCTTCGCGGGTCGTCACTAGCCTTTGCACCCCTAACCAGACAACCTCTTCAACTCGCTCAGACATTCGTCAGCGTACGATCTCGTCGCCACCAATTAAGAGACATCACAGTGCGTTTCACACACATTCCTGCTACACATCTCGGCCGTCTATCGCGTCCCCAATGGAAATCTGTTTTCGCACAAATCTGCGGCTTGCTCTCCCAACCTTCACCTGCAAATCCCCCCCGCCCAGCGCTCCTCCCTAGATTTCCCGCACACACGCCAACTGCATTCCTTTCTGTCCCGCAATTCGCCCCTTTTCCTCCTCGTCTCCTCCGCCCAGTCCTTATCCCTCCCCTGCCCACCCCGCCCCATCCTCTCTCATTCCCTCACCTCTCCCCGTCTGCTGACGCATGGCGGATGGTTGCACTCCTCCCAGATCTAGGCTGCTGGGGATTTGACCTCCCTCCCCACACCTTAGGTAACCTGAGTTCCTCGCCTTCCTTCCTGTGTTCCTCGATGTGTGGCTTGGAGTGGACGATGCGGCACCACCCACCAAGTCTTCATGCGTCATTATCAATAGCGTGGATCAATCCCTATACGCGCTGACTTACCACAGCTTTGCCCATTGTGAATGCGCCCAGTTCCTTAGTCAGTGAACCGTCTAGCTGTCCAGGTCAATGGGATTCAGCCCAGGCAGATACACTCAAAACCGGCGGTCTCAGTAGTCGAACAGAAAAGAATTCCGTATCCGAAAAATGTTGGATTGAGACGTCGCATTCCGAAATCCCGAAACTCTCAGACGCCTTAAGCCGCAATCCCTGCATCAGCTGCGCGCCTCATCGACGGCGAGCAGCTGAGTTGCGATACCGGCGGTGCACGGTAGCCGTGGTAGGCAGTGGCACGGCGATACAGGAGGCTTTCCGCATCTCCTGTCGTTAGCGTCATTTCCGTAGGCCCTGTTGGAATACGCCGGCTATTAGAAACAAGGAACGTTTTGGTACAATAGTTGGTTGTTGCCAGCATGACTGACAGGAAAGAGGGCCACGCGGGCGGCCTTGATTGCGGCAACCGAGCGAGAAGAAGCGACGAGAGCAGCAGCAGCGACAGCAGCAGTAGCTACGGAAGCAACCATGGCAGTTTCACCGTCGCAAACGGCACCTCCATAACCGCAACCGCCGCCATCACCGCAGCCGCCTCCGCCGCCGAATCCGCCGCCGTCGAATTCGCCGCCACCGGCGCCGTTGATTCGGAAACCGAGGCGCTTCTGTCTTTCGGCGCGTCATCCAGCGATCCGTCAACTCCTCGCGACGATTTTTCGTCAACTCCAGGCGAATCGCCCTCTCCGTCGCCGCCCTCGCCGCAGTTTGCGGTGAGCGACGCGGCGCAGCCGTGGTCGAGGACAGGTGGCGCAATGGCATTGGACGCCGCGAGGCTGATCCAACAGGTTGGGATCCAGCAGCTCATGCGCCGCCGGCAGTCGCCTCGCCGAGCCTCAGCTCCGGAACAGGTCCGGCCCGAACCTATCCCATGCACCATTCGTTTCGTGATTCTGTGTTGGCTTATGCTTTGGTTCCCCATGCCAACTTCGTACTTCTGAACGCATTCTTCATTTACAATTTGTTTCTGTTTTTTCAGCTACCCGACCCGCAGCCCAGTACATGGGCGTATTCCCGCCCCGTGGTCATCCTCGACGCGTTTTGGAACCTCGCCTTCGTTATAGTCACAGCCATCACGCTCTTTATAAGTCAGGCGCGCAACGAGCGCCCCCCCGCGCCGCTGTCCATCTGGTTACTCGGTTACGCCGTGCAATGCGCGGTGCACGTGATCTGCGTGTTGCTGGAGCACGAGCGGCGGGAGAGTCGGCGCGTAAGGGAGCAGCGGGAGCAGCGCAGGGGGAGGAGACGCGGGCGGGGGAGGGGGAGGGGGGGGAGGCGCGCACGGGGAGAGCGGAGGGGAAGGGAGAGAGGGAGGGAGATAGAGAGAGGGAGCGGGGGGGCGAACGGGGGAGATGGGAGCGTGAATGGGGAGAGGGGTGGAGCGGGGGAAGCGGCGGGGGATGGGGTGGTGTTGGTCGACCAATCAGGGGAACGAGGTAGGATAAGCGGGAGCGGGGACGTGGGAGGGAATGTGGAAATGGCAGGCAACCGGAGCGAAAGGGAACGAGAGGAGGAATTTATTTCCACTTTACGCAGGAGGGACGCGGGTAGAGTGGTGACTCTAGACGAAGCAGCTTCTGTGCTTATAACGGGACGGGCTCTCATATTGGAGAGGGAAGAGGAGGCACGGGAGGGGCTTTTGGGGGAGGATGGGAGGGTGGGTGCGGAGGCACGGAGGGTGGAGAGGAGAGTGGTGGGTGAGGAAGGATCGACGGTGGAGGATGAAGCGATGATGGTGGGAAATGGTGTGGATGAAAACGAATCGGACGACTCGGACCAGAGGTGAGCAAGTCAGAGTTCGTAGCTCCACCTCCCACTCGCCCTGTTCCAGCCTGGCAGGGCGCATAGAGTCAGCCAACACTACACCATGCTCTCATGCTCACTTGCTCTCGTGCTCGCTCATGCTCTCTCGTGCCTTCCTCTCGCACACCCACCCACCCTTTTCCAGCCTGGCAAGCCGCATAGAGTCAGCCAACACAATGTTCTCCTTCGCCTGGTGGCTCAAGCTCAGCTGCTCTCATGCTCTCTCATGCCTACCTCCTCTCCCCTCACCTTCTCCAGCCTCGCACGCCGCGTCGAGTCAGCCAACACCATGTTCTCCTTCGCCTGGTGGCTCGTGGGCTTCACCTGGATCCTCTCTACCATTGACGATTCCTTCAAAGTCGCGCCCATCCTCTCCTGGTGAGACTCATGCCCTCCACTCATCTACTTGACGCTTCCTCATCCTATTTATGAGACCTTCAACAAAACACAGTAGAATCCACACGGCATCCTCGCCTGGCGGATCGTCGGCTTCACCTGGATCCTCTTCACCATCGATGATTCCTTCAAGGACGCGCCCATCCTCTCCTGGTGAGACCCTTCTCTCCTCTCCTGGTGAGCTGTACTGTTAACACACTTGTATCCATGCGCCCGTCTTCGCCTGGTGGATCGTCGGCTTCACCTGGATCCTCTCCACCATCGATGATTCCTTCAAGGACGCGCCCATCCTCTCCTGGTGAGATCGATGCCCTCCACTCGACAGTGTGGGCATCTTCTGCGTGGCCGTGGCGTGTGTGGTGGGCATGGCCCTCACCCCTCTCCACCCCTCTCCACCTCCCCACACCCTCCCATATCCACATCAGGGCGACCACAGCCTTCCTGGCGTTTGACGTGTTTTTTGTCGTCTTCTGTGTGGCCGTGGCATGTGTTGTCGATATGGCCCTCACCCCTCTCCACCCTCCCATACCCGCCTGTTACCACATCAGGGCGACCACGGCCTTCCTGGCGTTTGACGTGTTCTTCGTGGTCTTCTGTGTGGCCGTGGCGTGTGTTGTCGATATGGCCCTCACCCCTCTCCACCCTCCCATACCCGCCTGTTACCACATCAGGGCGACCACGGCCTTCCTGGCGTTTGACGTGTTCTTCGTGGTCTTCTGTGTGGCCGTGGCGTGTGTTGTTGATATGGCCCTCACCCCTCTCCACCCTCCCATACCCGCCTGTTACCACATCAGGGCGACCACGGCCTTCCTGGCGTTTGACGTGTTCTTCGTGGTCTTCTGCGTGGCGGTCGCGTGCGTGGTGGGCATGGCCGTGTGCTGCTGCCTGCCCTGCATCATCGCTCTCATCTACGCCGTTGCAGATCAGGCAAGTGCAGCAAGCAGTTAGCGCAGTAAAAGTGGCTGGCATGGGTGATGAGTGGGCGTGGGGTGAGCATAGTGTGGCCATGGCATGGCCGTGTGCTGCTGCCTGCCCTGCATCATCGCCCTCACCTATGCAGTTGCACACCAGGCGAGTACCAGGGGAGCATGCAGCACAGTGACTGGAGCTAGGATGGGGTGATGAGTGTGGGTTGAGCATGGTGTAGGCATGGCCGTGTGCTGCTGCCTGCCCTGCATCATCGCTCTCATCTATGCAGTCGCAGACCAGGCGAGTGCAGCGAGCAGGACCAAGCAGGGGGCTGGCAGGGTTGGTGAATGCGATGAGGGTGATGCATGTGACGCTTGTGGTGTCTATGATGAGTGGGAGTGGGGTGAGCATGGTGTGGGCATGGCCGTGTGTGTGCTGCTGCCTGCCCTGCATCATCACTCTCATCTATGCAGTCGCAGTCCAGGCAAGTACAGTGAGCAGGCAGCACAATGAGTGGGTGGGACGGGATGGGTTGAGGAATGCAATGAGTGGGAGCGGGATGAGTATTATCTGGGCCAGGCCATCTGCTGCTGCATCATTTATAAAATTGTGAAAAGTGTGAGCGTATCAACCAACCTCTTGTCCACATCTCCTCTTACCCGTTTGACCTTGTGCCGTGCTGCTCTCTTTCCAGGAAGGAGCTTCGCGAGAGCAGATCGAGGCTCTTCCCAAGTTCAAATTCTACCGCCAACGCACTGCTGCCAGCCACAACTCTTCACAAGCCAGCAGCATATGCCCCTTCCACTCCTGTTCCTCCTCCTTCCGCCTCTCCTCGTCTCCCCCCCTCTCCTCCTCCACCTCCTTCTCCTCCTCTCCAGCCACCCAAACCGCCCCCTGCCCCTGCTGCTCCTCCTCTGCCTTTGCCGGTGCCATGTGGCGCAATGCGGTTGGCTTAGCTGCTGGGCTCTGGAGGCGGGCAGGCCGGGCAGGTGGAAATAACAGCAGCAGCAGAAACACTCAAAGTGGCGATGCTGTGGACGTCCGTGTGACGGTTGAGGAAGAGACAGGTGGCGTCATGTCATTGGTTGGCTCGGCCCATCCGCCAAGGCAGAGGCATGTGGAGGCGGAGGATGCGGAGTGCTGTGTGTGCCTGGTGAGGTATGAGGATGGGTGTGTGTTACGAGAGTTACCATGCTCGCACCACTTCCATGCGGCATGCATTGACAAGTGGCTCAAGTCGCACCCAACGTGCCCGCTATGCAAGCGTGACATTACTAAGGGCGTGGGCAACCCGGCATCGCCAGACACACTGCCAAGTTCAAGCTCTGCTGGAGCATCAGCGGAAGGGACTCTTGAAAGCACTCCGGGGGCAAGCGGGACACCCTAAATAAGAGATTAAAAACTATCAGTTGGAAATTTATGCGGTGGCTGTTTCCTTGAGTTTAAAAGGCTCGTAGAGCACATAGGAGCCATGTATGAAGTAAATGTTTGCTTGAATAAGAAGTTGAGTTCATTGAAGTCTCGTACTGAGATACTTTTCTAGAGGTTGTCGTAGTGTACAACCAAGGCAACCACACAAAACCGACTGCGTGACTTGCGGAACTCGGGGCGAACTGCTTGAAGTTGAGGAGGCTCTTCCAGCAAGACTTTTGAAGACTATTGATCGCGATGATTTTGCACGATAATTGTCCGCGTTTGCGATAGGACCATCCAATCACAGGACTCTTCCCTGCTTGCCTTCCAGTTTTTTCCATGTGCCCGCAGACCAGCGGTCAGCCGAAACAGGTGCCTCGAAACGTAAAAACTCTGGGCTGGCTGGGAGGAACGCGTTTCAGGTCTCTGGGTTTGCCGGGTAAAAATGTTTCGCGCACGCCACGCCCGCTTGACGGACATCTGCTGCGTTCGACGCACGAAAATCGCCGTCAAGCCTAGGACGACCGTTTCTTGCGGGATGCTTGGGGGGATTTTCCACCAAGGAGGAGGAATCTTGAACTTGCCAGAACCACAACACTGCGGAACGCGGAAAGGGTGACAGATAGTTCCAGTTCACTCCTCCTTTTTCCCTAGAAGCCTTCGCCCGACGAGCGTTTTGAGCCTGCATGGCCGTATTTTATTCCCGGAGATTACCTCCGATGATCCACTGCGCGTGCAGCCAGTGTGGCCGAGCTGAGGTCATTCCTCGCTCGAAGCGCCTCTAGCAGGCTTGCTTTCCCTTACAATCCATCTTCTAGCGCTCTCCTGTTATTTCTACTCGGTTTTGCGGACCTCCCAGACCCGCGTTTCGAGCCTGCATGGCCGTATTTTATTCCCAGAGACTAGCTCTGATGATCCACTGCGCGTGCAGCCAGTGCGGCCGAGCTGAGGTCGTTCCTCGCTCGAAGCGCCTCTAGAAGGCCGGGAGCCATTGATCTGATGCCGCAACGCATCGCGAGCTTAGCCCCCTCGCTCTTTTTTCTTGGGCTGCGCACACGCGCCTCTGGCTGAACGTGAGCCATGATATGTGTTTCCTTCTGGCCTCAGGTGCCAAAATGCGTCAGAAATGCGCGTTTGACTTATGTGGTCCGTCACAAAAACGGTAAGCGGGAGGTGAGGGGAATGATGGGAATTGCAGAGTCTTGCTGTGTTACGGGGAGGACATATCCACTGTGATCCATTTTTTGCTTCTTCACGACGCCAAGCATCAGGCTTATCTTGCTGTGTTACAGGGACGACATGCTGAATCACTGTGATCCAGTTTTGCTTCTTCACGACGCCAAGCATCAGGCTTATCTTGCTGTGTTACAGGGACGACACGCTGAATTACTATAATTCCACATTTGTTTCTTCAAGACGCCAAGCATCAGGCTTCAGCGACCTTCAGCGAGTAATTGCACATTCGTCGAAAATGATCCTTCAAGGATATGCGTCAGCAGCCTTTCGTACACTAACGGCGATTCGACCACAATATTACTAGACGTGAACGTGAGTTGTCACAACGACACGGCGATGCGACCCCCACCCGTCAGAGATCCGCACCGCCATTCGCGCGCAATTACGACCCACGGCACGATCTACTGCTCCTTGCACCTTCCTCTCCGACAGGTGATAAACATATTCTTCGAGTTCGTCCGCCACGCGCGACATCGGCCAAGGCTGCAGCACCCCTAACGTCCTGGATGCCATCGTTTAGCACGACTCCTCAACAGGCTTCGCACTTTCCCGCACTTCACACTTTTACTAACCAGTCTTCTCCATTGTCTGGCCTGATTTCCCCACAGAAGCAACTGATTCAAAATGCACTGAAATATATCCACATGGAACCAACCTAGATTCAGACATGTGATTAAGGTGCATCATTACCGTTTCTGCATACTTTATCCCTCCTATGCCTCTCGTCTAGCGTGCCTTATCCTTTTGTTCTCTTTGTGGCCTCCCCTAAATCTAGTTTAATAGCCAATAGGTTTTGTATGTACGTTTATATAAAGCAGGATATGGGTGGAGAAGGTTGCAGGTGGAGCTTCAAGTCTGAAGGCAGGACTCAGCTGGAAACCAGGATGGTCCTGGTGAAGATTTGTGGCTGATGGATTAGAATTTCTAGGTTCAATAGGATGGCTGTGCGTGATGCTGGGTTTCTGATACCGTATACCTCCAGATAGAGACTCTAGGGGTTTAAATATTCTTGCCAGTTTTAGGGATGGGGACTATGATTGATGATTTTGTTATAGCCCTGGGGATTAATATCAAATTACGATTCTTTGCTTTCTTGGGAAAATAAAGTCGTAATGTCGTACATATAAGTATGCTTGTTTGAAGCAACTCTACACCCGAACCTCATCAGAATCTGCGAACCTCCGCCATGCACTCTTTCATCAAGGTCGAACATCCGCCAATCAGATTCCCTCGAACCTACTTTCATCGATTTTCGCGCCAAGCCGTTCGAAGCCTCTCAGCCCTAGGATTCACGGGTTGTGGGTGGTCCTTCGGGAATGGGTTTTCACTCTGACCACACACCACGCCTCCTTGAAACCGTACATCAGCAGACAGATTTTAGGAAGAAACGCCATTTCAGCCCAGTAACCAGCAATTTCCAAGGCTGATTTCGCAGTTTAGTTTCTCGTGAATCTGCTTAGTTGATTCACTGATTCCTGGCGAAAGGGTGCCAGGTTTCTGCTGGACCCCTACGGCCGCCATGGCTTCCGTGATCTTCACCATCCCGATCGCCGTCAACTTCCTTGCATCAAGTCTCATAGTCACCACCATCCAGGTGTGCTTCTCATGAAATCTACCGAAATCTCGCAGCCGAATCTTGAAACGCCGTCCCAAGTTCCGCTCTCACAACGTCTCAACTTATGCATCCTCCCTCCGTTCGCGCTCCGTCCTTTATTCCTCGGTTTCCCGCCCTTTTCCGCAGATCGCGCTCTCCATTTTCGTGTTCCCCATCAGCCCTCGCACGTACCGCGTCATCAATTTTTATCTCATGGGGTCCTTCTGGGCCATGCTCATCTGGCTTATCGAGTGGTGGGGCCGCGTCGAGGTGCGTGATCTTGTCGATTCGCCGCTCTAACGTGTTACTAATATAGAATTACGAGAAAGCTCTATTTCTTCAGGAGGCCAGAACGCGTTGTTGACGCAATACCTGACGGAAACCTCGTATTCCGCTGTGCCCGTGTGTGAACGCGTTCCGCAGGTCCGGCTCTACGGCGATCCCAAGGATCACGCATACTATGGTACGCGTTCGATTAATCGTTTAAACACACAAGCATTCTCCCCACGGATCCGACATTGCGAAGAACACACGTCACGCAGCTGATGATATTGCTGTCTTCTGCATCTGCATATCCTTTCGCGACCTGCTCATTCCGCTCGTGCTGCGCGCGAATCTCTTTGCTTCCTGCGCTCTCCTCTGCTCGTGTTGTCCGACAGGCAAGGAGAGCGCCTTGTGTGTGAGCAACCACCGCAGCGACGTGGATTGGGCCATCGGCTGGGTGTTCTGTCAGGTGGGTGTTTAGCGATCACTCTTACCGTGCGTTCAGTCTGTGGCTGTGTGTTCTGAGTCGCCTCAAAGCACAACCACCGCAGCGACGTGGACTGGGCCATCGGCTGGGTGTTCTGTCAGGTGGGTGTCTTTATTTATTCCCTCTTTAACTTGCATAGTGCCCTCGCAGGCGTTTTAGCAGCATCAATAGATTTGCTGCAGCAGAGCAAGGATGGAATCTCTTATTGACGGAGCCACGCGCAGGAATGAAACCTGCAAGAAAGAACATTCTCTCGATTTCGATAACGAAGCCACACCCGGAAACGAAACCTGCCAGGAAGAAACATTTTCTTCCTCCCCCTTTCCCCCTTTTCTCATGCTCGTCCTCTCCTCTCTGTTCCCCCCTCTCTGTCCCCTCATCTCTGCCCCCCCGGCCCCTGCAGAGATGCGGCTGCCTCGGAGGCACGCGAGCGCTGATCAAGGAGGAGGCGAAGTGGATGCCTGTGATTGGCTGGTCCATGTGGTTCTCCGAATACCTCTTCATCGCCCGTAACTACGCCACCGACCAGCGGAGAATACTGGTAAGATAGATTAAAGGGTCACTTGTGAGGCAAGAAAATCACTCGCCAACGAGGACAACCACCCCTTGGGGGAGTATCTGCTACTCCTCAGTTGCAAGGCCCCTAAACTTCCCTTTCCCCTGCTCCCTTTGCCCCCGTCGCTTGTTCCCCGCCTCCTCCGGTTCTTCTCTCGCGTCCTCTCCCCCTCCCAGGACGGCTATGCTCGGCTGCGCAGCTTCCCGCGGTTCTTCTGGACGGCGCTGTTCATGGAAGGCACGCGCTTCACGCCCGAGAAGCTCAAGGCGGCTCAGGAATACGCCAAGGAGGCGGGGCTGCCCATCCCTCGCCACGTGCTCGTGCCCCGCACCAAGGTGGGTAGGAGTGTAGGAAGATTGACAGGAGTGCAGCACTGTGGACAGGCCCGAGCAGTATTTGGCTGTTGGGGCGCCACAGAAAAAAGGGTCAAGGCGGCGCAGGAATACGTCAAGGAGGCCAGGCTGCCCATCCCCCGACGCCACGTGCTCGTGCCCCGCACCAAGGTGAGTAAGAAGGAGTGCTGGAAGGTGGGCAGCAGTGCAGCAAAGTGGGTAGGCCCGAGCAGTAGTTGGTTGGCTGTTGAGGCGGCACAAAGACAGGCTCAAGGCGGCGCAGGAATACGCCAAGGAGGCCAGGCTGCCCATCCCCAGACGCCACGTGCTCGTGCCCCGCACCAAGGTGTGTGGGAAGAACGAAACAGCATGATGGGTAGGGTTGCAGCGAGGTGGGTAGGAGTGCGGCAAGGTGGGCAGGAGTGCAGCAATGTGGACTGCTCTTTCCCTGCCACGTCCTCGTGCCCTGCACCAAGGTGGGTAGGAGGAGTGCAGCACGGTGGGTAAGAGTGCAGCCAGGTTGGTAGGGAGGAGTGCAGCCAGGTTGGTAGGGAGGAGTGCAGCCAGGTTGGTAGTGAGGAGTGCAGCCAGGTTGGTAGGGAGGAGTGCAGCCAGGTTGGTAGGGAGGAGTGCAGCCAGGTTGGTAGGAGTGCAGCCAGATTGGTAGGGAGGAGTGCAGCCAGGTTGGTAGGGAGGAGTGCAGCCAGGTTGGTAGGGAGGAGTGCAGCCAGGTTGGTAGGGAGGAGTGCAGCCAGGTTGGTAGGGAGGAGTGCAGCCAGGTTGGTAGGGAGGAGTGCAGCCAGGTTGGTAGGGAGGAGTGCAGCCAGGTTGGTAGGGAGGAGTGCAGCCAGGTTGGTAGGGAGGAGTGCAGCCAGGTTGGTAGGGAGGAGTGCAGCCAGGTTGGTAGGGAGGAGTGCAGCAAGGTGGGAAGGAAGGATTGCACCAAGGTCGGTAGGAGTGCACAGGTGTTGATTTGTGGCAAGCATGTCAGGAAAGTTAAAGTTCATGTGAGGAGGACTTAGCTGTGGTTCTGGACTGGTTCTGTCCATTGCAACTTGACATTGCAGACAGTTCGATTTAAACCTGCAAATGGAAGCCGCGTCAGTGCGTATAGTTGGGATGGGAGACACAACGCAGACATGGCTTGCAGCGCACAGCACAAGGTTTCGCAGCCCCATGTTTTTGGCCCAGTTCTCTGAAATCTGCCGCCCATCTCAGTCCACAATGCTTCTGTGCGTCCTTCCGCCCGTCCGCATGCATCTGTCTCTGCAATCAGGGCCTGGTGATGTCAGTGGAGCAGACGCGGGGCCATGCGGGTGCTATCTATGACTTCACCGTCAACTACCCGGTGGGGAAACCCCCTCAAACGAGCTCTTCTCATATGCCTCTTTTCTGTCCCACTCCGCCCTCCCATGCATCTGTCTCTGCAATCAGGGCCTGGTGATGTCAGTGGAGCAGACGCGGGGCCATGCGGGTGCTATCTATGACTTCACCGTCAACTACCCCGTGGGGAAACCCCCCCCAACGTTCGCTAACATTTTCAAGCGCAAGGCCTCGCAGGTAAGCGGCCAGCCCCTTCTTGCTACAGGTTTTCTGAGAAACTGGAGCTAAAAAAAAAAAAAAAAAAAAAAAACACATTAAATCCAAAAACAAAATCGGTCAACACCTGCAACGTTCACTTACGTTTTTAAGAGACATTCCTTGTTGGCAAGTGATCAGCCTCTTCGCCTGCCCACCCCTTTTCGCTTTCTCTTGTTAAATCCATCCCCTTCCCTACTCCTCTTTCCTCCCTCCTCACTCCGCCCCTCCTTCTCTCCCCATTCCCCACCTACGTACAGCACACTGTGTCCCATCCCTCCATTTTCAAACCTCGATTGTGGTTGTTGATAGCGAAGCATTGTGTCACCATCCTGCTCCTGTTCCCATTACCCTTTCCGTCCCCATTATCCTGTCCAACCTCATCACCATCAGACTGACGTGTACTTTGAGCGGGTCCCCATGGACCCGATCCCTCAGGATGCACCAATTGGCATCGCTGTCTCATCCCATCCCTTGCACTTGGAACCCCCTTGCCTGTCCAACCCCATTCCCCTCAGATTGACGTGTACTTCGAGCGCGTCCCCATGGACCAGATCCCTCAGGATGCAGAGGGCATTTCTAAATGGTGTCAAGAATCGTTCGTGAAAAAGGTGAGAGCAGACCAAGAGGCACACAGGGCGTGACTAGGGTTCTATGCACATGCTGATAAGGTGGGGATGTGTCTAGGGTTATGTGCACATGCCCAGATTGCCATGTGACTATAGGCATATGCACATGCCCAGGTTGCCATGTGACTATAGGCATATGCACATGCCCAGGTTGCCATGTGACTATAGGCATATGCACATGCCAATCAGGTTTCCTTGCGTCTACGTGAATCGAGTCTGTTGTTCGTTAGGCATGGAACAACGGGGGATGCGAGGTTGACGAGTCTATCTTATCGGAGGCCTTGAGATTGTGACCCTCCGTTACGCACTGTGCGAAGCATCTTCACATTGGCATCTCCCCTCCCTCATCTTCACATTGGCATCTCCCCTCCCTCATCTTCACATTGGCATCTCCCCTCCCTCATCTTCACATTGGCATCTCCCCTCCCTCATCTTCACATTGGCATCTCCCCTCATCACATTCACATTGTCACCTTGCCGTCAACCAATCCTCTTGTTATGTCACCTGCCCCTCCACATGTGGTATGAGCAGGACAAGAAGCTGGATTATTATGTTGCACACAACGGCTTCGATGAGAAGCAGAGGCTCAACACGACCAAGTGTCCGAAAAGCATTCTGGTTAGTGTGGAGCTATGCAGGTCTGCTTTCCTGTTCGCTTGCAACTTTTAAAGCCGGCAGCCCAAATTGCACAACTTTTAAAAGGTTGACGCGAGGGGGTTTTGGTGGTCTGGGTTTTGGCGAAAGATCCGAATTCGCTTTTTTCGTTTTTTTCGCCAAACCCAGCCCGCCCTTGTATTTCGCCCTGGGGGTTGGTTCAGTTCCCAAAAGTCCCAAATTGCAGGCTGACTTTTTTTCAAACCTTGCAAACACTAGTTCGTCAAGTTTTAAAAGCTTGATCCGCGCGGCCAGCAATTTGGGCCGCGGGCTTTAAGGGCGAAGACAATGTTCCCAAATGTCGATGTTCTATATCATGCCATGTCCCTTTCACCTTTCCTTGTGTTAATGCCACTATCTGTGCCTTCGGTGTTTTGCAGCACACGTGCTTCTGGACAGCCTTGAACTTTGTGGTATATGGCTGGATATTCACCCGGAACTTATCGGCGATTACCTTCACGTGGGCAACTCTGGGATGGATCGCTGTCGGTGTGGCTGCTGTACTCGCGGTCGTTCAGGTGCTTCTCAGGTTTACCCAATCAGAGCACTCCACACCGGCATCTCGCCTTAATCGTGGCAAATCAGCTCCCAAGCCAACCAAGGCGGAGTAAGCTAGAGCACTAGGTTAGAAGTCATACATAAGCTAGTTTCAGAGTGAAGCTAATGTGAAGGCTGGCTGATAGTTTACTTAACATTATAGACATTCAGTGATACTCTACAAAATATGAAGTTTTTTGAAAGTGTGTAACACTTTCTAAAAATGTATATTTCGAAAGCGAAGCTGCTTGTAATGCAGCAATGGCAACGGCGAAGTGCTCTACGCTCTTCGCCAACTATATAGCAGGGGGTGGAGGCCATTTGGCCTCCACCCACGTCTTCGTTTGAAATTTCAAATGTCTTATTTCATTCTCGTCCGACGACTTGGCGCTTCCCGCTTTCCTCAGTTTCTCACTTCTCTCATAAAATAGTAGGCATCAACTCAATTGACATGGCACAACGTGTTTCAGAAATGACTTGCGGGCGCACCCGTCCGCACAATAGGCGCGCTTGTTGGGGCTAATAAAGCGACAGCGCCACTGGCGCACGTGGCGACGAAATCGCCACAAGCGCGCGTGGCGACGAAATCGCCACAGGCGCGCGTGGCGACGAAATCGCCACAGGCGCGCGTGGCGACGAAACCGCCACAGGCGCGCGTGACGAAGCAATCGCCACAGGCGCTCGTGGCGACGAAATCGCCACAGGCGCGCGTGGCGACGAAAACGCCTCAGGCGGGCGTGGCGACGAAAACGCCACAGGCGCGCGTGGCGAAATCGCCAGTGGCGCACGTGGCGTAAAAAATGCCAGCGGCGCAAGTGGCGCCAGTGGCGCTCATGGCGCCGAAATGGTCAAAATCGCCACTGGCGCACGTGGCTACGACATCGCCAGTGGCGTGCAATAACCAGGGGCTCGTCCAGCGGCAGTCGGCACCAGCAGGCTGGCGAAATCTCCAGAGACAAACTGGCATGACATATGCTCTTCTGCTGCTGACATTGTCAGCGGATAACTTATTACCTTGCATATGTTTCCACCTGTTCTTCGTACGTATCTTCGATTTTTGTTTGTCTTCGTTTTTCTCTCGTGTTATTTATTACCTCTGGTCGCAGTAAATCGGTGCGAGGCAACTACCATAGCTTTGGGTCGCCATGAGAGACCATCGGCGAAGAAAGACTGCGGCAAACAATGGGCACAACCCCATGCGCTCCCGTGCGGTGCTGGCCAGCGAGCTCCCCAGGGGGGAGGAGGACCGGTGGGTCCTGTGCGGTGCTGGCCAGCGAGCTCCCCAGGGGGGAGGAGGACCGGTGGGTCCTGTGCGGTGCTGGCCAGCGAGCTCCCCAGGGGGGAGGAGGACCGGTGGGTCCTGTGCGGTGCTGGCCAGCGAGCTCCCCAGGGGGGAGGAGGACCGGTGGGTCCTATGCGGTGCTGGCCAGCGAGCTCCCCAGTGGGGAGGAGGACCGGTGGGTCCTGTGCGGTGCTGGCCAGCGAGCTCCCCAGGGGGGAGGAGGACCGGTGGGTCCTGTGCGGTGCTGGCCAGCGAGCTCCCCAGGGGGGAGGAGGACCGTTGGGTCCCTTTCTGGCCTGTGGGCCATTTGTAGGGTAGATTCATGGTTGTGCAATTTAGTTACACTTCTCACACACCTTAGGCTTTGAAAGCCTTCAATTGCAAGGTCCGGATGTGGTCGCACTTGAGTTGGTTGATTGAACAATGTTGTGGTGAGTTTGAAATGGTGCTCAAGTCTAGCAGATCAAAAAAAAAAAAAAAAAAAATGCACACACATACAAAGGGCTCAAACGCCGGCAGATTTACCGTATCCGGATACAGATGCATGCACTCTTCGTAATGTGAGCACGGTTGTGACTGCTACAAGGGTTGGGCTCCTACAAGCATCACATCCATCATCACACAAAACACCAATGCCCGTTACCCGAGTCCTCCTATACTGCTTGCGAGTTTGTGTTCAAAGCTCACGTGTCAGCCGACTCTCATAAATCAACATTACTGTGCTACACTCGGGGCAACACTTCATCCAAGGCAACAGCAGAGAATACAGCATCACCATCAACATCGGTGCCAGCCTCTCCTTCGTGCGTGATTGGACCTCCACCGACATGTCATCGCATAAGCCACAAACAACCTTTACCATCTCGTTAGCATGACCCCGTCTCATGTCTCAGAAGACCCATTTGAAACGAAGCTCGTTGCCATTGCAAACACAAGAAAGCAAGCTTTCTAAATATGAAGTTTTTTGAAAGTGTGTAACACTTTCTAAAAATGTATATTTCGAAAGCGAAGCTGCTTGTAATGCAGCAATGGCAACGGCGAAGTGCTCTACGCTCTTCGCCAACTATATAGCAGGGGGTGGAGGCCATTTGGCCTCCACCCACGTCTTCGTTTGAAATTTCAAATGTCTTATTTCCCACCCACCCACCCTAGCAAAAATTGCATGTTGTAACTTGTAATGTAGGTACCATATCTAAGTAGGACGAGAATGTTGTAATGCCCATTTGAAACGAAGCTCGTTGCCATTGCAAACACAAGAAAGCAAGCTTTCTAAATAGTGACGTTGTCTAGAAACTGTGATGACCTCTAGAAACTGCAATGTGAAGGTTGGATGCTCTAGAAACCGTATGACGTTCTCGGTTTTGATAGCGTCCCCCATTACAGTCACTCACGTCCGTCAAGCCTCCAACGAGCCGCTCAGTATTCCCAGTCACCCGACCTTATTTCCATGTTGTCACTACTTACCCGTTTCGGGCACCGTGTATTCACCGCCACCGGGAAACAAAAATCGTAGTGCAAATATAGAACCTCTAGAGCACCCATGGAGTTTACATAAAAAGAAGTGCTTTGGGAGCCGCAACATGCCTCGAGAAACAGTAGAAATTTACCATCCATGCCCTGTTTTCGTGATGCTCGTGGGTGTACTCGAATCTGCCTTCGCGAAGGATCCAAAAGCCAAAAGTAAACCTTGCCGTACTCGTTTGTGGCTGAGAATCACCTGGTTTCAACATCATCCAACGACCACCAAAGAAAACCATCTTCTTTCGTACTCGATAAAAATCATTTCGCGACATCACTATCGGCAAGCACGACAATCCCAACGCAGCCTTCGTGCCCCCCTCCACCTACCTTTCTCCCAACTCCTGCCTCGGTTGGGGAAAGGTGACCTAAGTCTAGGGCGCGACTCAAACCAAACCTAGACATTGCCGATTGTTTTGGAAAGGTTGATAGCTTATTTCCGCCGCCAGTTAGACACGAACGTTCTCAACGTCACTTGTTATTGAAAGGTGTACTATTTGAACCTGGTTTTCTCTGCAGCTTTTTACGACTAATTATAGGCCCGAGTCGTCATTGCCTGGTAAACGGGTAGCATTAAGTTGCTGGTAGATAAAAATATTAAGAATATCTGGGTGTCTGTCGACTTTCTTGGAAAGCTTACACGTTTCGCTGGGGCTGGGGTCAATGGAAAGACACGTTGACTGCTGAAGATATAGCTGTCTTGTAAAGCTAACAACCTGAAATGGGTAACTGCTTAGGAGGGGGAGGGGGGGGGAGGGGAGGTTGACCAACGGTTTCCGGAGTCGAGTCCAACTGATGAAGCTCCCGCCAAAGGTAAAGTTATTATCCTTCAGTCTTAGTTATTGTGCAAAAATAAAAGCTACTGTTGAGTCGACACAACATGGCCTCAGAATAATCTCCGTCTCAATAAGCGCTCACCAAACCTAATCGAACGGTTTCAGGGTCTACCCAAATGTCATCTTAGATGCGCCGTCCAGTTCTGGCTATGTTACTTAATGAAAAGTTTGTTTTTTTCCGGTTTCCTCAAGCTACGTGTGGCGTTTCTTCAGACTGACTTTTGAGTCGACTCAAAAGTCACCTTTCTGGTTCTCTCGAGCTATGTGTGGCGTTTCTCCAGTCTGCAACTCTTTGTTCCTTCGCCGACATTAATACCTTCTATTCGGTTCCTGCCGTTCTATTCTCGTTGCCAAGCGCTCTTCTTCCTTGTTTTTTGTGACGCCGTGCCACTTGCAGCCTGCTTTTCCCGTTTACTCTGCAATGTTTCATCCTTTTTCGGGTTTTCGAATAATAATGACTTGCTAACGCTTGCAGTTCTCACACCGTTTTTCCTACCTATCTGTCAACCGAAACAATCCTTTTCCTGGCTCTTTAGTGGCCATCTTCCTTTTTTACCAACCCTCACGCCGTTTCCTCGTACGCTTTATTTTCCCCCTTCCAGCAAACGTGAACGGACATGAAGCACCCGCGCCATCTGCACCAGAGCCGCCGAAACCCAAGGAACCAGAGAAGCCTCGTACGTCTCTTATGCCAATATTGTCGCAAAGCTTTGTGCTTTGTTAAGCACGTCTAGTCGCCAGGTTAATACACCAGAGCCGAAATAGAAGGAACAGAGAAGCCACGTGCCTTCCATGCGTTGCCTGGTTACGGGGGCGAAAAGAGTTTTTAGGGTATGCTTTCTGCTTTTTCTTGTGTTAGGTTGGATAAGCGCGATTTTTTGTTCTTCCTGGTACGTGGAAGTTCAGGCCCAAGAAGCAGCGGGAGAACGAGAGAAAGGGAAAAAGAAAACTTCGTGTCTCTCTTCCTCCGCCTTCGCTTGTTCTCCCCCATTCCTCCTCACCCCGTCCCTCCTCTGGTCTCCTACCGCTCCCCTCCCCCCTCCTTCCTTCCCTCTCTTCTCCCTTCCCTCTCCCTTGCCCTCTCCCCCCCCCTCCACCCTCCCCCCTCCTTCCTTCCCTCTCTTCTCCCTTCCCTCTCCCTTGCCCTCTCCCCCCCCCTCCCCCCTCCCCCCTCCCCCCTCCTCCCACCCCACTCCCCTTCCCCCCCACGTCTTCCCCCCCCCCCCCCGCTCCCCCGGCAGCGCCCGCGCAGGGGGACAACGCGCTGATGGGGCTGGACATGCCGGCGGCGCCGTTTGAGCTGCGCACGTTCAAGTTCAAGGAGCTGCACAAGGCCACGCAGGCCTTCAAGGAGCCTGACAACGTGCTCCTCGCCTTGCGTTGTCCCACGCCTCATACACACCCTCCTTCCCTCCCCTCCCCTTTTCCGTCCTCTCCTTCCCCACTCCTCCCCTCCTCCGCCCTCCCCCCTCCCCCTTTCCCCACCCCCCCACTCCCCCCTCCCCTCCCCGCGCTCCTTCCCCAGCAGCGCCCGCGCAGAGCGACAACGCGCTGATGGGGCTGGACATGCCGGCGGCGCCGTTTGAGCTGCGCACGTTCAAGTTCAAGGAGCTGCACAAGGCCACGCAGGCCTTCAAGGAGCCTGACAACGTGCTCCTCGCCTTGCGTTGTCCCACGCCTCATACACACCCTCCTTCCCTCCCCTCCCCTTTTCCGTCCTCTCCTTCCCCACTCCTCCCCTCCTCCGCCCTCCCCCCTCCCCCTTTCCCCACCCCCCCACTCCCCCCTCCCCTCCCCGCGCTCCTTCCCCAGCAGCGCCCGCGCAGAGCGACAACTCGCTGATGGGGCTGGACATTCCAGCTGCGCCGTTTGAGCTGCGCACGTTCAAGTTCAAGGAGCTGCACAAGGCCACGCAGGCCTTCAAAGAGCCCGACAACGTGCTGGGCGAGGGGGGTTTCGGCAAGGTGTACAAGGGGTTCCTCAAGGACTGGGAGGGCAGCAAGGAGGCTTTTCCCATCGCTGTGAAGAAGCTCAATCCGAACAGCTTCCAGGGCCAGCAGGAGTGGCTGGTGAGTCTCGGAAATGTACAGTACGGGAGTGGCTGGTGGTGAGTCCGACAATGTGCTGGGCGAGGGCGGGTTCGGCAAGGTGTACAAGGGGTTCCTCAAGGACTGGGAGGGCAGCAAGGAGGCCTTTCCCATTGCTGTGAAGAAGCTCAACCCCAACAGCTTCCAGGGCCAGCAGGAGTGGCTGGTGAGTGGACGTGGTGGGGCATGGGTGGCAATACGCACGCAGAGAAGCTAGAAAGTGTTCCGAACGGCCCGAAAAAAAAAAAAAAAAAAACGAGACATCCTCCATGGCGGATATCCTGCATTTGCTTTGTGACCGAGAGAAAACCGTAATGTTAACAAAACCCCCATGCCCCTGTCATGTTTGTCCCCCCCAGGCCGAGATTCTGCTTCTGGGTCGCGTGCGCCATCAGAACCTGGTGAAGCTTCTCGGATACTGCGCGGAGAACGGGGAGGGTATGCTGGTGTACGAGTTCCTGGGCAAGGGCAGTCTTGACTACCACCTCTTCCCTGGTGAGTGATTCTTACCAGGTCAGTTGGTTGTTACTCTTGTTGTGGGAGTAAGGTCACAGTGGTGCGAGGGTATGCTGGTGTACGAGTTCCTGGGCAAGGGCAGTCTTGACTACCACCTCTTCCCTGGTGAGTGATTCTTACCAGGTCAGTTGGTTGTTACTCTTGTTGTGGGAGTAAGGTCACAGTGGTGCGAGGGTATGCTGGTGTACGAGTTCCTGGGCAAAGGCAGTCTGGACTACCACCTCTTCCCAGGTGAGTAGCTGCGTACTCGTTATGGACAGGTTCAAGAGCCACCACTTGGTCAGTCAGTTGGTACAATGTTATACGAGAAGAGTCACAGTGGTGCGAGGGTATGCTGGTGTACGAGTTCCTGGGAAAGGGCAGTCTGGACTACCACCTCTTCCCAGGCGAGTCGTTTGTACTAATATTGATAATACCACTTACCAGGTGGAGTCAGTTGGTACAAGGTGGTAAGGGTTAGGTCACAGTGGTGCGAGGGTATGCTGGTGTCGAGTTCCTGGGAAAGGGCAGTCTGGACTACCACCACTTCCCAGGTGCGTGATTCTGTACTCGTTATTGACAGTTCTATTTTGCATCATTTACCAGGTATAGCCAGTTGGTACAAGGCTGTTAGAGTAAGGTCACAGTGGTGCGAGGGTATGCTGGTGTATGAGTTCCTGGGGACGGGCAGTCTGGACTACCACCTCTTCCCCGGTGACTGTTTCGTACTCGTTATTGACAGGTTTGTCAGTTGTTTCTTGTGGTGAGAGTAAGCCCACAGTGGTGAGGGTATGCTGGTGTATGAGTTCATGGGCAAGGGCAGCCTGGACTGGACTGCCACCTCTGGTGAGTAGTTCCGTACAGATTTCTACCACTTAACCAAGTGCCCACGCCCCTCACGCTTCTCTCATTGGAGGTTCGTCATGGCTATAAGAAGAGTAACCTTCATTTTCTCTCTCCTCTATCCTCCCCCTCTCCTCCCTTCTCCACTCCTCCCTGCCCCTCCCACCCCACCAGAGCCCAAGGAGGACGACCCTAACCCCCCCTCGCCTCTCTCATGGGAGGTGCGGCTGCGCATTGCTCTGGATGCTGCTGCAGGCCTGGCGGGCTCATTGTCACTCTTCCTCTCTGAATTATTGCTGTTTCCTCTCCTTCCCCACCCCGCAGAGCCCAAGGAGGACGACCCCACGCCCCCCACGCCGCTGCCATGGGAGGTGCGGCTGCGCATTGCGCTGGATGCTGCTGCAGGCCTGGCGTACCTGCATGAGAACAACGTCATTCACCGCGACTTCAAGGCTCCCAACATCCTGCTTGATGATGTGAGTGCCGTTGACACTGGCCAAGCTAATAGGGAGAAACAGGCCAGGGCTTACCTGATTGGGAACACCATTATTCACCACGATTTCAAGGCTCTTTATCCTGCTCGGCGATGTGAGTGCCGTGTTCACTTGTATTGGTTTATACGTGTCGAGTGTTTGTCTGTACTCGCTAGGTATACTTCAAGCCACCAATCAACCTCGCGTCTCCCATGGACATCCACACCCGCCCCCTCTCTTCCGCCCAGGACTGGTCTGCAAAGCTGACGGATTTCGGGCTGGCCAAGGGGGCGGACACGGACCAAACCCACGTGACGACGCGCATCATAGGCACCATGGGGTACCTCGACCCCAAGTACATGGAAACCGGCCAGCTCACGCGCACGCCTTGCCTGTGCACACACCATCTTCATACCCCCTTTCCCCCTTCTCCCCCTCCCCCCTCTTCCCCCTTTTCCCCTCCGCACTCCTTCCTCCGTCCCTTCCCTCCTCTCCCCCCCAGGACTGGTCCGCCAAGCTGACGGATTTCGGGCTGGCAAAGGGAGCGGACACGGACCAAACCCATGTGACGACGCGCATCATGGGCACCATGGGGTACCTCGACCCCAAGTACATGGAAACCGGCCAGCTCACCCGCAAATCCGACGTCTACGCCTTCGGAGTCATGCTCCTTGAGCTCCTCACAGGCAAACGCGCCATGGATCAGACGCAGCAGGGCATGCCGCCGCTCACGGCCTGGGCGCAGCAGTATCTGAACCAGCGAAAGCCGGATATTGGAGCTCTCGTCGACCCGTGTCTGCTGGATCAGTTTACGACGAAGGCGGCGCAGCGGGCGGCGCATAAGTTGGCGATTTCCGCGAAGCATTGCATTGAGGAGGATCCGAATCTGCGGCCGCTGATGAGTGATATGGTGGAGACGCTTCGTCCCCTCGTGGCGGCTGCTCAAGAGCAGTCTGCTGCTGCTGCTGCCAGTGCTGGAGGGGGCGGGGAGTAGGGTGTCCGTGTGGTGACTCAGGGGTGGGTGGTGGGGAGGGGAGGGGAGGAGGGGGAACACGGTGGGGTGGTCGACGGTAGAAGCATTGTATTGAGGAGGATCCGAATCTGCGGCCGCTGATGAGTGATATGGTGGAGACGCTTCGCCCGCTGGTGGCTGCGGCTCAGGAGCAGTCCGCTGCTGCTGCTGCCAGTGCTGGAGGGGGTGGGGAGTAGGGCTTCTGTGCGCTGACCCAGGGGTGGGAGGGAGAACAGGGGGGTGGGAGAGAGAACAGGGGTGGGTGGGACGCTTGGGTCGGATATTTATCAGGATGGGCGCTTGGGCTTGGGTGCTTGGGTGGAAGCATAGTACTGCGAAGCATTGTATTGAGGAGGATCCGACTCTGCGGGCGCTGATCAGTGATATGGTGGAAACGCTTTGTCCCCTGGTTGCTGCTGTGGCGCAGGAGCAGTCCGCTGCTGCTGCTGCTGCTGCTGCCAGTGCTGAGGGGGGAGGGGAGTAGGGTGTGGTTATCTGATGGCCTGGAAGGGTGGGGGAGGAGGGGGTTGCAGGAAGAGGGGGATGCTCCGCTCGTGGGTTGCTGCGGCTCAGGAGCAGTCCGCTGCTGCTGCTGCCAGCGCTGAGGGGGGAGGGGAATAGGGTGTGGTTATCTGATGGCCTGGAAGGGTGGGTGGGGGAGGAGGGGGTTGCAGGAAGAGGGGGATGCTCCGCTCGTGGGTTGCTGCAGCACAGGAGCAGTCCGCTGCTGCTGCCGCCAGCGTTGGGGGGAAACGTGAGGAGTAAGGTGGCGAGATTTGGTGACTTGAGAAGGAAGTGGGCGAGGAGTGGAGAAAGAGGAATGGAGGAAGAAGGGTGCGGGATGAGGGGGATACAGACGAGGGACATGGGTTTTGAGTCAGTGCAGAAATCAAGACGGTGGTTGCGCCGATGGTTGCTGTGGGCGCCTGGAGGTGTAGACTGCTATGGCTGAGGTGACTCAAGCTGGGATCCTTGAGCCTTAAAGTTGGAAGGTTCAAGGACGCTGGGGTTGGACAGGCAGGGCGGACTGCCGGGTATTTATGCGCGCCTCACCTTGAAAGACTAGCAGTGAGACGCGATCTGCTCTGTGAAGCTGTAGAGACTGGCGGTGATGGCTGCAGTGGGAGCAGAAATGTAGAGTGGGATGCTGCTTGTGGTGGGGAGCCAGGATTTTGGTTGTTAACAGTCAAGAGAAGCAGCAAAAAGCGACGAGGGAGCACGTCTGTATGGGTGGCCTCAGGCTTGGTGGAACCACAGGTGCAAACTGCGAAGCTGCAAACTGCAAAGCTGCACTGTGTTCATCACAGCGGGTCACCCACAGTGTTCTGTGCTCCTCCCTCAGCTGCTTGCTTTCCTTTGGCTCTGCCAGTGCATGTGCTTGCATTAGCGCCAAGAGGTAGCAGCTGTGGTCTGGGGAGTGTGTTTGTTTCAGGGGAGAGCTGGTTTGAGAGATTGGGATGTGAGCACATGGAGTGGTGGGGATGTGCAGGGGAGAGGGGGGGGGGGGAGGAGGAGGGGGAGGAGGGGGGGGGCGCAGTGGAGGAGTAAATTCGGGCTGATGAAGAGAAGACTGACCTGAAGCCTAGAGGATCACCATGGATCCTTTTAATCTGGTTTCTTTGCCGTTTTGTTTAGTGGATGCATGCATGTAGACTGTAGAAGCACTGGTACTCTAGTACCGTAGTATTACCGTACCAGAGTCACTCAACTTATAATTGTGATGTGTAGGGGGGTTGTAGGTGCACGGCAGAATGGCGGGTTTGGTAAATGTGAATGGTTGCGTGGTCTGGCTGGGTTGGGGGGATGTATTCTGCTGCATGTGACCCTTGATCAGCTGTGCTGCTGAGCCGAGCCAAGCCGACTGAGAGATGGTTCCAGTTAACTAGTTCGTTGTAGTTGGTGCAGGCAGGTCAAAATGGAAACAAGATTAACTAATATTGGGGTGACTGTCTGAGGGATGTGAAAAACAAAGCATGAGCACAAGTAGCGGTCCCTGGTACATGAGAAAACAATCGATGTTAAACAGTACAAGGCTGCAGACACCACAACCTTGAAATGGCAACTCCAACTCTCGTGCTTTTTAACCATAAAAATAATGACAAAAGCTGCGTTTAAAAAATGTACCCCATAATGAGAGTGATGTTCGCAGTGACGCTTATTACCGGTACTCCCCCAGTCAAGCACTCTCCATATCAAGCGATACATAATCAGCCTTGAGCATCAGCTGTGAAAGATCCTTCACCTGCTTACAAAACAGAGCCGAGTGAATCAGAGGGCAGGGAGACTTCGGCTCTGACAGTTTGGAAGTACAGAGGGCAGGGGAGATTGGTCGGGGAAATCAAATAAGGAGAATGTAGGTCAGGGTACCTCATCGGAGAGGGCATTTGAGAAGAGCAAAAATTGGTTGTGTAGGGAGGGAAGCTTCGAAAGGCAGAGGGGAGAATGTAGGGTACTGTACCTCATTGGAGAGAGCGTTTGAGAAGAGTAGTGTTTGGCGGGTGGGTGGGAGGAGCGTAACGATGGCCTGTATGGTGCGAGTGAACCCCATGTCCACCATGCGGTCTAGGTCCTCCAATGCAAGCACCTGCACGCACCATATGAGATGGATAGGTAGGAAGCAATGTGATGTGAACCCCATGTCCACCATGTGGTCTAGGTCCTCCAATGCAAGCACCTGCACGCATGGCCAATGGCGGATAGTAGGTGGGAAGCAATGTGATGTGAGCTTGAGAGCACATCTACAATGGGTGGGAGGAGCGTAACGATGGTGTGTATGGTGCGAGTGAACCCCATGTCCACCATGCGGTCTAACTCCTCCAATGCAAGCACCGGCACGCACCATATGAGATGGATAGAGAGGAAGCAATGTAATGTGAACCCCATCTCGACCATGCGGTCTAACTCCTCCAATACAAGCACCTGCACCCATGGTGTGTGTGAGATGGATAGTAGATGGGAAGTAATGTGATGTGAATGAGAGCAGGTATGGGTGCGTCAAGTGGGAGGATGGCATCTATGGTGCGAGTGAACCCCATATCGACCATGCGGTACCATACCTACACATGCTGTCACCCACCTTTATTCTCTTCATACCTTCAGCTGCTGCACTCTGTTCCGCATGCCTTGAGTCTGCTGCAAGTGCTCCAAGAGCAGCGCAGCAGCAGCCATAGCAACATGCACAAGCACGCCCCAAGTTTCTCCCTACCATACCTACCTACACGTGCTTTCACTCGCCTTTGATCTCTGCATACCTTCAGCTGCTGCACACCATGCGGTACCATACCTACACGTTCCGCATGCCTTGTGTGTGCTGCAATGCAAGTGCTCCAACAGCCGCCCAGGAGTTGCCATCGCTGGCACCTCGCACACACGGTGCCTACTGTTCTCACCTTGCACCTCCTCTTCTCTCCTATTGCTCACCTTCAGCTGCTGCACTCGGTTCCGCATGCCCTGAGTCTGCTGCAAGTGCTCCAACAGCCGAGCAGGAGTTGCCACCAGCACCTCACACGGCGCCTGCTGCAACCGCCTCCCCTCATCATCCATACTCAACCCTCCCACCACCATCTGCACCCCCACTGCTTGCCGCCCCACTCCCTGTGGCCCAATTCCCGACTCTCCCCCCTGCCTCACGCCCTTCATTCGGCCAGCACGCCTACCCCTACCTCCTCCTCTCCTCCTGTCACCTAATCCTCTTGCTGCTTCCTTTCTTCCCGATTCCCCGGTTCCTTCCTGCCCTCGCGGAGTCCCCTGCACCTGCTGTGGCTGCGGAGGCTGAAGCAGCTGCAGCACTTGCTGAGCCTGCCCCAGAGCCCTCTCGGCCCTCTCTCTGTTAGCGCACACCAGCAACACCTCCACTGGGGTACCTGCGCCGGCCAGCAGCCGAGCGGGAGAGTTAGTGAAGTCTGAGAGGAGACTGTCAAGGCAGGGGATCTGCAGGGCAGTGCCGGGAACAAGAGGAGGATATGGGGAATACAAATTTTGGCAATAAGAACTCACTGGGCCTGCCTGCTGCAGAGCCCTCGGTGATCGCTCTCTACTAGCGCACCATATAATCACACGTCCTCTGGGTCTGGAGTGCCAGCGACTCACTATCGGCACCTCACTCATAATAGCATGTGAGCTCACCATATAAGCCATGGTCTTCCCTGTGCCTGAACTAGCCTTGACCAAGAGATCAGCTCCTGGCGAAAGCGACGCAGAAGCAGGGAGACAGAGGAAAAGAGGGGGAGAAGTGCATGGTGAGAGAGGGATGCATGGTGAGACAGAGACGGGAAGTATGAGAGAGGAAAAACTGAATCGGACGGGGGAAGGAGTTCGTGAAATGTCGCGAAGGAAAGGTGCAGATTTGGGAGGGGCAACAAACACGAGACAAGCAGGTAGAATTGGCAATGGGAGCAGCACCAGCATAGTAAAACAGTTTTGACCTGGATCCAGCAGGTAACTCGTCCTAATCTCCTCTCCTATAGGCTGAGCTTAGGCTAGTAGGGATTGAATAGGTAAGAAATTGTCATTCAAACCTGAGCCAGGTTTGAATGACACCGGCCGAAACGCTCAGGTTTGAAACGCTCAGGTTTGAAACGCGCGTTTCGGCCGGTGTCATTATCATTGGCAATGGGAGCGCAGCACCAGCATACCTTCGATTATGTGCGGCATGGTAGCAGCTTGCAACGGAGTGCAGCTTAAAGCCCATGCTGCTGCGGATGGCAAAGGCAATGATAATGGCAAAGGCAGTGGTAACAACATACCTGCGAGTATGCGTGGCATGACAGCTGCTTGCAAGGGAGTGCACCGTTTAAAGCCCATGCTGCCGCTGATGGCTGAATGCATAGTCAGGGAGAGAGGCAAGGCGGCGAAACTGCCTGCTTCCCCGCTGGTATCAGCACGCTCACGCTCTGTTTGGTCCGTGGCAGTGGTATCACCCCCCATGCCGCCGCTAATGGCTGAAAGCATGGCTTGCGAGAGAGGCAAGGTGGCGAAACTGCCTGCCTCCCCTCTGGTATCAGCACGCTCACGCTCTGTTTGGTCCGTGGCAGTGGTATCACCCCCCATGCCGCCGCTAATGGCTGAAAGCATGGCTTGCGAGAGAGGCAAGGTGGCGAAACTGCCTGCTTCCCCTCCCTCGCACGCCCCCACTCTTACTGAGCCGCTTCTGTTGTTCTCACATCCACCACCAGTATAATCACGAGCTGTGTTGTCAGCAGCACTGCTGCCACCCTTTGAAATGTTGGCAGCACCATCAGCAGCAGCAGCAGCAGCAGCAGCAGCAGCAACAGCAGAGGTAAAGTGCCTGCAGCTTGCGGCAGCAGAGGCAGTAGCAGTAGGCATACCCGTATGCATGCGGACGGGCATCGACATGCTGATGGGCATGGGCATAGGCATGGCAATACCCATGGCCATGTGCATGGGCATGCTCACAGGCATGTGCATGCGCATGGGTGCACCAGTGGCAACAGCAGATGCCGACACATCTCTTCTCCTCCACGCACGCCCCCTGCTGCTGCCACCACTGCCACCGCTGCTGCTGCCGCCCCTCCCACTGCTGCTGCCATTGCTGATCCTGGTGGTGCGGCTGCTACTGCCACCATCTCTACTGCCATACCCACCGTCACCACCGTCACCACCGTCACCATCATCACCATCATCCCCACCATCGCCAGCAAAAGCCAACCAAGGGATCCTTGAAACAGCCCTCCTGTCCTCCTCCTCCTCCTCTGCCTCCTCCTCCTTCAATTGGCCACTTCCTCTCGCATTCAAACCACCAACAGCACCACCACTACCGTCGCCACCAGCACGAGCAGCACGAGCAGCACCTTCAGGGGGAGTCCCATACTCGTTATAAGCAGCCCCGGATCCTCTCTCCAGCGGCCCATCATCCTCGTTCCAAAGATCCTCCACGTGTTTGAGCTTCACGTGCCGACCAATCACCTCCTCTGGTACTGCAGGCAGCACCAATGACGCTCCCCTCCCTCCTCCCCCGGTTGATCCTTGATACGCTCCCCTCTGCCCTCCTCCCCTGCCTCTCCCTCCTCCTCCTCTCCCTCCCCGTCCTCCTCCTGCCATTTCTCTTCCTTCTCTTCCTCCTCTCCCTCCTCCCCCTCCTCGTGCTCCTCTGCCTGCTCCCCATGCACCTGTTCTCTCCTCTCCTCCCACCCCTCCTGCCTCTTCCCCTGCCACGGGAAATGCTGCTGGTACCTGTGCCTGCCTGGCTTGGCGCGCTGCAGTGGACGCCTTTCCTTCTCCTCCTCCTCTCCCTCCTGCCCCTCCTGCTCCCATCGTATCTCCTCCCATACCACCACTTCCCTCTCCTCCTCCATTCCCTCCGCCTCCCCTCCCTCCTGCCCCCTCTCCTCCCCCTCGCCCTCGCCCATATAGCCCTCCTTCCTCCCACCACATCCAGCCTTCTTCCCCTTCCTCTCCCTCTTTCCCCCGTTCCACTGCCAATCCCTCAGTTGCCCCCTCTTGCGTCATCCTTCCCCCTCTAACCCCATCACTACCGCCCCTTGCTGTTCCCCCGTGCCCTCTCCCCCTCTCCCCCCTTCCCCGTGGGCGCATTCCCCCCTCCGCCCCGGCCTCCGCATCCTCCTCCCACCACACGCGCCCCCCCTCCTCCCCCCGCTGCTGTTGGCGCATCCCCCCCTCTTCCCCTCTCCGCCACAGTTGGCGCATCTCCCCCTCCCCCTCCCGCTGCCACGGGCGCACATCCTCCCCCGCAATTGGCGCAATGTGCCCCCGCTGCTCCCCCCTGTTGCGCTGGTCCTTCCCCAGGCGCTCCTCCCCCCAAGCGCGCTGCTCCCCCCTAGCGCGATCTTCCCCCCACGCGCGCTCTCCCCCCGCCTGCTGCCTCCGCTCCGCCAATGGCACTTGCGGAAGCCGCTCCCAGCGGACTGGTCCCCCTTCCCGCTCCCCCCCTAACCCTTCCGCCATGCCCCCCTGGTTCCGCCAATCACTCCCCCCCCGTTGCTCCTCCCGCGCGCTCCCCCAACCCGCTCCCCCTTCCGCCTTCCCCCCTTGCCTCTCCCAAGGAATTATCATCCCCCCTGTCCCCTCCTCCTCCCCCAAACCCTTCCAAAGCCCCCCGCCCCCCTCCTCCCCCCATCGGCGCGCAGTATCATCACCCCCGCGCCGGTTTTCCCACGGAAGCGGGGGCCCCGCGGATCGCGGCGGAAAAGCCGGCGGCGGCCGCCCTTCCCGTGGGGCTTTCCCCCATCCGCGGTCCGAGTCGTCCCCCCAGGGGCGCTCCGGGCCGCGCAAGATGCGGAGCTGCTCGCGCCGCTTCGCCTCGAACGCCTCTTGCTCGCGGATCAGCTGCGCGCGCTCCCGCGCGCGCCGCTTCTTGTCCTGCATTCGCTTCCATTGCCATTTGGTCACTCCGCCAGGGAACGTCCGCGGACCTCCCCCCGCCCATATCTTCGGCGCAAGCGCGGGATGGGCGGGCGCGGAAAGCGGCAGCGGAAAGCCTTTTGCGGGGATGGATATCCCCGGAACCGCTATTTCTCGGATCTCCCCGGAGCCGCAACCGGGGAACGGATCCCCAAGGAACGGCGGAAGATGCGGGGCATGGGGGGAGTGTTTCGGCGGAAGCGCGGGTGGCGCGGGGAGGCCGGGGAGTCGGAGATCGAGGTCGCGGGGGGCGGAAGGCGCGTAGAGTGCGGGGAGGGGGATGGGGTTGGGGGAGAGGAAGGCGGAAGAGACGCTAGCAAGGGGAGAGAGGGCGGAAAAGGGGCGGGAGGAGAGGAGCGCGGAGAGGGCGGGGGAGGGGGAGCCGGAAAGCAGCGCCATGCGCAGTACTGGATTCTGCTATTTAAACAAACGGATGTCCGCTGGCATGGGGATGTAGCTCAGATGGTAGAGCGCTCGCTTAGCATGCGAGAGGTATGGGGATCGATACCCCACTTCTCCAGTAGTTTTGGGCATACGTCGCCATCTCACCAACCGCGCCTCTCCAGTTTTTGGCTCATTTCCCGAGTCCCAGCTTGCAACAGGTCACTGTAATTCAGTTTGAGTGGAATGCACGGGACCCTTCGCGTGACCCGCGCTGAAATAGACCAGCCTTCGACCGTCTGTCCCTTTATTAGACGTTTCCACCTCTCGCTCCGCTCGTGCCGCCTTCCCTCGCGTCGCCTCACCCGCATCATATCCCCTGCCTTTTTCTTCTCAAAATATCTCCTCGACACTCTATTTCCTCCACGTTTTTTTTACCGGGCTGCCTCAAGTCTGTACTCTCGTGCCGCGCTCCCAGGCCCGCGTCACGTCCCCTCGCAATGCTCGCTCCTCCGCTTGCTGCTGCCCATGGCGCCGCCGACACGTGGCAAAGCGCCGCGGGAGAGGCGGCGGGAAATGCGGCGCAGCTGGCGGGGATGGACGAGAGCATGCAGGCGCTGCGGGAAGTGGTAGTGTGGCCGATTAAGTACGCCAAAGAGGCCGCTGCGCTAGGCCTAAAGGTGCGTGCGATTATGAACTCTACACACCCGCTAAAGGTGTGGAAGTATGAACCTTACACCTTAAAACCCAGGGTCCACAGGTTTCAATGGTAGGAAGGTTGGTTGGACTTAGTGACAAAACCAAAGGTAGGAAGCTTGGTTGGACTTTGTGACTCAACCAAAGGTAGGAAGGATGAGGCAACTTCGGGATACTTGAGACTCCGGTTTTAAACCTTGGGGCGTAAAACCCTGAACCCGGGTCCCTGGTCCGAGAGATATGCAGCACAACAGCTCTCCTCTCTGAGGTCATTCCCTTGTGCTCAACTCATTCCATTCCGTCAGGCCTGCAGAGCGCCATTCTCCCTGTGTGATGAGTCGACTCAAAAATCGACTCAAAAATCGACTAAAAAATCGACTAAAAAATCGACTCATCACACACGCAGAGTGCCATTCTCCCTTCACTCCTTCACTCTCCCCTTTCCACCTTCGGCTCCCTCGCCCTCTCTCATGCATGCCCCACACTCGCCCTCCCCTCCCCACCCCACACACACTGTCTCCTCTCCTCCACTTCCCCCTTCCCCCCTCCCCCCTTCGACGCTTCCCTCTTCTCCCCTTCCCCCTTCCCCCTTCCCCCTTCCCCCTTCCCCCTTCCCCCTTCCCCCTTCTCCCTTCCCCTCCCCCTTCCGCTCCCCCTTCCTCTGAGGCGTCTCAAAAACAGTCCCACTCCACACTCTCCCTTTTCCCCCACACGCTTTCCCCGTGCAGTGGCCGTCAGGTGTGCTGCTGTACGGCCCGCCAGGCACGGGCAAGGTGAGGCTGTGAGGCACAGGCAGAGCGAGTGCCGGTCTGAGACAGACAGGCACTGAGAGCCGCTTTTGTTTTCTCTGTGGGGTGAGAATGTGAGACCGTAACTTTGTTCCTTTGAATCCTAGGTTGCATCTGGACACTTCAAACCATGTTATATCATCCCATCCCATCCCATCCCATCCCATCCCATCCCATCCCATCCCATCCCATCCCATCCCATCCCATCCCATCCCATGTGTGCAGACGCTGATGGTGAGGGAGATAGCTCGGGAGTGCAACGCACGGCTCTTCACTGTCACGTGAGTGAATACACCACCCTGCAACCACCCTGCCATTCACCCCGCCACTATTGCATTGCATGCATCAGGTCATCATCCATCTTTGGGGCATACGCACGGGTGAGCGAGAGGCTTTTCGGGGCACCTCAAATAAACCCTTCTCCAACCAACCTCTCTGCAATGCGCCCTCTTTTGCATGCATGAGGTCGTCGTCCATCTTTGGGGCATACACGGGTGAGAGCAAGAGGATGGTTGAGGCACCAGGCACCTCATAATAAACCATTTTCCAACCCTCGCTGCCCGTCACCCTCTCTTTTGCATGCATGAGGTCGTCGTCCATCTTTGGGGCATACACGGGTGAGAGCAAGAGGATGGTTGAGGCACCAGGCACCTCATAATAAACCATTTTCCAACCCTCGCTGCCCGTCACCCTCTCTTTTGCATGCATGAGGTCGTCGTCCATCTTTGGGGCATACACTGGGGAGAGCAAGAGCATGCTCGATGCATCTCGTAACAGCCCGTTTCCACCCCTCTCCACCCCACACCACCGCATGCATCAGGTCGTCATCCATCTTTGGGGCATACACAGGTGAGAGCAAGTGCCATGCTCGAGGCACCTCGTAATAGCTTCTTCCCCAAATCTCTCTGCCTTACACCCTCTCTTTGCCACACTTGCAATGCATGCATGAGGTCGTCATCCATCTTTGGAGCATACACGGGGGAGAGCGTGAGCATGCTCAATGCACCTCGTAACAACCCGTTTCCACCCCTTTCTGCCGCACACAACCCCCTGCATCAGGTCGTCATCCATCTTTGGAGCATACGCGGGGGAGAGCGAGAGGCGGCTGAGAGACGTGTTTGATGCGGCCAGGGGGGGAAAGGATGGGGAGGGGGGACTGGGGGTAGGAGGTAAAGAGGGAGTTGCTGAGGGAGGGGCAGACGGAGGAGCGGATGTGCGGCCGTCGATTGTGTTCATTGACGAGATAGACGTGTTGTGCCCCAAGAGAGACTCCAGGTAACGCACAAGGTAGTTACAGAGGGAGGTGTGGGAGGTGGTTCAGAGGGGTTTGCAGGTGTGCGGCCGTCGATTGTGTTCATTGATGAGATTGACGTGTTGTGCCCCAAGAGAGACTCCAGGTAGGTAGCTCACCGCACAAGGGAGGTGTGGGAGGTGGTTCGGAGGAGTTCGCAGATGTTCAGCTCGATTGTGCTCATTGACGAGATAGACGTGTTGTGCCCCAAGAGAGACTCAAGGTAGGTAGCTCACCGCACAAGAAGTGTGTGGCCTATACCGGGCTTGCCCTAAATTAGGGGTGCAGAGGGAGGTGCAGATGTGCGGCCATCAATTGTGTTCATCGATGAGATAGACGTGTTGTGCCCCAAGAGAGACTCAAGGTAGGTAGCTCACCGCACAAGAAGTGTGTGGCCTATACCGGGCTTGCCCTAAATTAGGGGTGCAGAGGGAGGTGCAGATGTGCGGCCATCAATTGTGTTCATCGATGAGATAGACGTGTTGTGCCCCAAGAGAGACTCAAGGTAGGTAGCTCACCGCACAAGAAGTGTGTGGCCTATACCGGGCTTGCCCTAAATTAGGGGTGCAGAGGGAGGTGCAGATGTGCGGCCATCAATTGTGTTCATCGATGAGATAGACGTGTTGTGCCCCAAGAGAGACTCAAGGTAGGTAGCTCACCGCACAAGAAGTGTGTGGCCTATACCGGGCTTGCCCTAAATTAGGGGTGCAGAGGGAGGTGCAGATGTGCGGCCATCAATTGTGTTCATCGATGAGATAGACGTGTTGTGCCCCAAGAGAGACTCAAGGTAGGTAGCTCACCGCACAAGAAGTGTGTGGCCTATACCGGGCTTGCCCTAAATTAGGGGTGCAGAGGGAGGTGCAGATGTGCGGCCATCAATTGTGTTCATTGACGAGATAGACGTGTTGTGCCCCAAGAGAGACTCAAGGTAGGTAGCTCACCGCACAAGAAGTGTGTGGCCTATACCGGGCTTGCCCTAAATTAGGGGTGCAGAGGGAGGTGCAGATGTGCGGCCATCAATTGTGTTCATTGACGAGATTGACGTGCTGTGCCCCAAGAGAGACGCCAGGTAGCTTGCAAGCGAGATTCCAAGAGAGTCTGGCTTACAATGGGCTTGGCTGGCCGGAATCCGCCTCAAAACTCCATACAAGGGGTTTTTTTTTAGGTGCCTCAAAACGTTTTTATGATGGGCTTGCTCCTTGGACAGCATTCCTTGTTATTTTTGAGTCTCCTGTTAGCATTTGAGGAAACAGTTTTTCTTGTTGCCGGCAACAGGAAGGGACTTGTAAGGGGACAGGCAACAGGAAACCGTTTGAGTCTCCACTCCACTTGTTTAAGTCTAGTTTCCGAGTTGTGACTGTGAGAGTGTCATTCTGAGGTTGTGTGTGCGTTTGTGTGTGTGTGTGTGTGTGTGTGTGTGTGTGTGTGTGTGTGTGTGTGTGCGCGTGCAGGCGGCAGAACGAGACAAGAATAGTGTCTCAGCTTCTCACTCTCATGGACGGCATATCCACTTCCTCACTCCCCTCCTCCTCCTCTCCTCTACCCTCCTCTTCATCATCCTCCCAGCCCACCGCTTCCCACCCCTCTCGACCGCTTGTTGTCATCGCTGCCACAAATCGGTAAAGAAATCCCTGTCCTCTATATACCTTGAAGTTGTTGTACAGAGCAATTTTTGAATAATAATAATAATAATTATAGCAATAGTACTGGTTATTTAATACTAATACTAACAAAACGTCCCTACGTGCTTCTTCCATTCCAATCATTCCTTCCATTTCCTTCCTCTCCTCACCCATCCCTCTTTTCTTCCTATTCCACCCTCGTCGACCTTAACTTCGTCACTTCCACTGACAGCCCTAACGCACTAGATGCCGCGCTGCGCCGGCCGGGACGATTCGACCGCGAGATCGCAATCAACGTGCCAGGCACGAGGGAGAGAGAGGCGATACTAAAGGTGAGAAAAAATCATGAAATGGGAAGGAAAGGGGGAATTTTCAAGTGAGATTTTCTCTGCAACATTCTGGCTAGAAGGAGAATCCAGCCTTCTTCTCATTGCTCTCTCTCGGTCTCACTTGAGAATTCTCAGAACAATCACACGGCCAATCACTTGGGTCTTATTGCCAACCTGCTAATGCTACTGCTGCTCGCTTGTCTTCTCTGTCTCCCTCCTCCCGCCTCTCCTCCCTCCCGCCTCTCTTCCCTCCCGCCTCTCCCCCAGCTGCATGCGCGCTCCCTCCCTCTGCTTGCTGACGTGGACATGCGCCAGCTGGCGGCGCGCTGCAAGGGCTACGTGGGTGCTGACCTGGCGGCGGTGTGTCGCGAGGCGGCTCTTGCTGCTGTCATGGAGATTGCTGCTGGGGAGGAGGAGAGGGGAGGAGGGATAGTAAGGGGGGCAGTGGTAGGTAAGGAGGGGGAGGTGGCGGCTGGGGAAAGGGAGGCTTCTCTTGCTGCCGTGATGGAGGTGGCTGGTGGAGAGGAGGAGAGGGTTGCAGGGGTAGTGGGGGTAGTGGCTGAGGAAGGGAAGGCGGTTTCTGGGGAAGGGAAGGAGAGGGAGGGAATGGTAGGAGTGGGGGAAGGTGCAGAAAGGTCCGATGGCAGCAGTAGGTGTGTTGGGGACAGGAGCAGCAGCGCCATCAGCAGCAGCAGTTGTATCACCAGCAGCGGAGATGTTGCCACTGCCAGTAGCAGCAGCTGCAGCAGCACAGCAATAAGAAGCAGCGCGGACAGGCACGGGGTAGGCCTGGTGGGCATGAGGCACTTTGAAGCGGCGCTCTCTCGTGTGGGTCCCTCGGTGACTCGCGGCGTGGCGGCTGAACTGCCTGCTGTCACGTGGAGCGACATTGGAGGGCTGGAGGGTGTCAAGGTGAGACCGTGTGATGGGGGGTTGGGGTGGGGGGAGGGTTGATTTTTCAGTCGACTCGAAAATTGAGCTTCTTTCACATCTGCTCTCTCGTGTGGGGCCATCTGGGACTCGTGGCGTGGCGACTGAACTGCCTGCCGTCACGTGGAGCGACATTGGAGGATTGGAGGGCGTGAAGGTGAGAAAAGAGGGGGGAGTGGGGGGGAGAGGTTTAATTTCTTTCACATGCGCTCTCTCGTGTCGTGTGGGGCCCTCTGTGACTCGCGGCGTGGCAGCTGAACTGCCTGCTGTCACGTGGAGCGACATCGGGGGGTTGGAGGGTGTCAAGGTGAGAGGTGGGGAAGGGGAGGAGGGTTCAAGGAGGGGGAGGGAGGGGTCAATCCTTTCCCACATTGGAGCAGCTCACTCCTTTCTTCCTGCAGAGGGACCAGGGACCAGGGACCAGGGATCAGGGACCAGGGACCAGGGACCAGGGACCAGGGACCAGTGAGACGCTCTGCTCCTCATCCCCCCTTCCTCCCTTTCACTCCTTACCCTGCGCCCCTACCCCCATCTACTCCTCCCCACCGCTCTCAACCGCACAGAAGCGACTGCAGATGGCGGTGGAGTGGCCCTTGCAGCACCCAGAAGCCTTCCTGCGCCTCGCTCTCACCCCTCCCAGGGGAGTGCTGCTGCACGGCCCTCCCGGGGGCGGCAAGACAATGCTCGCCCTCGCTGCTGCCCATGCCTCCAAGGCAACCCTCTTCTCTCTCAGGTGTGCTCTCTTCTCCTCCCTCCTCTTCCCTTTGAGTCCACTCACGGATCCTCCTCGCTCTTAGCACCCTCCCCGAATGCTCCTGCACGGCCCTCCCAGGGGCGGCAAGACAATGCTTGCCCTCGCGGCTGCCCATGCCTCCAAAGCAACCCTCTTCTCTCTCAGGTCTGCCCTCATCTCCCCTCCTCGCCTCTCCTCTCTACTCTAGTTCCTTGCCTCTTGTCCCCTTTCCGCTTTCTCACGAGCTGCGATGCAGACCCCTTCTCCACGCAGGTGACCTCTTCTTCTATGCATGTGTTTCTCACTGCACCACATCCGTCTTGTTCCCTCCCTTCGCGCATGCAGCGGTGCAGACCTGTTCTCCATGTATGTGGGCGAGGGAGAGGCAATGCTGAAAGACACGTTCCGATTGGCTCGCATGGCGGCTCCCAGCGTGGTGTTTGTCGATGAGGTGGACGTGGTCGGGGGGCGCAGGTGGGTACAGTGCGGTACGGAGCGGTGCAGTGTGGTGTTGGGTGGTGCAATGCGATTCAGTCTACGTGTATGATAGAATATTAGATCTGACCCTGTCAAGACACACTCTGCTTGGCTCGCATGGCGGCTCCCAGCGTGGTGTTTGTGGACGAGGTGGACGTGGTGGGGGGACGAAGGTGTGTGCAGTGCAGTGTAGAGCGGTTCAGATTGGTTTAGTGCGGTGCAGTGCAATTTACACGTATGATTGATAGACGATGGAATCTGACCTGTCAAGACATGTTCCGCCTGGCTCGCTTGCATGGCGGCTCCTAGTGTGGTGTTTGTGGACGAGGTGGGGGGGCTCAGGTGAGTGCAGTGCAGTACTGTGCAGTGCGGTGCAGTGCAGTACTGTGCAGTGCGGTGCAGTGCAGTACTGTGCAGTGCGGTGCAGTGCGGTGCAGTGCAGGGTGATGTGGTCCAGTGGAGTCCAGATGGATGATTAGGCAATCAATTCCAACCCTGAAATTTCCCAGTGTGGTGTTTGTGAAAGAGGTGTCAGAGAAACCAATGCATGCTGCTTCGTCTGTGCATGCACCTCCCAACCAACCCCATCAACTTGGTGCTCATCAACTTGGTGCCCATCAACTTGGTGCTCATCAACTTGGTGCTCATCAACTTGGTGCTCATCAACTTGGTGCTCATCAACTTGGTGCTCATCAACTTGGTGCCCATCAACTTGGTGCTCATCAACTTGGCGCTCATCAACTTGGCGCTCATCAACTTGGTGCTCATCAACTTGGTGCTCATCAACTTGGTGCTCATCAACTTGGTGCTCATCAACTTGGTGCTCATCAACTTGGTGCTCATCAACTTGGTGCTCATCAACTTGGTGCTCATCAACTTGGTGCTCATCAACTTGGTGCTCATCAACTTGGTGCTCATCAACTTGGTGCTCATCAACTTGGTGCTCATCAACTTGGTGCTCATCAACTTGGTGCTCATCAACTTGGTGCTCATCAACTTGGTGCTCATCAACTTGGTGCTCATCAACTTGGTGCTCATCAACTTGGTGCTCATCAACTTGGTGCTCATCAACTTGGTGCTCATCAACTTGGTGCTCATCAACTTGGTGCTCATCAACTTGGTGCTCATCAACTTGGTGCTCATCAACTTGGTGCTCATCAACTTGGTGCTCATCAACTTGGTGCTCATCAACTTGGTGCTCATCAACTTGGTGCTCATCAACTTGGTGCTCATCAACTTGGTGCTCATCAACTTGGTGCTCATCAACTTGGTGCTCATCAACTTGGTGCTCATCAACTTGGTGCTCATCAACTTGGTGCTCATCAACTTGGTGCTCATCAACTTGGTGCTCATCAACTTGGTGCTCATCAACTTGGTGCTCATCAACTTGGTGCTCATCAACTTGGTGCTCATCAACTTGGTGCTCATCAACTTGGCGCTCATCAACTTGGCGCTCATCAACTTGGCGCTCATCAACTTGGCGCTCATCAACTTGGTGCTCATCAACTTGGTGCTCATCAACTTGGTGCTCATCAACTTGGTGCTCATCAACTTGGTGCTCATCAACTTGGTGCTCATCAACTTGGTGCTCATCAACTTGGTGCTCATCAACTTGCTGCTCATCAACTTGCTGCTCATCAACTTGCTGCTCATCAACTTGGTGCTCATCAACTTGGTGCTCATCAACTTGGTGCTGTGCTCATCAACTTGGTGCTCATCACTTGGTGCTCATCAACTTGGTGCTCATCAACTTGGTGCTCATCAACTTGGTGCTCATCAACTTGGTGCTCATCAACTTGGTGCTCATCAACTTGGTGCTCATCAACTTGGTGCTCATCAACTTGGTGCTCATCAACTTGGTTGCTCATCAACTTGGTGCTCATCAACTTGGTGCTCATCAACTTGGTGCTCATCAACTTGGTGCTCATCAACTTGGTTGCTCATCAACTTGGTGCTCATCAACTTGGTGCTCATCAACTTGGTGCTCATCAACTTGGTGCTCATCAACTTGGTGCTCATCAACTTGGTGCCTCATCAACTTGGTGCTCATCAACTTGGTGCTCATCAACTTGGTGCTCATCAACTTGGTGCTCATCAACTTGGTGCTCATCAACTTGGTGCTCATCAACTTGGTGCTCATCAACTTGGTGCTCATCAACTTGGTGCTCATCAACTTGGTGCTCATTCAACTTGGTGCTCATCAACTTGGTGCTCATCAACTTGGTGCTCATCAACTTGGTGCTCATCAACTTGGTGCTCATCAACTTGGTGCTCATCAACTTGGTGCTCATCAACTTGGTGCTCATCAACTTGGTGCTCATCAACTTGGTGCTCATCAACTTGGTGCTCATCAACTTGGTGCTCATCAACTTGGTGCTCATCAACTTGGTGCTCATCAACTTGGTGCTCATCAACTTGGTGCTCATCAACTTGGTGCTCATCAACTTGGTGCTCATCAACTTGGTGCTCATCAACTTGGTGCTCATCAACTTGGTGCTCATCAACTTGGTGCTCATCAACTTGGTGCTCATCAACTTGGTGCTCATCAACTTGGTGCTCATCAACTTGGTGCTCATCAACTTGGTGCTCATCAACTTGGTGCTCATCAACTTGGTGCTCATCAACTTGGTGCTCATCAACTTGGTGCTCATCAACTTGGTGCTCATCAACTTGGTGCTCATCAACTTGGTGCTCATCAACTTGGTGCTCATCAACTTGGTGTCATCAACTTGTTGCCTCATCAACTTGGTGCTCATCAACTTGGTGCTCATCAACTTGGTGCTCATCAACTTGGTGCTCATCAACTTGGTGCTCATCAACTTGGTGCTCATCAACTTGGTGCTCATCAACTTGGTGCTCATCAACTTGGTGCTCCAAATCGGGTTTACTTCCCCGCCTACACGTGCCCACCCTCTTACTTCACCCCACCTAATCCGATGCAGAAATCTCAGGCAGTGGAGGAAGCGGGGGGGGGGGCGGGGGCAGCGTGGGGGAGAGGCTACTGGCGGCGCTGCTGACTGAAATGGGCGGGCTTCAGTTGCCCACCGCTTTCATCTCACAATCCAGTTGGGTGCTTTATATCCGATGCGTTCCCCACCTGTCCATGTCCCCCCTTCCCACTTTAACCCCACTAGATCCGAAGCAGAAAGCTCAGGCGGAGGAGGAGGAGGGGGAGGCGGGGGCAGCGTGGGGGAGAGGCTACTGGCGGCGCTGCTGACTGAAATGGATGGGCTTCAGTCGCTCACTGCTCCCATCGCACCTCCAAGCACCACAAGCACCACACACCAAGGCAATTCAGATGCCGCTTCCGCCTCCTCCTCCTCCTCATCCTCCTCCTCTGTGCTGGTGATAGCAGCAACCAACCGCTTTCAGGCCTTGGATCCAGCAATCATCCGCCCAGGCCGCTTTGACTCGGTGAGTGCCCCCACCATACTCGGTCACTGGTCACTTGAGGTCGTTGAGAGGCAATGCAGGGAAGTCTTGGGCGTGTCAGTGCTGGTGATAGCAGCAACCAACCGCTTTCAAGCCCTGGATCCGGCCATCATCCTCCCTGGACGGTTTGATTCCGTGAGTGCCCACCCCACCATACTCAGGCACTGATCTCTCAACTACTTCCTGCCTGAGTATGGTGGTCACCACTTCTCCTTATCTTCAACTACTTGCTCCTCCCCTTCCTTCTCCATCTACCGTATGTATCACCACTGAATGAAGGATGGAGGCAACACGCACTGCACATCCAAACGGCTTTCCTGATTGCTAAGTGACTCGTTTTCCCCCTTTGATCCTCCCCATCAGATCATCTACGTGCCACCGTTGGATGAACCAGGCAGGCTGCACGCCCTGCAGATGCACACTCACCTTCCCCTTTTCCCAAATTGCTCTTTCGTCCCATACACACCCCCCCACACCTCAAACCATTCATCTCCCCATACGTGCCACCGTTGGACGAACCAGGCAGGCTGCACACCCTGCACATCCACACTCCTTCCCCTTTTCCTTCATTAGTTTCCTACAGTATCTCCCCATTCCTCCCCTTCCGTTCTCCCCATCAGATCATCTACGTGCCACCATTGGACGAAGCAGGGAGGCTACACGCTCTGCAGATCCACACATCCGCCATGCGCCTCGCTCCTGACGTCAGCCTGCCAGCTGTCGCCACCCGCACGGCGCTGTTCACCGGCGCTGACGTGGCAGCGCTGTGCAGGGAGGCTGCCTTGGCAGCGTTGAGAGGGAAGGTTCTTGGAAATGGGGAGGGAGGGAGTGAAACAACAGCAGAGGATATAGCACATGGGGAAGCAAAAGCAGTAGCAGAAGCACAAGCGCAAGCACAAGCAGCAGGAGCAGCAGTTGTTGCATCTAATACCACTCCCCCATGCGTTTCCCATGAGCATTTTGATGCTGCACTGATGGTGGTCCGGCCGTCCTTGACTGAACTGGAGGTTCGAGCATACGAGCGAGACACTTAGGGATGAGCCTTACTCATGGAGTGTAATTGGTGATAATTATGCACACCCAATGGTGTGGGTCACATTTGTAACCACTGCTGTCCTGGTATCCATTTCAGCCGTTCATTGAACACCTCAAAGGTAAATGACTGCTTTAGGTCGAGGGCTCATGTCATGTGGCTGGCTGCTGAATCGAATCAACTTCCATTCCTTATCCAAATCAGAGCCGTTCCTGCACCAACACTCGACACACACGTATATGGTATCACCTTGTGCCAGCACACACGATATGTTGTCGATCACACACAACACAACATAGTAATGACCCCACGACCGATTCTCACACACGCAGCCCGCAGTGCTGACTGTGTCGGGATCGAAGACAACTTAAAATATATCTTAGGATGGATCATCACAATCGGCAATCTCAAGTGAGGAAGCGTGCAATGACTTCATGCTGGTTCTGACAGTCACTCAGCCATCGGTTGACCCTTACTGCCGTTTCTTGCAGCACCACAGCCTGCGGTGCCATACTTCTTCCAGTGACGAGTACCACCGTAACACTAACACTTCAAAGCCTGTCTCATCATAATCACAATCAGCGATCACAAGTGAGGAACCTTGCAAAGACCTCGTGCTGGTTCTGGTTCTGGCAGTCATTCAGCCATCGGTTCACCCTGACAGACAACCGTTTCTTCTTGCAGCACCACAGCCTGCAGTGCTGACGCAGTGACGAGTAATGTTCACACTTCAAAGCCAATCATTTAGTCACAAGTGAGGAAGCGTGCAATGACCTCATGCTGGTTCTGCCGGTCACCCAGCCATCGGTTGACCCTCACAGCCGTTTCTTGCAGCACCACGGCGCGCGGGTCAAGGTCGAGAAAGGCGTGGATGAAGGAGAGGTGCAGTAGCGGCGGAGAAAGGTCGATGAGCGCGTGGATTAGAGACTCGCCTTGCTCCTCCAATACCACCTGTGCGTGGACGACGGGAAGTGGGAAATGGATGGGAACTGGTATGAGCTCAAGGGACCAGGACCATTTCTTGCAGCACCACGGCGCGCGGGTCAAGGTCAAAAAAGGCGTGGATGAAGGAGAGGTGCAGCAGTGGCGGGGATAAGTCGATGAGTGCGTGAATGAGGCTCTCTCCTTGCTCCTCCAACACCACCTGTATATCGTGGAAGAGGAGGAAACGGCGGAGGGATGTGATCACGTGATGTGACATGAGGATGAGGAAGGCATGGATGAGGGAGAGGTGCAGCAGTGGGGGAGAGAACTCGATAAGTGCGTGAATAGGAGACTCGCCTTGCTCTGAATCACACACCTGTGTGTGGAGAAAGAATGGAGGAGGGGGATATGAGGTGTGGGAAGGCGTGCGTGACTTGACGCAAGGTGCTGACACAAGGTGTTAACAAGGTGCTGAGGCGCAGAGGCAAAGTGCTGACACAAGGGGCAGATACAAGCGCAGACACGAGCAACACCAGGCCTCACCGGAGTGCCATCTCGTGCGCGGAGCTCCCTCCCATCCACCACAATGCACCCAGCTGCATCCAGCAGCACCGCATTGGGCCGCACGCACACGTGGCAGTTGTGCCAGCGCACAGGGGACCCCTGACACGTCACCACCCTCACATTGAACTCAACCGCTGCTTCCATCGCCAGCAATTCCGCCTCCACCTCCTCCTCCTCCACCTGCCCCACTCCACCGCTCACCACTCCTCCCAACCCACGCATCTCCACCCCCGCCGACCCAATCCCCTCCATTCCCTCCAGTCCCGATGGGTAACGCATCAAACCTGCTCCAAAGCCCATCGGCCCTATCGGCCCTGAGCCTAGTCCCCCCACCCCATCCCCATCCATGTCCCCATCCATCTCACCACCCATAGCACCACCCATGTCACCACCACCCATAGCACCCACCAGCCCACCATCGAGCCCCACCATACCAAAACCATCCACATAGGCCGGTACCCCTTGGTACCCCTCGGCACCCCTTAGATTCAACGAGGGACCTGAGCCCTCGCTGTGGGAAAGGGGGAGGTTGAACTGGGGGAGGTTCGCATGGTGAAGGTTGTATCGGGGCCCTTCTGAAGCAGGTTGAATCTGAGGGGAGATTCTACTGGGCCCAGCTCGCCTGCTGCTGCTTCTGCTGCTCCTGTTGCCGCTGCTGTGAATGCTGTGGCTGATGCTGTGGGTGCTGCTGTGACTGCTGCTGTGGGTGCTGCTGTGGTTGCTGCTCTGGCTGCCTATACTGCCGGCCCTTCTCATACGCCCACTATGGGGCGAATCAAACGACCTCTGCTCCCCACGGATTTGATTCGGGAGAATCTGGCCTGGTAACCATGCACCAGGATACCCCATACTGCTGCTGTTGCTACTACCATTGACATTCTCAGCACTGTAGTCCCCTTCGTTATAGTCATCTCCGCCAGGAGGAACATCAATAGTGATACCAGAGAGTGTACTCTCCCCATCCTCCAGATTCTCTGTCAGTTCCTCCAACCGATGCCGGTCCTCCCTCCCGTGCCTCCTGTACACGCCTAGCAGCCTCGGCGCCGAGCCTCTCCTGTTGCCGAGCCTAGAAACGCCCCTCTGCTCCCTCTGCCCCCTCAGTTCCCTCTGCTCCCTCTGCTCCCTTCTACCAGGGGTTACCTGTAAACCCAGGCTCCCTTCTGGTCCCGCTGCTTCGCCCTGTGACGTGTGGCGACAGAGAAGACTTTTGAGGCGCCTCAAAACTCAAAACATGGTGGCGGCAGAGAAGACTTTTGAGGCGCCTCAAAACTCAAAACATGGTGGCGACAGAGAAGACTTTTGAGGCGCCTCAAAACTCAAAACATGGTGGCGACAGAGAAGACTTTTGAGGCGCCTCAAAACTCAAAACATGGTGGCGACAGAGAAGACTTTTGAGGCGCCTCAAAACTCAAAACATGGTGGCGACAGAGAAGACTTTTGAGGCGCCTCAAAACTCAAAACATGGTGGCGACAGAGAAGACTTTTGAGGCGCCTCAAAACTCAAAACATGGTGGCGACAGAGAAGACTTTTGAGGCGCCTCAAAACTCAAAACATGGTGGCGACAGAGAAGACTTTTGAGGCGCCTCAAAACTCAAAACATGGTGGCGACAGAGAAGACTTTTGAGGCGCCTCAAAACTCAAAACATGGTGGCGACAGAGAAGACTTTTGAGGCGCCTCAAAACTCAAAACATGGTGGCGGCAGAGAAGACTTTTGAGGCGCCTCAAAACTCAAAACATGGTGGCGACAGACAGAGAAGACTTTTGAGGCGCCTCAAAACTCAAAACATGGTGGCGACAGACAGAGAAGACTTTTGAGGCGCCTCAAAACTCAAAACATGGTGGCGACAGAGAAGACTTTTGAGGCGCCTCAAAACTCAAAACATGGTGGCGACAGACAGAGAAGACTTTTGAGGCGCCTCAAAACTCAAAACATGGTGGCGACAGACAGAGAAGACTTTTGAGGCGCCTCAAAACTCAAAACATGGTGGCGACAGAGAAGACTTTTGAGGCGCCTCAAAACTCAAAACATGGTGGCGACAGAGAAGACTTTTGAGGCGCCTCAAAACTCAAAACATGGTGGCGACAGAGAAGACTTTTGAGGCGCCTCAAAACTCAAAACATGGTGGCGACAGAGAAGACTTTTGAGGCGCCTCAAAACTCAAAACATGGTGGCGACAGAGAAGACTTTTGAGGCGCCTCAAAACTCAAAACATGGTGGCGGCAGACAGAGAAGACTTTTGAGGCGCCTCAAAACTCAAAACATGGTGGCGACAGAGAAGACTTTTGAGGCGCCTCAAAACTCAAAACATGGTGGCGGCAGAGAAGACTTTTGAGGCGCCTCAAAACTCAAAACATGGTGGCGGCAGAGAAGACTTTTGAGGCGCCTCAAAACTCAAAACATGGTGGCGACAGAGAAGACTTTTGAGGCGCCTCAAAACTCAAAACATGGTGGCGACAGAGAAGACTTTTGAGGCGCCTCAAAACTCAAAACATGGTGGCGGCAGAGAAGACTTTTGAGGCGCCTCAAAACTCAAAACATGGTGGCGGCAGAGAAGACTTTTGAGGCGCCTCAAAACTCAAAACATGGTGGCGACAGAGAAGACTTTTGAGGCGCCTCAAAACTCAAAACATGGTGGCGACAGAGAAGACTTTTGAGGCGCCTCAAAACTCAAAACATGGTGGCGACAGAGAAGACTTTTGAGGCGCCTCAAAACTCAAAACATGGTGGCGACAGACAGAGAAGACTTTTGAGGCGCCTCAAAACTCAAAACATGGTGGCGACAGACAGAGAAGACTTTTGAGGCGCCTCAAAACTCAAAACATGGTGGCGACAGAGAAGACTTTTGAGGCGCCTCAAAACTCAAAACATGGTGGCGATAGAGAAGACTTTTGAGGCGCCTCAAAACTCAAAACATGGTGGCGGCAGAGAAGACTTTTGAGGCGCCTCAAAACTCAAAACATGGTGGCGGCAGAGAAGACTTTTGAGGCGCCTCAAAACTCAAAACATGGTGGCGACAGAGAAGACTTTTGAGGCGCCTCAAAACTCAAAACATGGTGGCGACAGAGAAGACTTTTGAGGCGCCTCAAAACTCAAAACATGGTGGCGGCAGAGAAGACTTTTGAGGCGCCTCAAAACTCAAAACATGGTGGCGGCAGAGAAGACTTTTGAGGCGCCTCAAAACTCAAAACATGGTGGCGACAGAGAAGACTTTTGAGGCGCCTCAAAACTCAAAACATGGTGGCGACAGAGAAGACTTTTGAGGCGCCTCAAAACTCAAAACATGGTGGCGGCAGAGAAGACTTTTGAGGCGCCTCAAAACTCAAAACATGGTGGCGGCAGAGAAGACTTTTGAGGCGCCTCAAAACTCAAAACATGGTGGCGGCAGAGAAGACTTTTGAGGCGCCTCAAAACTCAAAACATGGTGGCGGCAGAGAAGACTTTTGAGGCGCCTCAAAACTCAAAACATGGTGGCGGCAGAGAAGACTTTTGAGGCGCCTCAAAACTCAAAACATGGTGGCGACAGAGAAGACTTTTGAGGCGCCTCAAAACTCAAAACATGGTGGCGACAGAGAAGACTTTTGAGGCGCTTCAAAACTCAAAACATGGTGGCGGCAGAGAAGACTTTTGAGGCGCCTCAAAACTCAAAACATGGTGGCGGCAGAGAAGACTTTTGAGGCGCCTCAAAACTCAAAACATGGTGGCGACAGAGAAGACTTTTGAGGCGCCTCAAAACTCAAAACATGGTGGCGGCAGAGAAGACTTTTGAGGCGCCTCAAAACTCAAAACATGGTGGCGGCAGAGAAGACTTTTGAGGCGCCTCAAAACTCAAAACATGGTGGCGGCAGAGAAGGACCCCAAGAAAAAAGAAGACGCTGCGAGTTTCCGGAAAAAACAAATTGGAACGGGTGGGCCTTAGGAATCCATTGTGGGTGTCAAAAAGGGGGCGAGGGGGAGATGGCTATGGGAGGGAGGTTGAAGGACATGCTTTTCAGGCCATGAGAAGAAGGGTCCAGGAATATCGGAGTAAGAGGTGTAAAAGGGTTGAAAAGAACAAGGCGCAACCGGAAACGAATGGCCCAGTGGAAAAGACAAAACAGGGGTGTAGTGTGGTTGGTTGCACTATCTCACCTCATACACCAGCCGCTGGTCTGGAGTGAATGTGTCATTGACCTGCCATGGCATGACATGGCAGAAGGGGCTGTGTGTGGTGGTGTGCGGTGTGGTGCATTCCTCTCACCTCATACACCAGCCGTTGGTCTGGAGTGAATGTGCCATTAACCTGCCATGCCATGGCATGGCATTGGAAGGAATGATGATGGCAGAGTGGACATGTAGATTGAAACAGGGAGGCACAAGCAACAAAGAGCTGCTACATTGAGTTGAATGTAGATTACAAGGATTACAATGCCAGACTGTCACAACGAGTTGCATGTCACAATATCACACAAAACGGGGTGCAAGATGTAGTTTTGAGACGTCTCAAAACGAGTTGCATGTCACAATGTCACACAAAACGGGGTGCAAGATGTAGTTTTGAGACGTCTCAAAACGAGTTGCACGTCACAATGTCACACAAAACGGGGTGCAAGATGTGGAAACTAGCCAGTGAAGCAGGAGCATGGCATGACATCCGGACATGACAGCATAGCATAGCATGTCAGCATAGCAAGACATTGTGGCAAGACATGACAGCATAGCATAGCAAGGCATTGTGGCAAGACATGACAGCATAGCATAGCAAGGCACTGTGGCAAGACATGACAGCATAGCATAGCAAGGCACTGTGGCAAGACATGACAGCATAGCATAGCAAGGCACTGTGGCAAGACATGACAGCATAGCATAGCAAGGCACTGTGGCAAGACATGACAGCATAGCATAGCAAGGCACTGTGGCAAGACATGACAGCATAGCATAGCAAGGCACTGTGGCAAGACATGACAGCATAGCATAGCAAGGCACTGTGGCAAGACATGACAGCATAGCATAGCAAGGCACTGTGGCAAGACATGACAGCATAGCATAGCAAGGCACTGTGGCAAGACATGACAGCATAGCATAGCAAGGCACTGTGGCAAGACATGACAGCATAGCATAGCAAGGCACTGTGGCAAGACATGACAGCATAGCATAGCAAGGCACTGTGGCAAGACATGACAGCATAGCATAGCAAGGCACTGTGGCAAGACATGACAGCATAGCATAGCAAGGCACTGTGGCAAGACATGACAGCATAGCATAGCAAGGCACTGTGGCAAGACATGACAGCATAGCATAGCAAGGCACTGTGGCAAGACATGACAGCATAGCATAGCAAGGCACTGTGGCAAGACATGACAGCATAGCATAGCAAGGCACTGTGGCAAGACATGACAGCATAGCATAGCAAGGCACTGTGGCAAGACATGACAGCATAGCATAGCAAGGCACTGTGGCAAGACATGACAGCATAGCATAGCAAGGCACTGTGGCAAGACATGACAGCATAGCATAGCAAGGCACTGTGGCAAGACATGACAGCATAGCATAGCAAGGCACTGTGGCAAGACATGACAGCATAGCATAGCAAGGCACTGTGGCAAGACATGACAGCATAGCATAGCAAGGCACTGTGGCAAGACATGACAGCATAGCATAGCAAGGCACTGTGGCAAGACATGACAGCATAGCATAGCAAGGCACTGTGGCAAGACATGACAGCATAGCATAGCAAGGCACTGTGGCAAGACATGACAGCATAGCATAGCAAGGCACTGTGGCAAGACATGACAGCATAGCATAGCAAGGCACTGTGGCAAGACATGACAGCATAGCATAGCAAGGCACTGTGGCAAGACATGACAGCATAGCATAGCAAGGCACTGTGGCAAGACATGACAGCATAGCATAGCAAGGCACTGTGGCAAGACATGACAGCATAGCATAGCAAGGCACTGTGGCAAGACATGACAGCATAGCATAGCAAGGCACTGTGGCAAGACATGACAGCATAGCATAGCAAGGCACTGTGGCAAGACATGACAGCATAGCATAGCAAGGCACTGTGGCAAGACATGACAGCATAGCATAGCAAGGCACTGTGGCAAGACATGACAGCATAGCATAGCAAGGCACTGTGGCAAGACATGACAGCATAGCATAGCAAGGCACTGTGGCAAGACATGACAGCATAGCATAGCAAGGCACTGTGGCAAGACATGACAGCATAGCATAGCAAGGCACTGTGGCAAGACATGACAGCATAGCATAGCAAGGCACTGTGGCAAGACATGACAGCATAGCATAGCAAGGCACTGTGGCAAGACATGACAGCATAGCATAGCAAGGCACTGTGGCAAGACATGACAGCATAGCATAGCAAGGCACTGTGGCAAGACATGACAGCATAGCATAGCAAGGCACTGTGGCAAGACATGACAGCATAGCATAGCAAGGCACTGTGGCAAGACATGACAGCATAGCATAGCAAGGCACTGTGGCAAGACATGACAGCATAGCATAGCAAGGCACTGTGGCAAGACATGACAGCATAGCATAGCAAGGCACTGTGGCAAGACATGACAGCATAGCATAGCAAGGCACTGTGGCAAGACATGACAGCATAGCATAGCAAGGCACTGTGGCAAGACATGACAGCATAGCATAGCAAGGCACTGTGGCAAGACATGACAGCATAGCATAGCAAGGCACTGTGGCAAGACATGACAGCATAGCATAGCAAGGCACTGTGGCAAGACATGACAGCATAGCATAGCAAGGCACTGTGGCAAGACATGACAGCATAGCATAGCAAGGCACTGTGGCAAGACATGACAGCATAGCATAGCAAGGCACTGTGGCAAGACATGACAGCATAGCATAGCAAGGCACTGTGGCAAGACATGACAGCATAGCATAGCAAGGCACTGTGGCAAGACATGACAGCATAGCATAGCAAGGCACTGTGGCAAGACATGACAGCATAGCATAGCAAGGCACTGTGGCAAGACATGACAGCATAGCATAGCAAGGCACTGTGGCAAGACATGACAGCATAGCATAGCAAGGCACTGTGGCAAGACATGACAGCATAGCATAGCAAGGCACTGTGGCAAGACATGACAGCATAGCATAGCAAGGCACTGTGGCAAGACATGACAGCATAGCATAGCAAGGCACTGTGGCAAGACATGACAGCATAGCATAGCAAGGCACTGTGGCAAGACATGACAGCATAGCATAGCAAGGCACTGTGGCAAGACATGACAGCATAGCATAGCAAGGCACTGTGGCAAGACATGACAGCATAGCATAGCAAGGCACTGTGGCAAGACATGACAGCATAGCATAGCAAGGCACTGTGGCAAGACATGACAGCATAGCATAGCAAGGCACTGTGGCAAGACATGACAGCATAGCATAGCAAGGCACTGTGGCAAGACATGACAGCATAGCATAGCAAGGCACTGTGGCAAGACATGACAGCATAGCATAGCAAGGCACTGTGGCAAGACATGACAGCATAGCATAGCAAGGCACTGTGGCAAGACATGACAGCATAGCATAGCAAGGCACTGTGGCAAGACATGACAGCATAGCATAGCAAGGCACTGTGGCAAGACATGACAGCATAGCATAGCAAGGCACTGTGGCAAGACATGACAGCATAGCATAGCAAGGCACTGTGGCAAGACATGACAGCATAGCATAGCAAGGCACTGTGGCAAGACATGACAGCATAGCATAGCAAGGCACTGTGGCAAGACATGACAGCATAGCATAGCAAGGCACTGTGGCAAGACATGACAGCATAGCATAGCAAGGCACTGTGGCAAGACATGACAGCATAGCATAGCAAGGCACTGTGGCAAGACATGACAGCATAGCATAGCAAGGCACTGTGGCAAGACATGACAGCATAGCATAGCAAGGCACTGTGGCAAGACATGACAGCATAGCATAGCAAGGCACTGTGGCAAGACATGACAGCATAGCATAGCAAGGCACTGTGGCAAGACATGACAGCATAGCATAGCAAGGCACTGTGGCAAGACATGACAGCATAGCATAGCAAGGCACTGTGGCAAGACATGACAGCATAGCATAGCAAGGCACTGTGGCAAGACATGACAGCATAGCATAGCAAGGCACTGTGGCAAGACATGACAGCATAGCATAGCAAGGCACTGTGGCAAGACATGACAGCATAGCATAGCAAGGCACTGTGGCAAGACATGACAGCATAGCATAGCAAGGCACTGTGGCAAGACATGACAGCATAGCATAGCAAGGCACTGTGGCAAGACATGACAGCATAGCATAGCAAGGCACTGTGGCAAGACATGACAGCATAGCATAGCAAGGCACTGTGGCAAGACATGACAGCATAGCATAGCAAGGCACTGTGGCAAGACATGACAGCATAGCATAGCAAGGCACTGTGGCAAGACATGACAGCATAGCATAGCAAGGCACTGTGGCAAGACATGACAGCATAGCATAGCAAGGCACTGTGGCAAGACATGACAGCATAGCATAGCAAGGCACTGTGGCAAGACATGACAGCATAGCATAGCAAGGCACTGTGGCAAGACATGACAGCATAGCATAGCAAGGCACTGTGGCAAGACATGACAGCATAGCATAGCAAGGCACTGTGGCAAGACATGACAGCATAGCATAGCAAGGCACTGTGGCAAGACATGACAGCATAGCATAGCAAGGCACTGTGGCAAGACATGACAGCATAGCATAGCAAGGCACTGTGGCAAGACATGACAGCATAGCATAGCAAGGCACTGTGGCAAGACATGACAGCATAGCATAGCAAGGCACTGTGGCAAGACATGACAGCATAGCATAGCAAGGCACTGTGGCAAGACATGACAGCATAGCATAGCAAGGCACTGTGGCAAGACATGACAGCATAGCATAGCAAGGCACTGTGGCAAGACATGACAGCATAGCATAGCAAGGCACTGTGGCAAGACATGACAGCATAGCATAGCAAGGCACTGTGGCAAGACATGACAGCATAGCATAGCAAGGCACTGTGGCAAGACATGACAGCATAGCATAGCAAGGCACTGTGGCAAGACATGACAGCATAGCATAGCAAGGCACTGTGGCAAGACATGACAGCATAGCATAGCAAGGCACTGTGGCAAGACATGACAGCATAGCATAGCAAGGCACTGTGGCAAGACATGACAGCATAGCATAGCAAGGCACTGTGGCAAGACATGACAGCATAGCATAGCAAGGCACTGTGGCAAGACATGACAGCATAGCATAGCAAGGCACTGTGGCAAGACATGACAGCATAGCATAGCAAGGCACTGTGGCAAGACATGACAGCATAGCATAGCAAGGCACTGTGGCAAGACATGACAGCATAGCATAGCAAGGCACTGTGGCAAGACATGACAGCATAGCATAGCAAGGCACTGTGGCAAGACATGACAGCATAGCATAGCAAGGCACTGTGGCAAGACATGACAGCATAGCATAGCAAGGCACTGTGGCAAGACATGACAGCATAGCATAGCAAGGCACTGTGGCAAGACATAGCATAGCAAGGCACTGTGGCAAGACATGACAGCATAGCATAGCAAGGCACTGTGGCAAGACATGACAGCATAGCATAGCAAGGCACTGTGGCAAGACATGACAGCATAGCATAGCAAGGCACTGTGGCAAGACATGACAGCATAGCATAGCAAGGCACTGTGGCAAGACATGACAGCATAGCATAGCAAGGCACTGCGGCAAGACATGACAGCATAGCATAGCAAGGCACTGTGGCAAGACATGACAGCATAGCATAGCAAGGCACTGTGGCAAGACATGACAGCATAGCATAGCAAGGCACTGTGGCAAGACATGACAGCATAGCATAGCAAGGCACTGTGGCAAGACATGACAGCATAGCATAGCAAGGCACTGTGGCAAGACATGACAGCATAGCATAGCAAGGCACTGTGGCAAGACATGACAGCATAGCATAGCAAGGCCATAGTGCAGGATGCTGCTGTTGGGACCCGTGCCGCATATGCATGTGTACCCGGCTAAGCGGCATCCCCCAGCCACGGCCGCATGGTGCAGGAAATCCGCCTCCATCTCATACTCCATCATGCCTGGTCGCACTCTCCTCATGACCTGAAACAGCAGCGTGCAGTGGAAGAAATAACAATAACACATAAACCATGTTCACTTGCATGGTGCAGGAAATCCGCCTCCATCTCATACTCCATCATCCCTGGTCGCACTCTCCTCATGACCTGAAACAGCAGCGTGCAGTGGAAGAAATAACAATAACACATAAACCATGTTCACTTGCATGGTGCAGGAAATCCGCCTCCATCTCATACTCCATCATCCCTGGTCGCACTCTCCTCATGACCTGAAACAGCAGCGTGCAGTGGAAGAAATAACAATAACACATAAACCATGTTCACTTGCATGGTGCAGGAAATCCGCCTCCATCTCATACTCCATCATGCCTGGTCGCACTCTCCTCATGACCTGAAACAGCAGCGTGCAGTGGAAGAAATAACAATAACACATAAACCATGTTCACTTGCATGGTGCAGGAAATCCGCCTCCATCTCATACTCCATCATCCCTGGTCGCACTCTCCTCATGACCTGAAACAGCAGCGTGCAGTGGAAGAAATAACAATAACACATAAACCATGTTCACTTGCATGGTGCAGGAAATCCGCCTCCATCTCATACTCCATCATCCCTGGTCGCACTCTCCTCATGACCTGAAACAGCAGCGTGCAGAGGAAGAAATAACAATAACACATAAACCATGTTCACTTGCATGGTGCAGGAAATCCGCCTCCATCTCATACTCCATCATCCCTGCCCGCACTCTTCGCATGACCTGAAAGAGCAACCAGGGTGAAATAAAACAGGGCGTTCATGTTCACTTGAGTGGTGGAGAGAATCCGCCTCCATCTAATTCTCCATCATCCCTGCCCGCACTCTTCGCATCAGCTGAAGGGGCAGTGTGCAGTGAAAAGTTTTGTCCATAGTAAAAAGGATAGAGTTCACTTGCATGGTGCAGGAAATGCGCCTCCATTTCATACTCCATCATCCCCGGCTTGACTCGCCGCATCACCTGAAAGAGCAGCCAGGGTGAAATGAAACTGGGCTTTCGTGCTGACTTGCTTGGTGCAGGAATCCGCCTCCACCTCATATTCCATCTTCCGTCATCATCATCATGCCTTTTGAGTCGACTCAAAACTCAAGAGTCGACTCAAAACTCAAGAGTCGACTCAAAACTCAAGAGTCGACTCAAAAGACCTCATATTCCATCTTCCGTCATCATCATCATGCCTGGCCGCGATTTCTGCATGACCTGAAAGAGCAGGTGCGATCAGACGGGTCTTAGATGCTCACATGAACTTACAAGGCACTCGTTTACTGTCACGTTCCAGAAATTGAACCACTCTGCACCGCATGATGCATGACCCATCTCCATCCAATATTCCTTCATGCAGGAATGCACCCGCTTGCTGCATCATCTAAATTGGAATGGATAGATTACTGAATCTTGAAGACGCACCAGCAGCAGAGCATATTGCAATCACACTAATAATCCCCCTCCTCTCCTTTCCCCCAGCCACCCATTTCAATCCCTCTTAACCCACCTCCACATAAACATCGAACAACACAGCATCACAGAGATCTCCCTGTGGCTGTAACCACCTATATCCCCCGACCCACTCCCCCTTCCACTCACCTCCACATGAGCATCTGACGACACAGCAGCAGCATAGCGCATCACTTGAATCTCCTCCTCAGACTTTATCACGCGACACTCGCTCAGCTCTGGGTGCAGCACGGCCAGGTCTTGGGGAAAGGCGTCTATGCCCTGGTGGGTGGGGACAGGGCACACGCATGGGAGGAGAGAAGATGGAGAATCATTGGAGCAGCATGGCGCATCACGTGAATCTCCTCCTGAGACTTGATCACCCGACACTCGCTCAGCTCCGGGTGCAGCAATGTCAGGTCCTGGGGGAACTCGTCTATACCCTGGTGGGTACAGGGCACACGCGTGTAAGGAATGTATATCCAAACGGGATGTATGAGCAGAGGAATCACCCTGAGATTTGACCACCTGACACTCGCTCAGCTCCGGGTGCAACAATGTCAGGTCCTGGGGAAAGGAGTCTATGCCCTGGTGGGTACACACACGTGAGAGGAGAGGAGAGGAGAGGAGAGGAGAGGAGAGGAGAGGAGAGGAGAGGAGAGGAGGGGAGGGGAGAGGAGAGGAGAATCATTGGAGCAGCATAGCACATCACTCGAATCTCCTCCTGCGATCTGATCACTGGGCACTCGCTCAGCTCCTGGTGTAACACGGCCAGATCCTGGGGAAACGCGTCTATGCCCTGGTGGGTGAGCACAGGGCACATGCATGGGAGGAGAGAAGATGGAGAATCATTGGAGCAGCATGGCGCATCACGTGAATCTCCTCCTGAGACTTGATCACCCGACGATCTGATCACTGGGCACTCGCTCAGCTCCTGGTGTAACACGGCCAGATCCTGGGGAAACGCGTATATGCCCTGGTGGGTGGGCACAGGGCACACGCATGGGAGGAGAGGAGGAGAGAGGAAATCGTTGACAAAGAAAAGCGCATCACTCGGATCTCCTCTTGGGATTTGATCACACGGCATTCGCTCAGCTCCGGGTGTAACACCTTCAGGTCCTGGGGAAACGCGTATATGCGGGAGACAAAGAAGGGAATGCTGTGGAGAAACGGGGAGGTTGCAGGGAGGTGGCATAAGGAAGGATGACAGGGGACCCTTCTTGGGTTTGGTTTGATCGCATAGCATTGGCTCAGCTCAGGGTTCTAACAGGAATCGATCCTGGGAGAAGGGATATATGTACCGATACGGCCGCCTTGTGTGCCAGCTCAAATCGAAGCATGCACCCTCAAAGTCTGTGAGCAACGCACGTTGTAGTGGGCTGGCTTGCAGGAGTTGCCACTGTCTGTGTTGACTGGCAGAGCAGGTGTCTAGAAAACACTTCAGCATAGATTTGCAAGAGGAATGCAAAATCCGCGCCCTGCAAAAACAAAGAGATTTGCAACACAACTCACATCAAAGTGGGCTGGCTTGCAGGAGTTGCCGCTGTCTGTGTTGATCCCCGTCAGGAGGTAGAGAGTTGGCAGGCTGCCTCCACTCCCTGCTGCTGCTGCTGCTTTCAGCACTGCTGCCATGTCCTCGATATAGTGCACCTCGTCCACTCCATACTTGTCCTGCTCAACATACATACAGCAGGAGGCACAGATGGAATGAGAGATTGAACTCAACCTGCCACAACACAATAAAGCACACACTGACAACTCACTGTGCAGAGCAGACCAACAGCACATCTGACAAGAGAAGCAGCCAAAGGCAAAGCAGCAACCGATGCTAAACCGAGTCTCCCGACGAGCAGAGAATCACAACAATGACCCATTCACAGTTGGCCAGAGGTTGGCAGACATACCTTGATCTGCTGCGGTGTGTGCAGTGCAGAGGACCCATCCACACGGCGTAGGAGTCAACTTCTGAGGCGCCTCAACAGTCGATGGTAGACCGAGGCCCTTGAAGGGCACACAAGAAACAGCATGCACACCTCGCTCAATGTGGCAGACATACCTTGGTCTGCTGCGGTGTGTGAGTAGGAGTAAGAGGGCCCATCCACACAGCGTAGGAGTCCGGCAAGTGAGGCATGGAGACTTTTGAGGTGCCCCAACAGTGGCCTTGAGGAGAAATACCTTGATCTGCTGCAGTGTGTGCAGTGCAGAGGACCCATCCACACGGCATAGGAGTCAACTTCTGAGGCGCCTCAACAGTCGATGGTAGACCGAGGCCCTTGAAGGGCACACAAGAAACAGCATGCACACCTCGCTCAATGTGGCAGACATACCTTGGTCTGCTGCGGTGTGTGAGTAGGAGTAAGAGGGCCCATCCACACAGCGTAGGAGTCCGGCAAGTGAGGCATGGAGACTTTTGAGGTGCCCCAACAGTGGCCTTGAGGAGAAATACCTTGATCTGCTGCAGTGTGTGCAGTGCAGAGGACCCATCCACACGGCATAGGAGTCAACTTCTGAGGCGCCTCAGCAGTCGATGGTAGACCGAGGCCCTTGAAGGGCACACAAGAAACAACATGCATACCTCGCTCGCTCAATGTGGCAGACATACCTTGGTCTGCTGCGGTGTGTGCAGAGGACCCATCCACACAGCATAGGAGTCTGGCAAGTGAGGCATGGTGACTTTTGAGGTGCCCCAGTAGTGGCCTTGAGGAGACATACCTTGATCTGCTGGTGGGTGTGCAGAGGACCCATCCACACAGCATAGGAGTCTGGCAAGTGAGGCATGGTGACTTTTGAGGTGCCCCAGTAGTGGCCTTGAGGAGACATACCTTGATCTGCTGGTGGGTGTGCAGAGGACCCATCCACACAGCATAGGAGTCCGGGAGGTGCGGCATGAAGAGGAATGACCGTGCTGGCTGCACTGACACGTCCTGCAGTGTTGGGGGGGTTGCGGCCGAATCGGATAAATGGGGAGAATTGGGAGAGTTGTATGGCAGGGCGGGGGCGACAAGCATTGGCACGTGCATCTAGACAGCATAGGAGTCCGGGAGGTGCGGCATGAAGAGGAATGACCGTGCTGGCTGCACGGACACGTCCTGCAGAAAGGGAGCGGTGAGAGGGAGGAGGGGGGGAAGATGTCATTTGAGTTGAGACGACTCAACAGCTGGTTGCACTGGCATGTGTGCTGCAGAAAGGACACGGTGAGCGTGGACAGGGCAGAGTGCGTCAATGCAAGTCAAGTCAAGGTACGTGCTTACCCCTATGAACCAACCCAGCTACTATGCCCACCGACACGACACGCACCACAGCGCCATAGACAGAAGTTAGGCTCAATAACCCAGAAGAGCCACCTCAAATATAGCCTGATAGTTCTTCAGACACGTAAAAAATCGGCTAGTATGCCTACATATCCATACATACCACAGCACCATAGAATCCCGGTTCGATGACCCCAAAGAGATACGAGAAGTAGCTCTCCTGCCTGTGACATGTGATGCCATGCCATACCGTGCCATGTCGTCATACCATGGCCATCCATACCGTGCCATGTCGTCATACCATGGCCATCCATACCGTGCCATGTCGTCATACCATGGCCATCCATACCGTGCCATGTCGTCATACCATGGCCATCCATGCCATGCCATGTCGTCATACTGTGCCATGCACCATGTCAGATCGACCACACATCGGATCGGACATGAGTTGCAACAGGAGATGCGCGGAGGATACGGAAAAGAGACATGGCACCATGGAGACAGGAGACAACAAGGTACTGATACTGAGAACAAATACCTGCTCCAGACCAGACAGAACAAGCCAGTAACCACGTCCTGCAATAGTTTGAGAGTTATATTTACCTCCTCGTGTCACCTCGCCTCACCTGCACCGACCAAACGCTCCTAGCCTCACCTGAAGAGTTCCTCGTGGTCGGTGCAGTGGCGCAACTGGGGCTCCCCACCCTGCTTGCATGCAGAGGAAGAAGGGATGGACAGAAAAGTGTGATGCGGATGGAAAATCATGCAAGAAGAGGGGCCATGATGTACGTTTTACCTGAGGGGTACGGAATGGTTTGCAGGGTCATAGTTCATCACCGAATTCCAGCGTGTGCAATCACTGGGAAATAATGAAGATAAGCTCCTATTCTTCAAGGCTCTTCCCACCTGCAGGAGCACGATGGCATGCTCTTCCCGGCCTTCCAGCTTGGCTCGCATCCGCTCTGCGAGCTTCTGGCGATTTTCGTTGAACATGGTAACGGGAACTTTGAGGGTCTTCTTTCCGCGCCAGAGGAGTCCCTCGGACCACGAATCCGTGAGTGAGGTGCTGGTTGCTTCTTTCGCCTTGTGCTCTCCGTTTGCGGCCATGATGACGAAATTCGCAAGAAAGGGATGCGGGAAATGTGAAACAAGGGATTAGCTGGGTGGACTTCAGGCTGCTGCAGCACAGGTTTCAGGAAGATATAATGACAATGAAGGAATTGTGGGGGGGGATGTCCTGGCATGGAGGAATCCTGTATGGAATGTGTACGCATTATGGGTGTCTTGCTGCATGTACAACCACTCATAGTCAGATACATATTTTCTTTCAATTTCATAAGCTTCTGAGACAGGTGGCACTGTACTTGCTTACTTCGATGTTGGAATTGCAATCCACGTCATTGCCGTCAGTAGTGTCGTTGCACGGCACGTGGAAAAGCATATTCGACATACCAGGAACACCAGATTCGCGCATCAGTTACCAGATTCTACCTGTTTTTGCACCACAATGTGGGCGACCAATAAGAATACAAGGTGACAGGACTTGGACCCTCCAGCTGGCATATCCACATCAGCCTCATCTTTTCTCCAAATGACATCACAAATTCCCCTCAACATCGCCCCTCACATCAGCAAGAAGCTCTCTTCAGAGGAGTCAATTAGCTTCCTCACACACGTAAATTTGGCATTCCGCATCGTCACGCCTTAGGCTGCAGGTGACAAGCTACCGGCATTATCTCCGTCGCTTTCGGTCGCCTCGAGCATCGCGTTTCCTAAGTTCCTGCTGCGAAACGTGTTGAACTGAACCGAGCAGCCATGGCGTGTATCGCTCCAGCAGTTGCGTCGATGCACGCAGCAACGAGCGCGAGACTGCAGAGTCCGCTCGCCTCGGCCTCCTCAGCTTCTTCCTCCAAGGCCAGCTTGAAATGCGCCGCTTCCAGCTCACGCGTTCTCCCATCCATCACCCCTTCGCCGCTCTCTCAACTCGTTGTCAGTCAAATCAAGAGCTCTGTGCCCCGGAAATTCCGGCGATCCGCCTCTGTGTATGCCACGTCAACGACCGAACCTTCCACGCAGGCTCCTGAGAGCAGCAGCGAGAGCAGTGGTGGGCCGTCGAAGGGACGCGTGATGGTGATTGGTGGTGACGGATACTGCGGCTGGGCGACGGCGCTGCACCTATCAGAGCAAGGCTATGACGTGTCCATCGTGGACAATCTCAGCCGTCGATTGTTCGATGAGCAGCTCGGATCGCAGACCCTCACGCCGATGGCATCCATCCACGATCGCGTGCGACGCTGGCGAGAGATCACGGGGAAAACGATCGCACTGTACATCGGCGATGTGTGCGACTTCGAATTCCTCGCAGACGCGTTCCAGACGTTCGAGCCGACGGCCGTGGTGCACTTCGGTGAGCAGCGGTCGGCGCCATACTCCATGATCGATCGCAACCGCGCGGTTTTCACGCAGCATAACAACGTGATCGGTACTATCAATGTCATGTTTGCGATCAAGGAATTCGCTCCTGAGTGCCATCTGGTGAAGCTGGGAACCATGGGCGAGTACGGTACGCCGAACATTGACATTGAGGAGGGCTTCATTACAATCACGCACAACGGCAGGACGGACACGCTGCCGTACCCGAAACAAGCCAGCTCCTTCTATCACCTCAGCAAGGTACGCTCTTAATATGTTTGTAGTGTCCGTCTGACATGTCAGCTTAACATTCTTCATGCGGGTGAACGGGTTCTGCTCGAATCTATGCTCTATTATTGATTTCGTAAGACGATCTGCCAATTGCACGCTCGGATTTGTTATGTTTCCGTGTTACCACAGGTGCACGATTCGCACAACATCGCGTTCGCGTGCAAGGCGTGGAACATGCGCGCGACGGACCTGAACCAGGGCGTGGTGTACGGCGTGGCGACGCCCGAGACGGAGAAAGATGTCATGCTCATCAACCGGCTCGACTACGACGGCGTCTTCGGCACCGCTCTCAACCGATTCGTAGTCCAGGCGGCCGTGGGGCACCCGCTGACTATCTACGGCAAGGGCGGACAGGTGAGGAAGTGTGGGTAAAGGCGAGGGGAAAGATTGGGATGGAAAGACGCGTTGGGGAGTGGAAAGGTGGGCAGACGATGCGAGAGGAAGGGCGAGTAGAATGTGGCCGTTCCTCTCGCATCAGGTCACATGCGAGAGGAAGGACGAGCGGAAAGAAGGACCGCGTGGATAAAGCATCGGAAGTGAGGAATTGTGGAGGTCAGGTTCGATCTTTGGCGGGTTGGTGGATGGCTGTGGATGAGGATGGGTTCTCTGGAGTAGAGGGCGGATGTGTGACTGTGATGGCGAACCAGACGGTGATAGAGGTCAAACTGGAACCGTCAGACTGGGGGCAAACCATTTGACTGACAGAATGTAGGCTAGGCGAGCTGCCTGTCTGAGTTGACTCAGAGCTCGTCAGGAAGCGTGCGGTGCGGATGACAGACCATGAGTGAGTCAGCTCCACTGACAGACCATGAGTGAGTCAGCTCCACTGACAGACTGTAGGCTGGCGAGCTTCGTTGATGGTCCCATGTGTGTACTCTTCAACGTATCGAGTAGCTCGATCCCATGTGTGAAACACAACGGCCCCACCTTCGTATCGAGTAGCTCCAGCGATGGATGGAACGATTTTTGGGCACCCCAGACAACTCGTCGAGCCACAACAGCCCCACGCTCTGGCGAGGGGACGAATTTTTAGGCGCCAAATAATATATCGAGCCACAACGGCCTCACGCTTCTAGCACTTGACTCTATTGTCGCGCTGGGACCAATAGTGATGGGATCAGGAGGCTGACGGGAGCAGCGCTGTGAACACAAACTGAGGGTGTTCAACCAATGAGTTGTGTGTACAGATAGACCGAGTTGAGGGCGTGTGGTGTGGTGGATACACAATCACTTGCGCGTGTGCAACCACTGACTCCCTCTCCATATGCCTCTTACTCCACCTTTCCACAACACCGCTCCCCCACCTCCCCGCCTCCTCCCCCTACCCCCCACCCGCCCCTCCCATCTTGGCGAGTTTCAAGTGTTCAACCAGCTCTCTTGCTCTTATTCCAAGTGTCCAACAAAACCTATCCCCCTCTTTCGACCTCATCCCCTTCCCCGTTCCCGATTACCCTTGTCCCCACAGACCCGCGGGTATCTGGCATCCGCGGCATGCGTAGAGATGGCAATCGCCAACCCTGCCAAGCTGGGCGAGTTCCGCATGTTCAATCGCCGCATCTCTCTCCCCTCCCATCCCTCCCACCCCTCCCCCTTGTCCCCCACAGACGCGCGGGTATCTCGACATTCGAGACACAGTGCTGTGCCTGAAGCTCGTGATTGTCAACCCCCCCAAGCTGGGCGAGTTCCGTGTGTTCAACCATCACCTCTCTCCGCTTCCTCCCTTCCCCCTTGCCCTCACAGACCCGTGGGTACCTGGACATCCGTGACACCGTACGATGTGTCGAGCTGGCAATCTCCAACCCTGCCAAGCTGGGCGAGTTCCGTGTGTTCAACCAGTTCACAGAGCAGTTCTCAGTGAGGGACCTGGCACAGCTAGTGACAGCAGCGGGGGCGAAGATGGGCATTGAAGTCAAGGCCATCAACGTGCCCAACCCCCGCGTGGAGGTACGTGACTTGTGCTGTGCCGTTCTGTGCTGTTTGGCTAGACTTGAAAGGGTGCAATCAGTTCACGGAGCAGTTCTCTGTGCGGGACCTGGCGCGGCTGGTGACGGCTGCAGGGGAGAAGATGGGCATTGAAGTGAAGGCTATCAACGTGCCCAACCCGCGTGTAGAGGTGCGTGACCTGTTCTGTGCTGTGCTGTTTGGCTTGACTTGAAAAGGTGCAACCAGTTCACAGAGCAGTTTTCAGTGAGGGACTTGGCTCAGCTGGTGACAGCTGCAGGGGAGAAGATGTGCATTGAAGTAAAATCCATCAACGTGCCCAACCCACGCGTGGAGGCACATGCGCTGTGCTGCTTTCATTTCACCCTGCTCTCTCCACATTTGCTGCCTGCCCCATTCCCTCAGCACGAAGCAAACGCACACACCCACCTCCCTCCCTGTTCACCCCTCCCCGTGTCTACCCGTTCTAACACACTCATACCCCTACTGACCTCTGCCCCACCAAAGCCTGCCCTCACTCCCACATTCACTTCGCCACCAGACGGAGGAGCACGCTACAACTATGCCAAGCGCACCAAGCTGCTGGACTCGCTGCTCAACTTTCAACTTCTATCCCTTTCTACCCTTTCCTTTCCTGTTCGTTCCCCACATTTAACCAGGCGGAGGAGCACTACTACAACGCCAGGCGGAGGAGCACTACTACAATGCCAAGCGCACCAAGCTGCTGGAGCTGGGGCTGCAGCCTCACTTCCTCTCTGACGCTCTGCTCAACCTCCAACCACGTGCATCCCTCTCTACCCCTTAACATCCCGTTTTATCCCACTCAATCCCGTCCTTCTCATCCCGCCAGGCGGAGGAGCACTACTACAATGCCAGGCGGAGGAGCACTATTACAACGCCAAGCGCACCGAGCTGCTCGAGCTGGGGCTGCAGCCGCACTTCCTCTCTGACGCTCTGCTCGACTCGTTGGTCAACTTGCTAACCTACGCATCCCTTTTTACCGCTTTGTACCCTGTTGTTTCCAACCCACACCCCACCAGGCGGAGGAACACTATTACAACGCCAAGCGCACCAAGCTGCTGGAGCTGGGCCTGCAGCCGCACTTCCTGGGGGACGCTCTTCTCGACTTGCTGCTCAACTTCCCCATGCATCCCTTTCTACCGCTTTGTACCCCTTCCTACCCCATACTCACCAGGCGGAGGAGCACTACTACAACGCCAAGCGCACCAAGCTGCTGGAGCTGGGCCTGCAGCCGCACTTCCTGGGGGACGCTCTGCTCGACTCGCTGCTCAACTTCCCCATGCATCCCTTTCTACCGCTTTGTACCCCTTCCTACCCCATACTCACCAGGCGGAGGAGCACTACTACAACGCCAAGCGCACCAAGCTGCTGGAGCTGGGCCTGCAGCCGCACTTCCTGGGAGACGCTCTGCTCGACTCGCTGCTCAACTTTGCCGTCATCTACAAGGATCGCGTCGACGCCAATCAGATCATGCCAGCTGTCTCGTGGAAGAAGATCGGTGTCAAGCCCAAGTCGTCAGTCACTACCACACCTGCGCAGTAGCAGTGGGGGTTGTGCTGGGGAGTGTAGGGTTGAAGAGGCGAGATGTGGGAATAGAGATACGGTTTACTTGCAGATCTGAAGGCATTCAGGACTCCAGGATCCAAACCTGAGTTGTGATTACCGCTACAGCAGGATGAGACACTGAACATCACATGCAGCTGAGCAGACGTTTCCTTCCTTGCGCTGCAATAAGTGCTGGATAGGTTCTTGGTGTGTTGCAACAACAAATCACATTTCACATATGATATCTTCAAAGATTAGCTGTAAGCCTATCCAGCGTTACAACAGCCTGTCAGAGAACAGGGTGCCTGAGGGTTAGAACAAAACAAAATACCCAAAAACACCAGTTACAACTTACAACAGTAAAGAATTTTCGCATCACATAACTGCTCATTTTGTGAGGCAAGTTAGCAGCATCAACTAACCAGCTAGCACGCCTCTTCAATGTTGGCAATCCTCTACCAGTCCTTATAAAGTGGACCCTAGCATGTAACCCTGCCCATATCCTCTAATTACTCAACACAACACACAGCCCGTCAAAGCAATTCAAACCGCCATCTCAGTGACCTACCATTTTTTGTTATCTCACAGCCTCTCATGCCGCCTCTCTTTCCCCTTCGTGCAGTATTTTCCCTCTCAAGAACTTGCTCCAGGAATACATCTATCCCGTCCCCCTCTCTTTTCCCCCTCCCCTGTCCCCACACCCACACTAAAGCCCGTTGCATCTGTCTGACGCGAAGGACAAGCAGCTTATGAGTCGACTCACAAGTCATCACTCATCCTGTATCCCATCCAACCTGACCTGATTCGTCTACCACCCCCCTCTCCCCACCACCCCCCTCTCCCCCTCTCCCCCCTTTCCCCGCCATAGAACAGGGTGCCCTTTGCGTGTGGCGCCAGGGAACAACCTGAATTAAGTTCACAAGAGAACTATCACTCGCCCCCATCCCCCAGTCTCTCCCTCCCTCCCCGTCATTGCACAGGCTGCCCGTTGCGTCTGCCGCTAGGGAACAGCTGCAGCAACCAGGAGAGCACCTCCTCGGCCACCTGAGAGGGAGGGGGGATGGGCAGGGAGGAAGGGAAGAGTATGAAGGGAAACAAAGGTGTGAATGGGGTAGATCCGCAGCAGCCAGGAAAGCACCTCCTCGGCCACCTGAGAGGGAGGGGGAATGGGCAGGGAGGAAGGGAAGAGTATGAAGGGAAACAAAGGTGTGAATGGGGTAGATCCGCAGCAGCCAGGAAAGCACCTCCTCGGCCACCTGAGAGGGAGGGGGAATGGGCAGGGAGGAAGGGAAGAGTATGGTACGAGGGGAAGCATATGATTGAAAGGGGGGAGATTATCTCCTTAGCAGCCAATAAAGCACCCACCTCCTCAACCACTGAAGAACAAGAGATCATACCGTACATGGATGACCATGCTAAACCACATCAGGAGGAGCACAAAACACACGGGGTATGTCAAGCACTGGAGAGGCATTAGAAACAAGGTGACTTTTGAGTCGACTCAAAAGTCACATCAGGAGGAGCACAAAACACACGGGGTATGTCAAGCACTGGAGATGCATTAGAAACAAGCACATCCATTGAGTCAAACACGAGACATCGGACATCACCAACTGAAACACTCGACTAACCGCAGACTAGAAAAGTTCAGAAATCTAGTGTTTCAGTTAGATTTTTCTAACCCACTAACTGAAGAACCCATTCCATTTCAGTTAGTGGGTTCAGAAATCTAAGCCCACTTAGTTGGAAGAACCCACGCCCACCCATTCCATTCCTAACCCCCCAAGGATACCCCAACAATACGCATGCTCACCACACACACGCACGCACTCACCTCATCGCCTTCATCCAAGTAATCATTGAATTCTGTGTATCCGGACGCGCCAGGCGTGCGTGGGGATCCCACCCCCCCTCCTGCTCGAGGCGACCCCACTCCCCCTGCCCCTGCCCCTCCCCCTCCGCCTTCACTTAACCTTCCCGCCCCTGCCAGCAGCGCAGTGGCTGCTGCAGCAGCGGCCGGCGACACTTGTCCGTTTGCCTGGCTCAACAGAGGCGCAGAGAGTGACTTGGCAGTTGGGGAGAGGAAGGCAGGAGGGATGCTGGAAGAGGGGAGGAGAGGAGGACCGGCACCCGTGCCAGTGCGTGGTAATCCCACCCCCCCTCCCGCTCCCGTGCCAGCCACCTCCGCAGCAGCAGCAGCAGCAGCAGCAGCAGCAGCAGCAGCAGCAACAGCAACAGCAGCAGTGGCGACACCATCACCAGTAGCAGCACCGGCAGCAGAATCAGTGGGTAAAGAGGAAGCAGTAGCAGCATGTGAGGGTGCAATCGCAGCAGAAGAAGCAGCAGCAGAGAAATTGGAGGAGGAGGCACGGGGCATGCGGGCGTTGAAAGCACCCGAGGCGGAGCGGGAGGCGGAGGAAGCAGCAGCCATGACGGTTTGGGCCACGAGCAGCTCCATGTGCTGCGTTTGACTCGCCAGCTTGTGTGATAGCTCCTCGTTTGATGCCTGTTGTGACAATAAAGGGCGTGGTAGTAAAGTGTGCGAGTAAAAGGGTTGTTATAGAGGGAGGCGGAGGAAGCAGCAGCCATGACGGTTTGGGCCACGAGCAGCTCCATGTGCTGCGTCTGGCTCGCCAGCTTGTGAGACAGCTCCTCGTTTGATGCCTGTGACAGGGTGTGAAAGTACAGAGTGTGAAAGTAACAGGTATGTTGGGGCATGATTGAAGGGAGCAGGGAGTGTGAGCGAGTGAGGTTTGAGCCACTAGCAGCTCCATGTGCTGCGTCTGGCTCGCCAGCTTGTGAGATAGCTCCTCGTTTGCTGCCTGTTGTGACAATAGAGGGTGTGGCAGTAAAGGGTGTGAGGGGGTGTGAGTGGGTGCAGCGAGGTTTGAGTAGCAGCAGCTCCATGTGGTGCGTCTGACTCGCCAGCTTGTGTGATAGCTCCTCGTTTGATGCCTGTTGTGACAATAGAGGGCGTGGTAGTAAAGTGTGCGAGTAAAAGGGTTGTTATAGAGGGAGGCGGAGGAAGCAGCAGCCATGACGGTTTGGGCCACGAGCAGCTCCATGTGCTGCGTCTGGCTCGCCAGCTTGTGAGACAGCTCCTCGTTTGATGCCTGTGACAGGGTGTGAAAGTACAGAGTGTGAAAGTAACAGGTATGTTGGGGCATGATTGAAGGGAGCAGGGAGTGTGAGCGAGTGAGGTTTGAGCCACTAGCAGCTCCATGTGCTGCGTCTGGCTCGCCAGCTTGTGAGATAGCTCCTCGTTTGCTGCCTGTTGTGACAATAGAGGGTGTGGCAGTAAAGGGTGTGAGGGGGTGTGAGTGGGTGCAGCGAGGTTTGAGCCAGCAGCAGCTCCATGTGCTGCGTCTGGCTTGCTAGCTTGTGAGATAACTCCTCGTTTTCTGCCTGTGTTAGTCAAGGGTGTGATACGGTGTGAGTGGGTGGGATAAGGTTTGATAGAAGGGAGGGGGGATACAGCACGAGCCACCAGCAGTTCCATGTGCTGCGTCTGGCACGCCAGCTTGTGAGATAACTCCTCGTTTGCCGCCTGTTGTGACAATATAGCGCGTTATAGTAGAAGGTGTGACAGTAAAGGGTGTGACAACCTGTCACCGACTCACTGGCAAGTAGTGGGGAAGGACAAGGGAGGAGATGCTGGAGCAGTCATGACAAGTGGTTGTTGTAAGTTGACTCAAGCTTAGAAGCTGGCATGTGGCACATGGTATGTGGCAACTGGCAGCTGGCTTTAGGGCATGGCATGAGATGGCATAGGATGGGATGGCAATGCATGGCATGGGATGGGATGGGATGGGTTAGCATGGCATGGCAAGGCATGGCATGTCTCGCAACTCACCCGCAGCTCTGCTGACGTGGCAGCCTCCTCCTTGAGTGTGCGTGCCATACGCTCCTTCTCTGCTTGCATCTGATTGGTGGATGGAAATGCAGGGAGCGTGGGGTCGGTGAGGGTAAAAGGAAGCAACAAGGAAGCTGCATGCAGGAGGATAGGACTATAATTTCGTGAGATGACATGGGAAACACTGAATAACGTCTTTCTTGCACACTGGTGCGGAATTAGGAGCAAACTGGGTGTTCAGTCAAAAGACAGCTTAAATCAATCCCTCCTTCACCTTCTTCCTCCTCCCAAACTCCCCAACCATATTTCACCCTCTCATCTCCATTACCCCTCTCTCTCATCCCCACCACCCCTCTCCCCCGCTCACCTCTGCCAGCAGCACATTAATGCTCTCCACACTCCTCTGCTCTTCCTCTGATAGCACATCCACCGATCCGGGCAGCAGAGCGGGCAGCAGCAAAAACTCATCCACCACTCCTCCCTCCTCCTCCACTTCCTCCTCCTCTTGATTGTCCCCTTCTCCTGCCTTCCTATCCCTGCCTCCTCTTCCTCTCCTCCCACCACCACCTGCAGCAGTAGCAGCCACAGCAGTGGCACCTTCCTCTGCCGCCCCTACCGCAGCAGTAATCATTCTCACCAACTGCTCACCTACTTCCTCCAAATTATGCCGCCCGTCACCTTCCATTCGCGTGAACAGTGCCCGAACCTCTGCCACTGCTCTCCTTCCAGCTTCCCCTAACGCCTCCCCCTCTTCCTCTCTCCTCCTCCCCTGTTCTCCTGCCTCCCCAGCCTCCACTATAGGTCCGGCCGAGCCTCCATCTTCCCTTGCTACCCCTGCTGAGCCTCCAGAGGCTGGTTCGGTGCTTGAGCCAGCTGCGGCTGCCTCGGCAGCAACAGATGCCGAGCCTGACACTCCTGCCTCGGCAGACGGTCCTGCCTGACTCAGGAAGGCCACCTCCAGCTCATCTGTTGACGTCGATTGGCTCACGGACGGTACAGCTGGCGCTGCTGCTGACGTGGACGTGCTGTCGCCCCGCCACATGTCGCCGAGTGCGCCGCCCACTGTCGCCCTCCTCAACTGCACCTTGAGCTGGCGCTTCTCTGAGGAGCCACGTGGAGGATCATTGGAAGGAGGGGGGGGGGGGGGGGGGGGGGGGGGGGAGGGGGGGAGAGGGGTGGGGGGGAAAGATTGCCATATGATGAGGAAATGTGTCCATAGTTATGGGCAATGTTCTGCACCTCTGAGTCCTGATCACGACCATCCCACTGTTGCCCTCCTCAACTGCACCTTGAGCTGGCGCTTCTCTGTGGAGAGCTGTAGAGGATGTGATGACATGTCATTCGGTGTGATATGGCATTGATTTATAGATACTCTACACGTTTCAAGCAACACAACACACCACACCACACCACGCCACACCACACCAAGCCACACCACCCCACCCCATGCCATGCCACACCACACCACGCCACGCCACGCCACACCGCACCACACCCCACTACACCACACCACAACCCACCCACCTTCATTGAGCTTATCCACAGAATCACGGAGCTCCTTCCTCTCCGCCTCAAAGGTTGATGCAGCACGCCTGTGTCGTGGGAGTGGTATGGCAAGCGAATGGCAAGAGAATGGCATGTGAATGGCATGTGGGTGGAATGGCAAGCAAATGGCATGTCAATCACATGTGCCTCCGTCTCTGCTTGCAGCACCTCTGCCCGTCTCTCCAGCTTGAGCTCGGCGGACCACAACCGCAGCACCCTCTCCTCCAACGCCACCACCTCTGCCATTAACAACTCAAGATGAGTCGTGTTTTAAGTCGACTCAAGACACGACCTCTGCCATTAACAACTCAAGATGAGTCGTGTTTTAAGTCGACTCAAGACACGACCTCTGCCATTAACAACTCAAGATGAGTCGTGTTTTAAGTCGACTCAAGACACGACCTCTGCCATTAACAACTCAAGATGAGTCGTGTTTTAAGTCGACTCAAGACACGACCTCTGCCATTAACAACTCAAGATGAGTCGTGTTTTAAGTCGACTCAAGACACGACCTCTGCCATTAACAACTCAAGATGAGTCGTGTTTTAAGTCGACTCAAGACACGACCTCTGCCATTAACAACTCAAGATGAGTCGTGTTTTAAGTCGACTCAAGACACGACCTCTGCCATTAACAACTCAAGATGAGTCGTGTTTTAAGTCGACTCAAGACACGACCTCTGCCATTAACAACTCAAGATGAGTCGTGTTTTAAGTCGACTCAAGACACGACCTCTGCCATTAACAACTCAAGAATCTTTTAGTCGACTCGAATTTTTTTTAGTCGACTAAAAAAACCTCCAGCGCCACCACCTCCGCCATGAACAACTCAAGAATAACATGACATCCACCCACACCACTCACCGCTGTGCCTCTGCTTCTGCCTGAAACCCCTCTGCCTGTCGCTCCAGCTTGAGCTCGTTCGACCTCAGCCGCAGCACCCGCTCCTCCAGAGCCACCACCTCTGCTGCCAGCGCCTGCGATCGTTCAATGGCAGCTAGCGACTCATGGTGGGCTGCTTCTTTTGAGACTGCCTGCGATTCCATCACCACCTGAAGGGAAGAGGTGCGGGGGAGGAAGGGGGTGGGGGGTCGAGCAACCACAATTGGCGGCAGCGCCCACCCACCACCTCTGCTGCCAGCGCCTGCGATCGCTCGATGGCCGCTAGAGACTCGTGGTGGGCTGCCTCCTTGGATACTGCTTGTGACTCCATCACCACCTGACGAGGAGAGAGAGAGCAGGATTGTGGGGGGGAAGGGGTTGGGAGGAAGAAACAGTGGCGCCTGCGATCGCTCGATGGCTGCTAGAGACTCGTGGTGGGCTGCCTCCTTGGATACTGCTTGTGACTCCATCACCACCTGACGAGGAGAGAGAGAGAGCAGGATTGTGGGGGGGAAGGGGTTGGGAGGAAGAAACAGTGGCGCCTGCGATCGCTCGATGGCTGCTAGAGACTCGTGGTGGGCTGCCTCCTTGGATACTGCTTGTGACTCCATCACCACCTGACGAGGAGAGAGGAGGGGAGATGGGGGGCCCGCGGGTGGGGGGGGGGAGGGTGTGTGGGTGGAGGATCTGGAGACACAGTGGCACCTGCAATCGCTTGATGGCTGCCAGTGACTCGTGGTGAGCTGCTTATTTCGACACTGCTTGTGACTCCATCACCACCTGAAGGGGGTAGGGGATGGAAGAGAGAGACAAGGTGGGGGGTTGGAGGGTAACGCGGGAAGGGGTTGGGGAAACAAATTCCAAGTAAGATGTTTCACTCAAACAAACGGCAAAAGTAGTTGAATGTCCCCTTTCAGCTGCCACTTTCTCCCCCGCATCCCCAGGTGCCCTCAACCCCCTTCCAAACCCACCCTTTCATCCACACCCCTCAAATTTCCCCACAAACCCACCTTTTCCTCCTCCACACCCACATGACCTTACCCTGTGCATCTCTCACCTTCTGTGCCTTCACCTCCGCCTTGAGTTTCGAAATCTCCTCCCTCATGTGCTCCAAGCCCTTTGCCTGAAAAAGAAACGGCAGAGAAAGGGAAACAAAAAAGAAAGGGAAGGACGAGCAGAGTTCGAAGTTCAGTGAACACATGATTGCCTTCCTGCATACAAAGCTCTCTTTCGCCGGCATCAACCTCCGCTGGCACCCCCGCTGTCCCCACCTCTCCCTTTCATCCCCTCACCTGGCGGTTGAAGTCGTCAGTAAGCGCGGAGTTCTCTTTCGCCAGGGACTCCGCCACCATGCGAGCTGCATCTAACTGCCACCCACACTCATTCCCCCCTCACCCCCCTCTCCCTTCCATCACCTCACCTGGCGGTTGAAATCATCTGTGAGGGCGGAGTTCACTTTCGCCAGTGGCTCCGCCACCATGCGAGCCGCACCCAGCTGCCCCATAGCTGCCAACCCCTTCCCATTTCACTTCATCACCTCACCTGTCTGTTAAGATCATCTGTGAGGGCGGAGTTCTCTTTAGTCAAGGACTCCGCCACAATGCGAGCTGCATCCAGCTGCCACCACCTGTCAACCCCTCCCCCCCTCACCCCCCTCACCCCCCTCTCCCTTCCATCATCTCACCTGTCTGTTGAAATCATCAGTAAGCGCGGGGTTTTCTTTCGCCAGGGATTCAGCCACCATGCGAGCCGCATCCAGCTGTTGCCACCCCAGCTGCCAACCCCTTTCCCATCCATCACCTCACCTGGCGGTTGAAATCATCTGTGAGAGCAGAGTTCTCCTTAGCCAGGGACTCAGCCACCATGCGAGCCGCATCCAGCTGCCGCTGCAAAGTGAACTTCTCCTCTGTCAACTCCTCTATGTACTGTGTGCAGGGAGAGGGGGACGGGAAGAGGGAGGGTAGGGTGATGAATGGAGAGGAACACTCACGCTGCAGCGTGATCTTCTCCTCTGTGAGCTCCTCTATGTACTGTGTGCAGGGAGAGGGGGGAACGAGAGGGGGAGGGGGAGACTTGTGGGCGGAGAGTCACAATGCAGAGTGAACTTCTCCTCTGTGAGCTCCTCTATGTACTGTGTGCGCAGAGAGAGGGGCGAGAGAATGGGGGAGAAAGGGACTCAGCCACCATCGGAGCCGAGCCACCATGCGAGCCGCATCCAGCTGCCGCTGCAGCGTGAACTTCTCCTCTGTGAGCTCCTCTATGTACTGTGTGCGCAGAGAGAGGGGGGAGAGAATGGGGGAGAAAGGGACTCAGCCACCATCGGAGCCGAGCCACCATGCGAGCCGCATCCAGCTGCCGCTGCAGCGTGAACTTCTCCTCTGTGAGCTCCTCTATGTACTGTGTGCGCAGAAGGAGGGGCCGAGTGAAGAGTGGGGAAGGAGTTGAGAGGACAGAAGAGGAGGTTGAGGAGACTCACAAGTCAGCGTGAACTTCTCCTCTGTCAGCTCCTCTATGTACTGGCGAAGGCGAAGAGGGAGGGAGGAAGTGGAGGGGGGGGGAGGTTTGAGGGCAGAAGAGGAGGGCAATACGTGAAAGATTTCAATGCGACGTGAATTCCTCCTCTGTGAGCCCCTCTGTGTACTGCCGGATGCGACATGGATGGGAGGCAGGGGGCATGGAAGAGAGACAAATCGGATGAGTAATGGGAAGCTCAAGTAATGCCCTGACCTGATCTAGTTTTCCTTCTTGATCCCGCCCGGCCCCACCTGTTCAAGAGAAGCAAAGTCGCTCGATGCAGCACCTTTGCTTGACTGCTGCCCTCCCTCCATCCTCTCCCTCACCCTCTCCGTCTCCCTCGCTCTCTCGTCGCCACTCCTTCCACCCTCCTCCTTCCCAGAACTTTCCTCCATCTCCTCGTTACGCCCCTCTCTTTCACCACCACGCGCCCCTTCCTCCCTCCCTTCCTGCCCCTCCATTCGGTTTCCATATCCCATGCCTCTGCCCTGGTCCTCCGACAGCTTCGGCTTTCCAGGCTCGGCCGAGGCAGCAGGTTTGGAAAACAACGAACCGACAGGTCCGGAGAAAGGAGATTCTGCCATTGGTGGTCTGGATGGGAGAGGTACCGAGTCTTGGGAAGGTTGACCCAGGCGAGATTGCAGGGAGGATGGGAGGGCAGGGGCAGGAGGCAGAAACCCTAACTCGCTGCGTAATTTCGCCATCTGCTCGGCTGTAGCTGCGTTGCCAGGTGCTGCAAGCGAGGATGAGAATGATTGTGATGCTGCTGTTAACGAACCTGCTGATAACGAGGATGACTGGATGCCTGTGGCAGAGGCCGGCGGTGGGAGGAAGGAGGGGCGGTAAGCTGCTGCTATGGATGGCTTAGCAGCAGCTTGAGAAGAAAAGGACAAGGAAGGGGACGAGGAGGAGAAGGTGGAGAAGGAGGAGTAGGAAGAGGAGGAGAAGGCGGAGGAAGAGGAGGAGGAGGTCAAGGTGCTGTTGATAGTACTCAAGGCTGTGGCACTTGTCGATCTCAGTCCCAGTGCTGCTCCAAGCTTTGCATCTATATCAGCTGAAGACCCCAGGCCTGAGCCCCCTGCTCCGCCCGAAAAGGAATACTTTCCCAAAATAGAAGAGGAGGAGAAGGCAGTTGCAGCTGACGTGGCTTTGCTGCCGCCCAAAGCGCCAGCTAATACGTCTTTAGAACTGCCTAAGGCTCCTGATAGAGGGTCCTTTGTAGCTAATCCTCCTCCTAGTGCCCCGCTAAGGACGTCTTTAGAGGAAGAGAGAGTAGGGAAGGATGAGAGTGAAGAGAGAGAGGAGGGGTAGGAGTAGGTGGAGTGAGAGGAGGAGGAGAGGGTGGAGGAGCTGTAGGGTAGAGAGGAAAGAGAGGAGAGTGTGGCTGCAGAGGAGGGAAAGAGAGAGGACGGAAGAGGCTTTGTGGGAGAGTCGAAGAGAGAGGAGGGAGTGGCAGTGGTGGAGGGGAGAAAGGGAGAGGAGGGGCGAATAGTGGAGGCACGAGGCGGCGAGTCCATGAGATTGTTCAAGGACGACTCTTTGCGAGGGGAGTCAAGAGAAAGGGCGGAGGAGGAAGCAGGGAGGGAGAATGCAGAGGCAAGGGAGGAGGAGGGTTGGTGAGGTTCTTCAGACGACTGCTTGGGAGGGAGAGAGGTGAGAGAGGAGGGTTTGGTAGGGGAGTCATTAAGGCTGGGAGTGTGAGAGGAAGGGGTGAGGCGAGGGAAGGTGAGCTCCTTCTGAGCAGCTGGTTTGAGAGGCGAGTCGAAGAGGGAAGGAGTTGGGGCGGTAGTGACACTGGTAACAGTGCTTGTGTTGGAGGAAGAAAAGGAAGAAGAGGAAGCGGAGGAGGAAACGGATGAGAAGGATGAGGAGGAGGAAGAGGAGGACGAGGAGGAAGTGGAGGAGGGATCAAGGTCAGGAGAAGGGAAGACTCTCTGAGGGGAGGCAGAGGGAGTAGTGGCAGCAGAGGCAAGCTTCCTCAGCCCCCTCAACCACGAGGGCCTCGAAAACCCTCCTTTCGACTCCTGCTTGCGCCCCTCCTCTTTCTCCTCTGCTCTCGCTGCACCCGCCCCAGATACCACCTCCCCCTTTGCCCCAAATACCGCCTCCCCCTTCACCCCACCATCCTTCACCTGCCTCTCTTCCCGCTCCTCCCACTCCCTCCCTTGCAGACCTTTCGCCTGCCCGCCATGCACGCCTTGGGCTTGCCCTCTATCACCCCACGACTGCCACCTCCCTGCAGCCATATCATCAACCCCCATCTTCAAATCCGCCCCCTTCACTGCCTGCCCCACGTTGACCAAATCCGAGGCTGACAGGCTCTTTCCTCCCCCCAGACCCTGCCCTCCCAAGTTCCCCTTGCCAGTCAGCAAACCCCCGCCCCAATCCTCTTCCTCCTCCTCCCCATCCAGCCCCTCCTTGTGCTCCTCTCTATTCCCAGCCTCTGCCCCCTTCGCCCCTCCTGTTCTGTCCTCTGATCTGGGGGCTGGGGCGATGATATTCCACCAGGAGGAAATAGACTTGGGCCGGCGGCGGGACGAGCCGTCACGGCCCGCATCCGCCCCTTTCTGAACCTCGCTCTTCCTCCCCTCGTCACTCTCCTCACCATCCGCACCCGCGCCCACCTCTCCCTCCTCCCCTTTCTCGCCATCTCGCCCGCTTTCCGCTGCTCCCGCTCTCTCCTGCGCCTCCTCCCCTGCTTCCTGTCCCCGCGAATCACCACCCTTCGCAGGCTCACGCCCCTCTTGCTCCAGCTCAAGCCGGCTCGCTTCACTCCGAGCACGAACCTGCCCTTGCCTCACTGCCTCCTGGCTAGAAACCCCTACCCCGTCTGCTGCTCCCGCTGCTCCTCCGTCCCCTCCTGCGCCCGCACCCTCTAACGCTGCTCCTTGATGATCCACCTCCTCCTCCCTCAACCCCTCCAGAGACCCTCCCTGCCCCCCCTGCTCCTCACCCTCCGAAACCCTAGCGTCACTCCCACTCCCTCTACCCCTGCCGCCGTCGCCCCTCATCATTCCCCGGGCCGGGGAAAGAGCAGCGGAGAACAGACGCGCGAAGGCCGAACTCTTGGGTCTCTCAGGCGATTTCAGCTTCTCAGGAACTGGAGACTCCTCTTGTGGCAGAGTCCTAGGAGACACCGGTTCACTAGCCGCCAAGGCGTCAACGCTACCTCGTGAAGGCTCGTGAGTGTCTTCCTTCAGGCTGTGCACGGAAGCAGACTCAGATGCAGATGGAGGGTTATCAGGAGGAGTAGCGCTCGCTTGACCTGTATCCGCGCCTCTAGACGCTGCAAACCGCAGCGATTCAGAACCATCTGCGGCAGGAGTGGATGAAAAGCCAGGACTTGAGCCGGCGTTTGAATCGCCAGTATCCTCTTGACCCGGGGCAGCAGGGGACTGGCTGGTGGGGGCTGGGACTGACGTCACCAGGGAGGCAACGGGGGAGTTGACATCAGCTATCGCGGGAGCTGCGGCGGAGAGCTGGGGCGCACGGGAGGGGGTGAAGACAGAGGGGGAAGGGGAGGCAGCGGAGGAGGAGGGGAGCGCGGAGGTATAGGCGGAGGGGAGAAAGGACGCGCGAGCAGGCTTCGCCACAGGCCTGGGGCCCACAGCTGAAGGTGCTGAAGGGTTGAAAAAGGTCGGTAGCACAGGAGGAGGAGGAAGGGAAGAGGCCGAAGGAGGAGCAGTGAGAGGCAGAGCAGAGGCAGATGCACCTTGAAAGGAGTCATGGGAGGTAGAAGCTGAGCTGGCTGAGGGAGTGGATGGGTCGGCTGATTCAGCCGCGTTAGCAGCACCATCTGTAGTGCCAACGCTGCCAAACGGCTTCCCTAGATCCGCATTTGAACTCAAATCCTCTGCAGCCTTACTGTGCGCCTCTTTCTCTGCTTCCTTGGAATCTTCTCCTGCCCAGCCCTGTTGCAGCCTGGATTCGCTATCGGCAGGTGACAGCACCTCATAGGAGAGCAGGTCCTGCTCTTGTAACGAGTCCCGTATAGCGGGGATGGTGGGGCCCAGGTTGGGTGTACGGGCTACAGAAGCTGAAACCGCTTCAGAAACAGCACCAGCAAAAGTGTCAGTAGACACACCAGCAGAAGCACTAACATTACGACCAGCGGGAGCACCATCGGCACCAGCAGGAGCATCAGCAGCAGAAGCAGACGAGGCCGAAGCAGGCAGCACAGCCCCCTCGTCTGCTGCAGCACGGGAGGCAGCTGTCAGCACCTCCGGGCTTTGATGGCTTTGATTGGAAACAGCGGGAGAGAGAGAATCAAAGAAGCTCTCAGCGTCTGCATCGTCTTCCCTCTCCCTACCCCCTCCAAACCCTCCCACGCGCGTTTGCAACGATTCGGCTGCGCCTACCCCACGTGGTTCTGATTCTCTCCCGTGTCGCTCACTGTCTGCACTGGTACCGCGTTCCGACGCTGATCCGGCCCCTGCTGCTTCCTCTTCCGCTGTGCCTACACGCGTAATCTGCTTAGAACCCTCCTTATCCTTCCGCCCGTCGCTGCTCTGTAACTCTCCGTCTCTTTCCGCCCCTCCACCCCTCTTATCCGTACTGCCACCAGCTCTTATTTCAGCGGCGGGTGTGATTGCAGAGTGAGGGGTAGAAGAGGTTGCGGATACTCCGAGAGGAGCGGCAAAGGATGAGAATGGAACCGGATCGTTACTGTTTCCGCTACTTCTGCTACTGCTGCTGGCGCTACTGCTGCTACCTCTACTGCTGCCGCTACTGATGCTGCTGGTTCCGCTACTGCTGACGCCGCCAGTGCTGCTACCCTGTAACCCCCAAAGCGGGCCCATCCCCCTGCCTTGACTCGAGCCTCCCCCCATCCAATCCGGACGGGGCCGTGCGCCGTCCGCGCCTCCCCCGACCTTCACCGGCGGGGGCGCGGAGAAGGCGGGTGGCGGAGGGGATGCGCGGGAGGGCTGCGCATCAGGCGCGGGGCGGAGGAGGGATGGCCTGGCGGGGTTAGGCGCAGCGCCTGCGGTTGCGGAAAGCGCGTGGCTTGGCGCGCCTAGGAAGGCAGGCGGAGGTGCACCGGCGGACTTTTGCGCTTGAGACGTTTCCGCGGGTGGGGAAAAGGTGCGCGCGAGCGGAGGCGCAACGCGCGGGGCTGGCGCAAGACCGGATCGGGAGGAGGGTTGCGCGGGAAAAGAAGGCTCTCGCGGGGGGGAAAACGTCCGCGCGAGGGAAGGTTGCGCGGGACCCCTAGGTTCGGAAAAAAGCGCGGAAGCGGGAGGTGCTCCACCAGGACCGGGACCTGTAACGCCGCTAGGTTTCGCAAAAGTTACCAGAGGTCCCTTCGCCGCAAACGGGAGCGGCTGCATCCCTGCGCCCGGCCTCGTGGCGGTCGACGCAGCGGGAAATCCGGACGACGGTACAGGTGGAGCGGCGGCATTGGCTGCGTCAGAACCTGGGGGCCCCGGAGGGTGAGGGAGGCCATTAGCAGCTGAAATCGACGGCTGAGATTGCTGCCAGAAGGGAGTGAGAGGAGATCCGAAGTTGGCGGATCTAAACGTGGGTAGGGCTGCCGGAGCTTGAGCTAAGCCAGACTGAGCTAACGGTCGTGTTAAAGCAGGCGGAGCGAAGGAATTTGGTTGTGACTGAAACGCGGGAGGGCCTATAGCGGGAGGAGCAGCGGCTGTCGTGCGAGATGGCACTGGCTGCTGAGACGGAGGGGGATTCGCTGCAGTAGTTGGCTTGGCTGCTGGCTTAGCTGCAGCAGAAGTTGCGGTTCGGGAAGACGCAGACCCCCCTGCTGCCGCTGCCGCTTTCTTCTTGCGGAATTCTTCGAGCTGCAAATTTACGGGAAAAAACAGGAAACACGGGATACGAAACAGATTCTTAGGCTGATATTGCATAAATTGTAAGAACAATGGAGAAAAACACATGAAACAAACTGTGTTGATCACAAACGTTTTGCGAGATTCTTGGGTAAGCATAACGAAAGCCGGCGCCTGAGACATCGGCGATACGGAGGACCAGCGTAACATTGCAATGGGGAATAGCGTACCTTTCTTCGGCCAGCTTGAGCTAATTCGTTCTTCTTAGCGCCGGCAGAAGCCGGCTTAGCTGCTACGTCAGCCATGGCTACCGCCAGGATCGCTGGTATCAAAGCAAATAAACGTGCGGAGAGGAGCCACTAGATGTGCAGTGAAAGGCTGCAAGAAGGAAATTATCGTATCAACGAACGCTGTCACCTGGAATGTCCCACGAGAACGATATAAGAGGGAGCATGGCGGCCAAACTCTAAAGCAGACACACTAAAGCAACAATTATAACCAATAATGATGCAAGGATCAAAAGCTCCCAGCAACCTCGCAAGCGACCTGAGCTGCAAGTGCAAGGCAAGATGAGATCAGAAGGCTTTCACTGATTCAAGGTTGTTGCGAATGGATCAGGCTTTCTGTGATGTGGGGTGAAAAATGACTCTCAGAAGCTCAGGAGCTTGGTTTGGGAATGCTTTGGAGGTTGCTCAAGGAGAGAATTTCTCCAGGGCCTTGTTTGGTGATTCGCTCTTGCCCACGTGTCCCCGAATTGCTCGCGTGGCCATCAAATTCAGTGATAATTGCTCGAGTGGCCACGCCAGGGGATTTTCGAGGTGTTGTTTTTCCCCGGCACATTACCCTACAAGGAATTTAGCCCCGAAAGTCCTCTCACGTACTCGTCTCATCCCGCGCAAGTGTTGCGTACTATTCCCCACTCGAAAATTTCGCCAGGGTGGGCGGGCGCGAACGTGGCCCACTCACTGTACAGGAAACCGACAAATAATCACGACCAGCAGTACATGCGCGCTCAATTTCGGCCCAATGCGCGACCAATGAGCGCTCGGTCAAACAAATTCGTAACCAATAAGCGCTCGAGCATATAAATCCGCGATCATATAGGTAATTGCGCGGTTTCATTTATCCGAAATTTATGATCGGAACTTTATATGACCGTATATGATTGGATGCGCAGTGTCTAAATATGCCCCGCGCATAAAACGGACTAATCACGTAATGTCTAAATATGATTGATCCATTTTATGCGCTGGGCATATTAGACATTGCGAAATTTTCGAGTGGGGAATAGTACGCAACGCTTGCCCGGGATGAGACGAGTACGTGAGAGGACTTTCGGGGCTAAATTCCTTGTAGGGTAATGTTCCGGGGAAACAAAACACCTCGAAAATCCCCTGGCGTGGCCACTCGAGCAATTATCACTGAATTTGATGGCCACGCGAGCAATTCGGGGACACGTGGGCAAGAGCGAATCACAAAACAAGGCCCTGGAGCAATTCTCTCTTGCTCAAGCGACTTACCACCCCAGTAGATGCTAGGGGTCTCCACTATGCTCGTTTCTTGTTTGTTCTGGGCGATCTAATCCGTTAATTCACGGTTTAAAAAGGTGAACTTACACGACCGTTTTGCGCCGTGTGGAACCGATGAATGAACTTTAAAGGTACGCGCACACCGCACTTCCAGACCAGGGCAAACCTGGCCGAACCGGACTTCCGCAGCAGAATGTGTGGTTGGGAGGGGCTCGAGACGAAACAGTGAAGCCCCACAACGCTGAGTCTCTGGTTTCTTCTGATTGCGGGACGACCTGATTAAACCTGACAGACGGGGCACCACAGAACCGCGCAAAAAGTTAGCCAATGTAAACCTGTCCTTCACATCTTACCGTACCCAACAGATCAAGCTACATAAACCTTATATTTAAGTATATAGAAAATAAGGATGACTTATTCAACATATTCAGCCCTTTCTCCAGAGCATATCCATATGCTCAAAAACTTCCTCCTCGTTGCACCTCCCCTGTCCAGTTGAGACCAGTCTTCTATGCAAATCATCCTGCAACCCCCTTTGCTCTGTCAGAGGTTCCCTTGCCACCTGGGCTCCACAATACGGCCAGCATTCCACCAGTGCCTGTAGCCACACTAGAATGGAACCGTTTTTTTTTACTGAAAACGAAGCTGTTCCGGCAATCCGAACAAAACCTGCTTCGTTCCCTGGAGAATCTGCTGCAGAAGTGCTCACAACACTCTTGTTGCCTGGAAAGGCCTCGCCAGATGAACTCTCGTGGTCAAAACTGCTGCTGCTAGCACTGATTGCAGCACTGCTGCTCCTCGAAAGCACTACGTTCTCCTGCGTTGGTCTATCTCCTGCACTCCAGCACCGATCGCATGATTGTTCTGCGAGCCCAAAATCCTTCTTGTTCGCGTTTTGATTCCCAGTCACACGCCTGGAAACAGTTGCTTGTCTGCACACCCGATCACGTGTCCCGTGTTCTTGCTGCATACCATTGGCTCCTGCCCCTGTACACGCCACAGCGGCTCGTTTCCGCTGCCTGAACTCCTCAAGCTGCGTGAAATTTGCGAAAATAAGACAGCGGGGACGGGAGAGCGAGAAGGAGAGAGTGACGGATGGGGGACGAGAGGAGGACATGAAATGAAAGGAAACGCGGAATGCGGGAGAAGTCTGACAGACGAGCTTTAAAAAAACGTTTAACAGAAACAGAGGAGAAAGGTCGGAAATAAGTGTAAAAACAGAAACTAGAAAATGCGCTTGAGAAAAACCGTTGAATATCGTGGTACGCAAGAGTAATGCGAACGACGGCAACATACCTTCCGCCTTCCCGCCTGCGCCAGCGCGTCCTTCTTTCTCTCTGACAGTTTAGACGATGGCTCGCCAGTCGGGCCCATGTCGCATGACGTGGCTAATTCTACGAAGAAGAAAAAAATGGTAACTTAACTCGCCACGATGAGAATTGTTTCAGGACAAGCAGCGGCGTATCGCAGTAGACCCTACACGCGGCAAAGTACTAATGGTGGGAACAACAACAAAATAAAGTTCAGAGGGAAAGGCGGGAAGAGGATTTGTGAAACGGCAAAAGTCTAGGTGGTTGAGATGAGATCGACAGCAGTAACTCGTGGAAGGCAGCAATAATCGTGGCAGACGCATGGGATCTCAAATGTCGCCTTCAAGCTCGTAGCAGTGTGAACTGTGCCAGGGTTTGTTTTTGGCATTGCCTTTTTCGTGTCTTTCCCTTGCGAATGCGTGTGCTATGAACAGAGATACTTATATTACAAATACAGAGATACAGGTGTTACTAAGTACTTTCAGAACCCTAAGTGTCAACCACCATATCTGAAGATCCACAGTTGCGCGCCTTTCTTGGTTCTTTGGTCTTCTTGACCCCTCTTGGCCGCTAGAGGGAACGATGAGGTGGAGGTCATTCTTTCGGGGCCTGTTGGGGAGGGAGGGACTTATTTACCGGGCGGAAAGGAAGGAGGGATGGTTAAAATTATTTAGAGGGCAGAAAAAAATAACTGACACCTCGAGCACAACCTCCTCGAGTTTCCCCAAGCGCGAGGTGGGAGGAGAAGAGGCAAGAGTAAAATAGAGGCCCAACCGAACCTAAACACGCCCAACCACACCTGGCCGTCCGAACCTAACGTTCTAGCTAATTCGAGCCTAGGTCCAGACTATATCGTAACCCAGATCCGAACCTATCTAAGGCTAACGCGACTCCTAGCTAAGCCAAATTCGAACCTAACGTTCTGACTAACATACCTACCGTTCTAACTAACGCACCTAACGCCCCTAACCACACACGGACCCAGGGCCCAGACCAGACCCACTTACAAACCCTACCATACACGGCTGGTTGCTCCAAGCTCGGCGCTCCAACCTCCTTGCTCCAGCGAGGTGGCTGGCTTCTCTCCCCGCGCTCCCCCCTCCGCGCTCCGAGCTCCGCGCTCCTCGCCCACTCATGCTCCTGCCCACAAACCAAACAGAGGACGTCAGTGTTTTGAAAAGGAATAAATTAATGGAACTTACCCCGAGAGGGAGACCACTCAGTTTACCCGCTTGTTCGTCGCCCTCCCAATCCTGCTCCTTCTGCACTAAGACAGAACACAAATGAGAAACTTAGTAAACCTTCAACAAAATCAACACCGAAATTGACGATACTTAAAGAAGAGGGAGATCTCGCCCCGTGTTACCTCCTCCGTCCGCTCCAGGTGTTGCCCGTGCTCCATGCTCCTGCTCCCTCTGCATTTAAAAGGCACGGAAGGGCAAGAAAATATAAGTATATAAGTTAGGTAGCAAAAACAGAGTCGCTAAAGGGCAGAAACAGAAGACTGATGAGAGAAAACGAGGTAAAGCACTGACGAAACATACCACGAGAGGGAGACCAATCCAGTTTACCCCTTGCTCGCCGTCAGCTCCCCGTCCCGCTCCTTCTGCACTAAGACAACACAAAAAAAGAAACTTAGAAATACGTGAACAGAACAATAACTGAGGGTGCGTTTCTATCCCGTGTCAGACATCACGTCAAAGCTTCGGAAGACACAAAGTGACTCAGTTTGTGTCTTCCGAACCTAAATTTGCCAGCATTCCGAGTCCCTTTGGGTCTTCCCAACCTCAACTTCGTGTCTGGCTTCGTGTCTGACACGGGATAGAAACGCACCCTGAAATTGAAGATACTTAGGGCGCATTCCTAGCTCGTGTCTGACATCAGGTCATCCGCCCTTAGTCTTTGATTTGTCTCTTCCCAATGTTGATTTGCCCCTATTTCGAGCCACTTCGGGTCTTCCCAGCTTTCAAGGGCGGATGACCTGATGTCAGACACGAGGTAGGAATGCACCCTTACCAGCAGAGGGAGAGCTCGCCCCGTGGTATCTCCACCGCCCGTTCAAGGTGTTGCCCGCGCTTCATGCTCCTGCTCCCGCTGCATTAAAAAGGCACGGAAGGGCAGGGAAAAATACGTAAGGTGACAGAAATCAGAGCCGCTAAAAAGGCAAAAACAGAAGACTAATGACCGAAAACGAGGTAAAACACTGAAGAGACTTACTAGGAGAGGGAGCCATTCCGGTTACCCCCTTGCTCGCCGCCAGCCCACTATCCCGCTCCTTCTGCACCAAGACAGAAAACAGAAGAGAGAGACTTAGTAAAACGAAAACAGAATAGTAGCTGAAATTGACGATACTTACAAGGTGAGGGAGACCACTCCGTTAACCCACTTGCTCCCTGCCAGCTCCCTATCCCGCTCCTTCTGCACTAAGACAGAAAACAGAAAAGAGAGACTTAGTCAACGAAAACAGAATACTAATTGAAATTGACGACACCTACCAGGAGAGGGAGACCACTCCGTTAACCGCCTTGCTCGCCGCTAGCTTCCCATCCAGCTCCTTCTGCACTAAGACAGAAAACGCACAAGAGAAACTTAGTAACCCGAAAAAAGAAACTAGTTGAAATTGACGACACCTACCAGGAGAGGGAGACCACTCCGTTAACCGCCTTGCTCGCCGCTAGCTTCCCATCCAGCTCCTTCTAAGATCTTGTTCGTAGTTTTGACACCAGGTGTTTATGCGTGTCAACCCGAAGCGCGTGTAATTTAGCGTGTCAATCACACTAGCATCAGTGTCAACATGAAGCGCATCTAAAAGCATCAACGACGCAAGCTGATTCGTTGCGAACAACCCGTGTGTTGAAATCATTGGTGCACGTCCAAGTCAGCGAAAATTTTGAATAGTTCCTAGGTTTCGCGTAGGAAACGATGCATCTCGATTGGGCAGTAGGAGAGATGAGTGTTGCTGCTGCGACGAAACTGGCTGGTTCTTAGGTATTGACTCTGTCAGAGTCAAAGGTGTCAGAATAATTTCACTGGCTAACAGTCTGCGAAATCTTGACACTCTGCCAACAATGTTGGTTAGGGTACATTCGTGGCCCGTGTCAGACTTCAGGTCAAAAGCCCTTAGTCTCCAATTTGGCTCATCCGAACTCGGATTTGCCTCACAAACGACCCACTTCGGGTCTTTCGAGCCTCCACTTCGGGTCTGACCTGATGTCTGACACGGGCTACGAATGTACCCTTAGTGTCAAAATGTCAAAATGACACTGGTGTCAAAACTACGAACAAGCCAGAAAACGCACAAGAGAAACTTAGTAACCCGAAAAAAGAAACTAGCTGAAATTGACGACACCTACCAGGAGAGGGAGACCACTCCGTTAACCGCCTTGCTCGCCGCTAGCTTCCCATCCAGCTCCTTCTAAGATCTTGTTCGTAGTTTTGACACTTGGTTGGGTTTGGGCCTCCGTGACTGGTTTGCGATTGACGGAATCTGTGACGAGATGGGGTAAATTTCTGCCGAGACCAATCACGGACGTGCGTTACCAACCAAGTGTTTAATGCTAGTAAATATGAGACGCGAGCTTTAACCGCCTTGCTCGCCGCTAGCTTCCCAACCAGCTCCATCTGCACTAAGACAGGAAACACACAAGAGAAACATAGTAAGAAGAAATCAAGTTTCCAACTGAAATTGACGATACTTACCAAGATATGGAGACCACTCCGTTAACCCCCTTGCTCGCCGCCCATCCAGCTCCTCCTGCACTAAGACAGAACACAGAAGAGCAACTTAGTAAAACGTAAACAAAACTAGCTGAAATTGACGACACTTTTACCAGGAGAGGGAGACGGAGATGAAGGGCGATGCGCCGAGAAAAGCGCCGCCATGCGAAAGCAGAAGCGCCGCTCCTCATGCGCCGTGGGTCAAACTCCTTGCTAAAGCTCCGTGCAGCTCCCACGCGCCATCCTCCAGGCTGAAGCTCCATAGAGCGTCGTCTGCAGGAAGAAAATAATTACGTTAGAGCTCATCCAGGACAAAACTCCGAAGGAAAGATGATTCACCGGGAATGAAAATTTCAAAAGACCTCTACTTACCTCCACTCGAACGACTTAACACCTTCGCTGGTCGAAGCGTAGTGCGACGGTAGAATCGCGGCCGTGTGTCGGAGGAAGCTCAGTGCGACGGGAGATGGAGGGTCGCGCACAGAGAAAAGCGGCGCCGTGCGAAGGTAGAAGCGTCGCCATCCTCATGCGCAGCGCGACGGAGGCCTCATGCCCAGGCGCGCGCGAAGGACGAAGCAGGCCCGGAGCTTCAGGAAGAAGGGTCATCTGCAGAAAGAAGGTAAATTAGTTGGAGTTTATCCAGGAGTAAAGAAAAAATACGAAATATATACGTACCTCCACTCAACCAAGATAATCGTTTCTCAGCCGGCCGTGCGCCAGTCAAAGCGCCGCCATGCGACGAGAGAAGTGTCGTGCAACGGTAGAACCGCGTCGACGAGAAGAGCAACGGTCTTTGACTCAAGGGTGCTGGGCCTGAATGCCTCCAGTCGAGAAGCGCCAAGGCGGTTGTCTGCAGGATGACAAGTTAATTCGTTATATCTTATCCAGGAATGAGGGTGCAATAGAGGGTGGAAAGGCATCGCACTTACCTCCACTAGAAGGACCCCATCCAGAGGTTTATGAACCAGCAGCGACGGGGAAGTAGCCCTTCAAAGCCTTTGAAGTGAAGCCTTTCGGAAATCTCACGGCGACGATCTTGACTCTGGGCTTGAAGGCTCCGGGCTTGAAGGTTGGCTTGAATGCCTTCAGTCGAGATTGGTTGAGAAGCGCCAAGGCGGTTGTCTGCAGGATGAAAAGTAAATACGTTAGAACTTATCCGTTGAAAACTGATGTTGGAAACAGGCCTTAAGAAAGCCATTGAAAAAGATGATACATTTAACGGCATTGCAAAAGACGTGGGAAAGGCATTGCACTTACCTCCACAGAGATGATCATTCCATCTTCTTCGCCTTGGTAGCCCATTCGGAGTCTTCTGCAGTGAAGATCGCCTTGACGTGAAGATCGCCTTCTGCGGATCTCGCGATGGCCACCTTCGGCTTCGGCTTGAATGCTTCCGATAGAGATTGGTCAAGAAGCGCCAAGGTGGTGGCCTGCAGGAAGAAGGAAAACACGTTAGAGCTTAACCAGTATAACGTTAAGAGGATGAGACGTTGCAAAAGCTGGACAGACAATTTACTTACGTCCGCTTGAAAGAAATTATAATTCCTTCTCCTTCTCCTTGAGCCGGAGTAAGTGCCAACAGCGACGAGGAAGCACCATTGTGGTTTTCCAGGATCTTCACGTGAAGATCGTCTTGAGAAGATCTCGAGGCGAAGATCTCCCGATGATAATCGCGGTGAAGATTTCGCGGTGGTCAATCCGCCGTGAAAGATCTCCCGAGTGTTGGAGGGAAACGGTGGTGGGGCGGTGGTATGCCCCCAACCCACCGAGGGCACTTCGGTGCCCTCGATCCCTTTGACTAGGGATCGGTGGGGAGGCACCGTTTGACTTCGGAAGACTCATGGTTTGGTGCCACGTGGCGGCACCACATTCCAACCTTCAAGTGCAAGGCGCGTTCGGTGTGTTCGGTGAAATTCGGTGGCCGAATTTCACCCCAACCGAATTGTTACACGCGGCGCATTCGCGACGCGAGTGTAGCGATGCGATGTTACATGTGCGGTTCGATGTAATGCATTTGCTATAAATCGACTTGCCTTGTATGCATGCTTCATATTGAAATCCTGAATCATCTTGTACATGGTCCATTCGAACCAAAATTCCAGAGAGGTCTACCCTTGCTTCTAAGAGCACTAGTAATCACGTGAACGCCAATATCTCGGCGTATACTTGGGCGATTAACGTGTTTGACAGCTCGTTGGAAAGCCGAGACTGTGCTCTATCGTTTAGTACAACTTAGAGTTCCTGCAAAGTAGAGGAGATGCCTCTACAACAGTGGTATCAGAGCTGGTCGGTAGAGTCTACGTGCGCGACTTGTAGCAAACATGATGACGTCAAGCGAGGCCTCCGGCTCTTCCTTAGGTGGTGTCGTCTCGAACCCTGGCGAACCCTGGACTACCGCGACAGTGTTCGACACGTCGGCGGTTCCGATTTTCACGGGACAAAACTACTCCGCGTGGAAGTTTAAGTTCCAAGTGCTCATGATGGAGCGGGGACTTTGGGGTCTCTTCGACGGAACGGAGAAAAAGCCGGGCAATGCGGACGAGATCGCGGCATGGAAGAAGAAGGACCAAAAGGCGTTCGCTACGCTAATTTCGCGCATCGGCATCAACCTCGTGAGTTCGGTGCGCACGTGCATCAAGCTCGAAGCGTCGGCGCATGAAGCATGGAAGCGGCTCGAGACGATGCACGTGAACAAGACTCTCCACGGCAAGATCCTAGCCCGGAATGCATTCTACTTGGTGAAGTTGCGCACGGGCGAATCGATGCACGAGTATGCGACTCGTGTGGAGGAACTCGGGGAAACGTTCATGGACCTCGGTGGAATGGTCACGGAGGAGGATTGGATATTAACCTTGCTTTGCGGCCTTCCGGAAGAGTGGTCGACGGTGATTACGACACTCGATAGCGTGCAAAGCACTTGGACGAAGGAAATGGTGGTCGGTCGGCTTCTCCATGAAGAATCGCATCGCCGACAATTCGCTAACGAGAGCGTGGAGACCGCCATGTTCTCCGGAGGGAGCTCCGGAAAGAAGTCCAAGTGGAGCAAGGGTGAGGCGAAGAAGTCGTCCGGTGGAAACGAGCGCGGCAAGGGCAACGCATCGAACGGTTCGAGCAAGTGCCACTATTGTCGCAAAGCGGGACATTTTTGGCGTGAATGTCGGAAGCGGCCGAGCGATTGGACTCCATCGAAGGCGCGGAACCAAGAGGGCAACGCGCACACGGCATCCGGTGAGGCGGATGATTCAACGGAGTCGCTCGTTTTGTTGGCCGGTGACGGGATCAACACTTCAAACGACGCGTGGTTCGTCGACACCGGTGCAACACAACACATGACACACTCGGCGTCGCTCCTCAACAACGTCGG